AAAATAATGAAGAGACGTGTGTGACATATTCATTGAGGTATGTATGTATAAACATATATAATGGATACAATTTCTAAGTTGGATACAACTGTACGTACATCCCAAAGTTCACTAAATCTCAATAGAATACATTACACTATCAACTGTATGGTCTGCCCTTGTATTGTATGTTGTGCCTACTTTGTTATTAGTATGACCTACTAACAATTGTCAACATCCAAAATGCTCTAATGCGGTTATGCTTATGCGACCAAATTCAATTGAATATGATCGTATTCGACCAAATACAACTATTTACAACCAATAATTAATCCTTAATAGTTGTTTATTTTCTTTAAAGTCAATAGTGTCATCATCCTTGACTATTAAAATACAACTATTTTAAGACACCTATTAAATTACAACTGTTTTACAAGATTTGATGTAATAAACAACTATTCACCTTGAATCTTCACTTTTACAAGATCTAGTAGACACCTATTGTGAAAGTGAAGATTTAAGGTGAAGACTCCAGAATCTTGCACCCGTTGATTAGGGTTAATTTTTTTTTAATTTTTTTTTTGTCATCATTAGGGTTAATTTACCTAACCAACACAGAAAACTGTTTTTTACCAAAAAAATATATTTTTATTTTTTTGTTTGTAAAATGGACTTTAGTGGACAGAGAAGAAGAAGAATAAAGGAAGCTTGAAGAAAATGTATGGTTGTATCTTAACCATAATACATTTACTCTCATAGTCTAATACTCTAATCTCATTGACTTAACACACGTAAGCTCCTATTCATGTGTGGGAAAATATATACACATATCATAATAGGAAAGACATATCGAGTGGTGACAAAAGAAAAGAAGAGAAGATGGTCGGTTTAGTTTAGTTTAGTGTTTAAGTGAAGAATACTTCTTCTCGAGATGAAACTACGTTGACTTGTCCTTCATCATTGTACATTTTCTCTCTTCTTTTGCCCTACCACCCCACTCTCACCCTATTGTGTTATATAGACAGTGTGTGTGTGTGTGTGTGTGTGTAACGCTTGTGCTTCCAAGTGTTTTTTTAAAAAGTAAACGAAATTGATATTGGGCATGGGCACTAGCGTTTGTGTATTGTATAATATATGCAAGTTTATATATAAGTCATGATTGGTGGTCAAGGTCAACTATATGATAGTCACAATTGGTGTTCAACGATGTCATAGTATTTGATAAACATTGGCTTCCACCATCCTAATCACTAGTACTAACAAGTTACATATTTTTTTGAACGGTTGAGACAACAATATATATTTTGGATGAAATAAAATTTAGCATTTAGATGAAATAAAATTTAGCATTTGGATTTTCTTTTCTAGAAACAACTATGCACTATAAGTCTATACATACATTTTCTCCCACTTGATTGAGTAAAAGCCTTATATCATGCACAGTCACAACAACTCGATCAACGGACGAAGGAAGAAACTTCACATACTAATGACAAATAAACTTTAAAAAAGATGGGTGGACCTAGTTTTTGTGTATTATAATGTTAAAAGTTTGAAAACTTTATATATGAGATGGATGGATAATGTAGTAAACGGGAACTAGAACGAGATTCATGCCATTTGCAAAAAAAGCCTATTGTTATTTGAAATATTGGACGAGAATACAAAGAGCTAGTTATGAACGAGAATTAAGGCCAATCAAAATCTATATTTTCAAAGTCAAAAAAAATATATATATGTGTGTGGGAAAGGCACATAGTATAACAAAAACTCTCAAAAATTCACAGAAAATTTTAGAAAAAGTATTTTGTTAAATAACTTCTAAAATAGTTCATTCTTTTACCTAAATCCATATGACGAATCATATTATATATGGAAAAACGACCACTAGGCCACACGATCTTGGTTTTATTTTCATTGTAACGAGAATTTCGTAATAAGAAATATGACTTTTACCCATATCTCTATATATATAGCTTTTTAGCCTTTAGAGATATATAGCGTGATGAAGGGGACTGTGTTTGGTTGGTGTGTAAGGTTGTAATGGTAATGGCCAGCATTGACCCTTTTGATTTTTTTTATCTCATTTGGGCTCCCTCTCACTTTTTACAAAACTTTTTTTTCGTTTTATAATGGTATACATTAATACATATAAATACTCAACCATGGTTAGCTAAACCAATTGCGGAAATGAAAATAGTTAGGAATTACAATGAAGTAAAATCTATAAATTTGTCCCATGGTAAAAAAAAAGAGATAAAAAACATGGAAAAAAAGAGACATTCAGTCTATTGGCATCGACAAAAACAGTGACGCTCTAAAAAAACCTTTTATATATACTTCATAGTTCATTGTTGTGGTTTAGTTATAGCTAGTAAGTAGTAACGACAAACTCAGAGAGTCACAAACTGATTGATAAACATTTTGGTGAAAGGTAGATTCGATGCAATCAAGATCCCCTTTTTACAAAATCTTTTTTCAACTTTTGTTCCGTCGGTTTGATTAAGTTTTAGCCCTAATTAACGGATGCATTATAACTCTTAGGTCTAACCAACTCTCATATTCTTTTTGTTATAAAGAACTAGTTACTTATCAGATTAACCTAAAAAGGAAATCAAACAATATCACGTTTAGTCAAATGTTCTTGGATAAGTCGGTGGTAAAGAGAGACACATATAGTGTATCCAATATAAGATACACCAATTCAATTATAAACAATTATAAAGAAAAGGATGGCGTTGACAAAAACAAGAAAAAAGAAGAAGATGGCGATTGAATTTAAAAGTTTAAAGTATATTTGAGATTATAATGGTGCAAATTCAATGTGTCCCTATTTTGGTTAACATCTCCTATATATAGTTAGACTCTTTTTTGTTTACTTATGTCATCACTCATCAGCAAGATACGTGGCCACCTAAATCGTAGTATTGTACTTGCAATTGTATCTTTGAACCTTTTGACGATCGGTCAAATTAATCTTCTAATAAAATTTCGTATTCTACTGATCTTAAGACACACCTCTTAATTAGGTTTTTGCAAGTCGAGAGCACTTCCAAGACACACTTCCCTTCTACAAATTAAGTTTGGTCAGTAAACCATGAACAACTTGATGAACTCACATAAATATTCACATATATGTTTAAATGAAGACAAAGAACGCAACAGAATTAAGCTTTGATTGTGGAAGTGTTGAGTAAGATGATCATAGAGTTGATCTCTTGCATGTACCATAAAAAGACCTGCTCATCAAACTCATTAAAAAGGCTTTAGAGAGAAAGACATTAAGAAGAAATAGATCATCCAAAAGATCTTACCAAGACTTTGTGACTTTAAACCATCTACAAAAAAGCTTCATATGAAGGACATGTGTGCATGCAAATCTGATATCATGGCTAAAATAATACATACGTAAATACTTTTTGTGCAAATCAAGCCCATTGTATTCTTAATGGGCCTGAAATAATATCCTTAATGGGCCTTTAGACCCAAATTGATAGTTTAAGATATTGGAAGTGAGTGAGCCCCATGGATGAGCTGTAAAAGAGAGAAAATGCAAGGCTGTGTAGTGTTCTGTGTAGTGTGGGATGAATGATGACGAGAGGTGGGCAACGTGGGGGAAGGAATGTTGTTGTTTAGGCTTTTCTTTAATAAGTCTAAAGGCGTGGGGAGACAGCTCCTGTCTCTTTGCCCTTTTTCTCTTTACTACTCTCTCTTCTTCTTTCTTTTTCTTTCTCTCCTTCCATTTCAATTATGCACCCTTTGCTTATCTATTTGGATGAAATGATTTAAAGTTCTACTGAACAATTTTTAATATAAACCATAGTTTATAAGATTGATTTAGTCTTTAATCTTTTTGTATAGTATCGGATGAAGAATGAAGATATACCTTTTTGTTGGTTGTTGTAAGATCTTAATAAAGGAGAATTTCCATTGGTAAAGTGTTCTCTAATTATCAGTTAGAGTTATAATTCTTTATAAAGTTTGATTAAAAGTATGTATGACAACAAAGAAAGGTATACAACTATAAATCTAACTTCTTGGATTAATAGTTCCCGAAGATTTATGATTTCGAGTGCAAACAAAACTATTGATGGTGGTACGGTTTCAATAGTATTAAAAAAAATTTGTATATACATTTTTGTTATTATTAGAACTAATCCGCATTTCTGCTATAATTGTTTTGCACATTATCATTCAATATTTATCATCGTTTTTCGAAAGATTTCGATTATTGTATAACTAACTAACCATTTTTTTTTGTCATCTGATAATATTAATGAAATTCAAAGGATACATTGTGAAATACAACTTAAGCCGGCGGAAAACAAAGATATCCCCGGAGTCTAAAGCCCAAACAAGGGAAGCAAAGCAAAGAACGATAAGAAATCCCCGAAAACATAAAGCGAAAACAAAATATAGCAACACACAACAGAAAATGTAAATCCGAAAAGAGACGAACCCTTAAACAAAAGACACATACAACTAGGCTTAACCCTAAGAAAGCACACATTAGTCTTAAGAAGCTGGAAGAAATCATCTACTGAAGCCCCTGAAGAAGAGATTTATCAAGGATCCCCACAGCCAATCCAAAGAGAACATCAACCACGTCCTATCAAGATGAGAACCGATCTCTTGAAACAAGAACCCAAGACTTCAAAACCCGATGAGCAAGACTCGAATACGCTTTCGCATGCGACGATGACGACTACAACGTCCAAAACCGTCTAAGATAGTATGTATAACTAACTGTCTTATAAATAATTTAAAATTTTTTCTTTACCAATAAAAATACCAAAACTAAATACAGTATCAGCTCAAAAATATATGTATTTTCCAACTGTAAAATCTAATTACAGAGTGGATCCGACCAACAAGAAAAAAGTGTAAAAGCACAGTGACCGTACATAAAAAAAAAAAAAGAAACAATGTGCATTGATATTTGTGTAAAGCTAAGATTAAATAATTGAATGAGTGTGTCCCCAAATTCTCTCTTTTTTTTTCCAGACTTTTCCTTGAATCCTCTTCCCTCCTTCTTCTTCTTCTCTATCTCTCTCTTCTCAACTACCCTTCTCTGCTTCTTTCTTCTTCTTCTGTTCCCAAAGTCGGAAACTTTACTTGGCGGGTTCGTTGAAATTTGCAACATGACAATGGAAGACACAACATTTACCAAAGTGTTCGTTGGTGGATTAGCTTGGGAAACACACAAAGTCTCTCTCAGGAATTACTTTGAACAGTTTGGGGACATTGTTGAAGCTGTTGTCATCACTGATAAATCTAGTGGCAGATCTAAAGGCTACGGCTTTGTATGCCTCTCTTGTTTTGTCTTAAACATTTGAGATTTGTTGTTTTAGCTTCAAACTCACGGGTTCTGTTTTTTTTGTTTGTTTTGTTTTAAAGGTGACTTTTTGTGATCCGGAAGCAGCTCAAAAAGCTTGTGTTGATCCAGCTCCTGTTATTGATGGGAGAAGAGCTAATTGTAATCTTGCGGCTTTTGGTGTTCAGAGATCTAAACCTTCTTCTCCTATTCATGGTAAAGTTTTAGGTTTCTTTATGTGTTCTGATACTTCATCTAATTGATCTTTTCAAAACCCTTTATGTTAATTTCATGGATCTTACCATTATCTAAAAGAAAAAGCTGGAATTTTATGTCATGAATCACATATTAGTAGCAAGTTAGGTACTTTATAGATTGTCTTACTTTACTATTTAAGGGGTAGCTTCATTTTGATTCCTAAGTTGATTCATCCAACTGGTAAAGCCAGTTTCTTGCTAAGTACTTTAGTAGTCTTTATGATTCTGCTGCAGACTAGTTTAGTTAAAACCTATGGTCTGTTACATACTTTGGTTAATTATGTTGTGTTTTGTTCTTATCTGAAAGCAAATGTTTGAGAGGAGAATCTCATGGTGTTTGTGTCTTGGTAGGACATGCAGGACCAAGAGGAATGAAGGTCACTAGCCCTTTCAAGACACACTTTGGAGCGGCGGCCCCTGCTATGCCTTCGCCACTTCCATTCTCCCACTACACACTTCCTTACACTAATCCTTTTGGGTACTCCACGTTAAATCTCTTACTTCTTTCCCAAACTCATTACTCTAAGTATACTGATAATCCTATGTTTGGTCTCATTTTACTTTCTTAGGTTCTCTTCATACTCAATGGACTACAATTACCCCACGGTATGTATCTTCTGCTTATCTTAATCTATGAGAGTCTCTCCCTATTCTACATGTATTTCTTATAGCTTATTGGATTCTTGTTTTTTGTAACAGAGCTACTACAATGTCTATGGAGGGGCAACTGCTCAGCATCCAATGTATGGTAGTGGACCAATGACTGGTGTAGCACCAGCAGCAGCAGGGTTTTATCCATATCTCCAATTTGCTGAAGGAAATGGACCCGTCACTGGTTATGCCCCTGTCCACTACCCCAACCACATGTTTCACTATTCTGCTCTTGCCTCATCGACCGGGGGAAACTATCCACACCACAATGGTTCACCAGTGTCTCTTGCACCTTCACCAGTCATACCATCAGGTTTGTCTATTTATCTGTTTTTTTTGTTCAATACACAACTTGGAAAACCAGAGGTACTGATGTTCTCAGCAGTGTGCTTTGCAGTTCCACAGGCTTGACCACGAAGGCTCATGGTTCAACTCAGCTTCCATTGATACTATGTAGAGGCCAGTTCATTTAAATCCTTAAGGCAAGCTTTATTTACTACTTTCATCCGCATGCCTCGAAGTTCCACAAGACCTGTGGCCTAACCATGGTTGCCCATTTCCCTTTGTGCTTCTAACCCATTAGGCAAAGATCCCAGAATTTGGAGTTTTGGCATCTTTGCAAGTTCTAGTTAAGTCTCACATAGGGGTTTAACTTGGACCATTCTCATACGCATTACTCATTTTTTCATTTTTCTCATTGCATTACGTGCTTCTGAACGAAGGTTTCGTTCGGGCTATAGAAGTAAAAAGTTACCATGTCTTGCAAAGTGCCCCAGAAAGGCAAGCAATTTTGTAGAAAAACTTAAAAATCTTAGGATTGGCTGATCAACAAGAAAGGAAATAAGGATTTCCCGGGAAAGGTACAAGAAGTGAATTGCCACCACCTGGAAGTGTTTGAAGTAGTGTGTGCAAAGGTGTTCCCACTACTTCTCACAAAATCCAATTTTAATGTGCAGTCTTAGGATTATTAGATCTAGGACCATGTTGTTACAAAGTCTTATCGTAGATAGCTAGAACATAAATTCTCTGACATCAAGAAAGGCTAATGGAAACAGCCTTATAAACTTCCTTTGAGGATAAAGGAAGTAGTGGTGTTTGCTAACCCATGTATATTTTCTGTGGCTAAGCATTGGGAGTTATAGCCACACTTAGATTAAGATCATTTTAAGATTCAAGATTTTAGATTACTACTCATCATATCTTCAACCAACCCCACTGATGGATTGTGGGGTTCTTGCATTTGCATGTTTTGCCTCTTGGGAGATATTTTGGTTCCCTCTAGGTTCTTCTTATAACATCAACCAAACCAGTTGACCAACCATGGTTAGGATTTCAGGTGAGAGGTATTTATCACCTCTTTATCTCTCCTTTACTTATTCCCTCTGTTTCTTCAAGACAAAAACTCTCCAAACTCTCTTATGTATTTGTTATTATCTTGTAAGTTGTGTGATTCTGATTCTATGTAAGAAAACAAATCCTTCATTCTCTATCCTCGGTGGTTGGAAAATGAAAAATGTGTGTGCAATATTTTACTTTGATCTAATATAAAAAAAAAAACCACTCTTTATGAGTTATATAACCATGTCTCCCTCAATATGTATCCCTAACATTCATGATATGATGTTAGAATTGTAGATACTCAACAGTCAACACAATTTGTTTCCTTTCACATACACAAACTACTTTATTTATGTACAGGTGATAACTTGTTTTGCAGTTCAGTAAAATCAAATGAACACTATAATTATATCATACATAAACTAAGGCAGGAGCTTGAGATCTATATATACCTAATATACAATCAACAATACTGCAGAGTAAGTTAAACTACACAGTCTCTACAACAGAATTTGCAGAAGAGAAAAAAAGGCATGTGAAAGAATAGATAGATCAATGAAGCATATGAAAGTGAGAGTAGAACTCGAATCGGGAAGAGACGATTTGAGGCCTTGTTAATCAAGAACGTATACACTCAATGCCATGGCAAATAGCCAACCAAACACCAAGTAGCGTTAAGCAAATAGCTGCATCAATGGCAAGAACAATCATTACTTGACGCCGCCACTTCCTCTCAATGCTTTGAGAACCACCAGATCGTCCCCTAACATATGTTGTTGCTGCAGATGAAGAATTAGAACATTCTGTAACGTGTCCTCTATCATTTGATTTCCTGTGTTCATCTATCTCAATGCCTCTCAGTGAGTTCACATGATCTCTCCCTTTCTTCTTCTCTTGCTTGTTTGATCTTCCCAAAAGTGGAGCTTTCGTGGATGCATCGCTTTGTTCAGCACCATCAATGGAAGGTGATGATATTGGAAGACAAGTGAGATCAGTCTCCAATGAAGCTATGAGTCTTCGGACAACCTGGTCTTGAACATTGCTAAAACTGATACTCCCAGAGAAGCTTCCTCTCGAGTTCTTCTTATTTGCTTTCTTTAACTCATCCCTCAGATGCTCAAGAAAATCAAGAACGCTAGATCTCCTGAAAACATCATCAACAATGGCGAAATAAACGAACCCATCTTCCATCAAGAACCCAAAAGTCCTCTTACTCATCGTTTCGAAGTACCACTTGTGAAAAGGCGGAGTCTTTTCCAAGCATAACGCAGCGAGACTCTCGTTGTTGCGGTGGTCTCCAGCATTGTTGTAAGCGTACACAATCTGATTGTCTTTCGAGACACAACAGTAGTGAACTGTGTTTTGGATTGAACCCATATTAGGACTTTCGATTAGGACAGCGTCGAGCAAAGAGAACAGAGATGAAGTCAATTCTCTGGTTTGGGTCTAGGGTTCTAGGATTGGTCAAAAGGAACCCCCAAGTTTAAGTCTTTAAGATCCTTATCTTTGCTAAGAAACAACGAAAGGAATCTTGAAAAGGACCAAAGAGAAGATCGAATGTTTGGGAAAGAGAAAGCATTAAAGCAGAGAGAAGACAATTCAAGCTCTCTCACCCAACCCTTTGACTCTGCTTTATTTTATTTTATTTTCTCTTTTCTTATTACCTTATCTTCTGTTTCTGACTTTTTCCTCAGATTATGAAATCGCTAATTCAGGTAGCTTAGATCAACCCCTTTTTGAACCAGTTTTGTTTGATTATCTGTTGGTTTTGTAGCAGACAAAACTCTGTTTTTGCGCGCGAGCAAACGGGAAGGATAAAGCCATAGGCCCATAATGGGACAAGTTTTTTGTTAATTTTCCAAAAGTTAGGTTGGAACACAAAGCATTCGCCTTATAAATAGTTTGTTTCTTCTATGGATCGGATCAATCTCTCTAGAAAATGTACTAATGTTACAAGTTACAAATGCAAGAACGCAGCAAACTTTACAGGGAATTTGGACAGAACAAAAGTGGTTAATCTTAACCAGGTCTACAACTACAACAACCATTCGATGTCCCGGTGCTGTTCCGTTCATCCTCTTGCGTTACCTTAAGTCCCTCAGCATCTCCATCACACTGAGTCAGATCACATTGTTGCTCTTGATCATCGTTTAGGTGGTTCAGTGGCTGTGATTCAGGTTGACTCCACACTTCTCTGTCGTTTACTGGCTGAGATTCCGGTTGACTCGTCACTCCTCTCTGGTTTACTGGCTGAGATTCTGGTTGACTCAACACTCCTTCATCAGGGCTCACAACACTCGGACCAGAATCTTCTTGTGTGTGACGTGATTGGCTTGGGATAAGAGCGAGACGGCAAAGAGGGCAAGTGGTATGCGATGTGAGCCAAAGATCGATGCAGTCCATGTGAAAAGTGTGTTTACATACAGGGATCTGCTGAAGCTTGTCATCTGCTTGATAGTCCCCAAGGCAAACAGAACATCTGTAAATCAAAAGCCCTAATCAGTTTACAGTTTGGCTCTCAGTTTCAGGGTAATAAGCACAATTACTTAAACTCCCAAGTCTTGCCTCTACCAGGACAACTAAATCTTTTAAACTCTCTTTAGATCTTGGGATATATAACCCACCACAACCTTCTACAATTATCTGATCATGTAAGCAACTACTGTAACATTTCAACCTTCCTATAAGTAACAATGTGAGTGTAAATTGAACCCAACCCCAAAAGATAGTAAGTACCTTTCAAAACCAAGGCAGACCAACAATATCAGCCTACTAGAGATAAACTAGAACCTCTCATCTTTGTTAACTTCCCCAATAAACAACAAAGGTATAATTCATTATATTAACCTAGCTGTTCTGAACTTTCTACAGCAACTCTTAGAGAATCTCACTAATGGTCATGATTATGAAAAAGAACTAAATTACAGAAGTGAAAAGAATCTGGAAAACTCACTGTGAATCCATTACAGTGAAGCTCTCTTTAAAGACAACAATGGGAAGCATCTCTCTCAGCTCTTTACTCAATCCTAATTCAGCCTGCTCATGTAACAAAAACACACAAATCATTACAGAACTAAATCCCATCATCAAAGCACAACTAAAAGGAACAATAAAAACAGATCTTTACAAGAAGAAACTCATTAAGATAGATGATAAAAGAGTACCGACCGTGGAGAGACCGTTTCCTGGGATGAACGTAGTTCGCATTCCTAGAGAAGACAAATCAGAGCTACCACGACGAAGGTAGATCAAATAGAACAAGAAGAGAATTATAAATGTGAAGCAGATTGGTACAGAAAAGATGAATGCTTGATAGAGTTTAAGCTCCGGCGAGTTCGTTGCGGATGATGGTGAACTGTAGTTTTCTGGGTTTGAGTTGCTGTAAGACATCACCACACACAGACCCAGTTCACAAAAATACACTAAAATCCCTAAAGTCCCCTCCTTTAAATGGAGAAACAAGAGAGATCGTCAATTACAGATCGGTTTTATAAGAAAAAAAAGGACAATAATGGTAATAATGTGTATGTGTATATGTGTGAGAGAAAGAGAGATGTGGCAGAGGTTTCAGGTGAAGCATTTAGCTTTCAGTATAGGGCAACTGTCTGTTTCTCTTCTTCATTTATGATTATTTTTTTTAAGGGGAAAATTAAATTTGTTAATTAGTATTTAGGATTTAGAAATTGCGGACGAAACGGACTAAACCGATAGCGGATTAGATCATTTTATTTTTAGGATAGACAACAATCCGCGGTGGAGCAAATTTGTTTCACAGCGGATTTCTTTATAAACTTTTTTTCAGTTTTCAACACTTTTTGAATGGTAAATAGAAAACATTTTCCATAAACGGATTTGTTTCGCTCCAATACTTGCAAATTTTCGAATTCGTCCCAACCGCTGCGACTATTCGAACCCGTATATAATAAAGTTAGGGGCATTAATAATGAAAAAATTGATTGTGAAATGTTAGATAACTTTTCCCGTAGATTCTGGCCGAACCAAACAAGCAAACAAGAGGATGGAAAACGTTCCACTTACACCGATCATAATCGACAAATCCTTCGTTTTTGGCATTGAGCGCCAAAGCCATCACCAAGTTGTCAACTTCAGGTTCTTGATTGTGTATTGCTTTGTAACCAAATGGAGACACGTCCCGGGTTGCTTTTGTTTTTTCTCTTTGGTGTCTTTTGTCTGGATTCAAGGATTTATTTGAAAAGTTATAGTCCTTATCCATCCATAAACAAGAACAAGGATTGTAGGCAAAAAAAAAAAACACAAGAACAAGGACTTGATATGGCATGTTACCTATACAGTATACTCTCTCACATCATGTGCTTGGCTGATTCAGAGGATATATTTGCTTATCTATAAAGATGCATCTGCCTTCTCAATATATATATTTCAGACATAAACATGACTTATCTTACTACATTTCCCACTTACATTCTCCCCCTAAGGCCTAAACTGTTTTAGTTATACAATTCCAAACATTGTAATTTACAGAGAGGCTTATTGTTACAGATAGCTCAAACCGCGAGCCTCAAGACCGGCGTAGCAGAACACAAGGTCATAGAATCTCCAACGTTCTGCTTTGCAAAAACCAAGAACAAGTTTGATTTAGGCGACCCTTTCTTTTGTAGGTGTTTTTGTGGTTGGATCACCAGAGCTAAATTTGCGGACAAGGACTTTGAAACATGGCAGAAACACAATGTATAGTGCAACGATTACAAATGGAGCCGCTATGAGCCACCCTAGCAGCTGAAACAATAAGTTCATGTTTAAGCAGGTTATATGTAGGCCAAGTTATATGAAAACTTGGAACCAACTTGCCATATAAATACATACCAATGAGGAAAACCAATATTATCTTTAGATATGAAAACACTAACAAATGACAACATGGTTCTCACTTGTAAGTTACTGAAGCTATAGGATTATAAAAGATTTGGGCATGAAATGCGACGAGCAGCTTTGAATCATATTACCAAAATCTATACCACTAAGCCAAGACAGAAGAAGCTTACCGCATTGCCAATGCTTAAGAAAACATCTCGGGAAGCTTGGCCTGTCAACACCTTCTTTAGAGCATCAGATGTTAAAGGAAAATGAGGTCCACCAGTTATTTTTTCGCCAAGCCGTAAGAAAGGCACCACAAGACTTCGATGTGAACACAACCAAAAACAAAATTAAACATTAGTACTCAATTTGATACTAGAAAATCAATAAAACACTGTTTTTGTGTTGTCTCTCTCTATTGATCCAAAAGCCGTAACTTTGAAGGAAGCTTAAAGTAGAAATAAATGGCTACCTTAGTTCTATTGGAGTAGCAATAAAATTAGCCAACATCACAGTTGGAGCATGACAAAGAGATCCAAGCGACGCAATAGCCACTCCACATAACAACACCGTAACACCTATCAAAACACAAATATCCCTCTAGAGTGAAACACTTGATAGAGATTTAGAGATCACAAACAGTAATATGTTCCACGAACAACTATTCGACAAATTAAAGTGGCACGAGAACATACCACAGATCGGAAATACTCCCATGGTAATCCCTAATGCTGCAGAGAACGCCAGCTGCTTTGGCTCAGCACCTCTATAGGGTACACAAATCAAAAATTTGATTCACTTACACAACACAGAACATGGCAAAAAAATCAAGTCTTTACAATCTATATCGTTACACATAACTGTTAGATTTGGTCTCTAGTGATGCAAATAAAAAAAACCAACCACAGGCCAGATGTATCAAACCAAATCAAAACAGTCAAGAAGTAAGCACAAGTTATCTACTTGATTACACAAACTACATCGATGAACAAAGTAGACAACTTTATAACACATATAAAGATATTCAGAGAGTTACAGAGTAGAGAGAACCTTCGCAAGATCTGGACAAGTGGTTCAGTGATCTTCTTATCGAACCAAGCTTTCAAACTAAATTTCGAATTCGCCATCACGATTCTTCTTCAACAAGAAAATACGATAAATTTCTCAGCAAGTTAACAAATTCAGAAACGATTCACACTTCTACTAAGTTATTGACTCGACACTTTAAAAATGGAAAATTTGGATGATTGTTTCACTGAAACGTCCTGAAGAACTCTCAAATCGGGTTCTCTTATCTCTACCGCCACGGGACCCGAATCAAGTTCGGGTAAACGGGCCAGAACAATTATAATGGGCTTGTCCGTGTTTTAAATTGGGCTTTAGTAAGCCCAAATCATTAAAGTAGATGCTAATTTAGTATTTTATGTTCCCCCCGCTAGTTTCAAATTTTTTCGCTATTTCGAATTTTCTCTGAAGGTGAGAGCTCGGTTAAAGCTTTTTCTCTGATCTTCAGATTCGTATGAAGATCTGATTCAAAATCTTCTGAGAATTTCGTATGTACCTTTGATTTGAATCGTGTTTGATTGATTAGGTTAGAATTTGAAATTGGAGAAGTGACGAAGAAGAAGAAGAGATGGAGGAGTATCTACAGTATATGAAGACTCTCCGGTCTCAAATGACTGGTATAATCTTCATATCCGATTACAATTTTTCAGATTTTAGCGAATTTTCATCTGACGATTTGTTTTCCATGGATTCGATTGAGGTTAGATGTGGAGGATCATGCGGCGAAGGTCTCCGTCGAGGAACAGATGCAGGTTACCACAATCAGTACCTTGGAGAAAGATCTCGACCATGGTTAGCTTCTCTTTTCAGATTTTAGGAGTTTCTTTGGACGAACAATAGTTATCGTACGGCAGATGTTATTAGGTCATGATGATCTTCGTTGAAATTTATGCTAATTTGGTTTGGAAATCGATCGTGTGCTTTACTATATTTCTGCTTTGTTTGATGTGTAGTTATCATTGATGTGTTTGTTCAGATTTGTGGTTTTTGTTTTGTGAATGTTGATTTGGCTGTTTTGAGATCAACTATGGAGTATCAGAGTAGCAGTTCTTTGTTCAAGTTAGTTCGATTCTGGATCTTCAGTTTTGTACACAGCTTCGTTGAAATTTATGCTAATTTTGGTTTGGAAATCCATAGATTGCGAGATCTGCTGTCTCGTATTTTGAATTTTATTTGCTGTGTGGCTATCAGTCAGATTTGTGTTTTTGTTTTGTGAATGTTGTTGATTTGGCTGTTCTGTGATCAACTATTGAGTATCAGAGTAGCAGCCCTTTGTTCAAGTGTTTCAATTCTGGATCTGCACTTTGTACACAGCTTTATATGCACTTTTTTGATGAATTGTTATGTGATTTTTCCTAATTTTTGTATCACTATTTGAAGCATTGTCTGAGACAAAGAGACTAAAAGAAGAGACTGAGCAGAAGACGAGGGCCAAAGGCGAAATATGCTCTTGCATACTTGAAAAGCAGAGAAAAATTTCATCGATGGAATCTGATTCAGCCAATCTTGCACAGGTATTTAAACTCTTATAGAAGCCGTAGAAGCAGAAAGATTATGATTTCGTTTGTTAGACTGTTATCAGCTACACAGTTGGTTCATTTTGTGTGTTGCTTACACTGAGGGAAATGTGTTATCCTGTGATGTAGAGTTTGGAGCTTATTCTACAAGAACGAGACAGTATATCTTCCAAACTTGTATCAAAACGGTAATTTAAAGAACATCTCTCTAGAGCTGGATTGTGGTTGTGGAATGACCTGAAGAATGTCAGTTTCATTGTTTCTAATTGCAGTTCTAACTATGTAAAGACGGCAGAAGAAGCTAGAACCAAACTAGAGGAACAAAAGGTTTGCTATTTGCATCTTCTTCATGTGATATATAATTCACTGTTTACAAACACAATAATCTATCTGTTTTGTCAGGGCTGGTTTATCTCCCATATGAGCAATGAAACTGGTCAACAAGTACAGGTTCGTTCTCCAGTGAATCCTTAAATCCGTAAATGCTTATTTCACTGTGTGGCTAGGATTTCTTATCCCTTTCTTGTCGATCATTGATACTTTAGAAAAAAGAAACAAAGGATAACCTGCTAGAACTATCAGATTCTGCTAGAGCAAAGCTTGATCAAGCAAAGCAGATGAGATCCAACCTTATCCAAGAAATTTCGAAGGTTATTTGCTTTAGCTCAGACTTCTTACTCTTGGTGTTTTTGTATTTGTGATATGTGTTTTTTCCTATATAAACTTAGTTTTGTTTCCCTTCCCAGTAACAATTTGTTATTTTGAGCACTTTTCTAACTGATATAATTTGATTTCAGATCAAGCTATCAATTGAGCATGTGAAGCACAAGATCAATGAGTATAAGGTAATTACTCTGTACAATCTTTGCTAACACTGTGATGTTGCATGAGTTCAGTCATGTAAGACTTTTTACTGCAACTGTTATTATACTATTTTCTTAATTTTTGAACAATGCAGCCAGAGTTAATGTCGGTGGATATAAAGGTTCTAGAAGAGGAATACACAGCTCTCTTGTCAGATGAGTCTGGAGAGGCAGAGTATCTGAGTTCGCTGCAGAGTCAGGCTGAGAAACTGAAGGTGATTAAGTCACATTGATTTATATAGGCTTAATCTGATTACTACTAACTATAAGATCATGATCATGTCCACTTCTTGCAGGGAATTTCTTACATTGCGAAATGTGGTTGTGGAGAAGAATACAGTGTTGGTCTAGATTAGGCCAAAAGTTATATACATGCACTATCACCACCATTCAAGAATCTGTCAAACTAATAATATCTGAATAATGTGAACAAATCAAGAACCTCTATGCGCTAGTTAGTTCTTTAGAATCTGTGCTTCTGCTGACTGGGTTAATTGTTTAGTTTTTTTCTGAGAGAGTTAACTATCATGCTGTCTTGTCGTTACTTGTATATCAATGTTAGGAATCATATATAATCTTATATCGACGAATATATTGATTGACCTTACGGGTTTTGGAAATAGAATAGCAAGCAATAAATTTTCATAGGAAACGATTTGATCTATTGCCATATATGAAATCGTTGAATTAATTAGGTTGAGTTTTTTTTTGGACCTAAACTTAAACTAAGAGCTAGTCAAAGGTTTCATTGTGCAACCCATAGCAAACAATAACCAAATCATATGTATAGAATATGGATATTATATATATGCGATAGCCTTTCAAATGGGGAAAATAAATAAATACATTCCCTTTTTATATAGATATGATCTTCCGCAAAATCCCACCTCTCTTTTTTTCGTGTCTTCCTGCTTTTCCAATGAACCCACTGGTGATGGAGGTGGACTTGAAGAAGAGAAAGAAGTGGCAGTCGAAGCTCCAACATATCATGAGACATGTTATACGCCGAAGCTTAGCTATTGTTAGCAGAGTTTTGAGTTTTCTTAAGGAACAAGTAATAAGTGGCAAGAAAAACCCTAGTCGTAGTGAAACCGCGCTTTCTGTTGAGATACCGGATGATATAGCAGAAGAGATTCTTCACCGCGTTCGGGCAAACGATCTTGTAAGATTGAAAACGGTATCGAAGCATTGGAAAGCTTTGATCGAATCAGGCTATCTAGTAGAGAAACACCTCCGCCGCCGTCAGAAAATTCATGGAGTCGAAGAGTGTAAAATCACCTTAGATGTGTTGACCTTCCACGTCACGCTTATATCAAAATACAGTAGACTGAGAAGAGACAAAGGAGAATCAAGAGCTCCTCGAGTTTCTGGATCGTGTAATGGTTTGGTCTGTGTCTACGATTTGGTCGACGTTTATATAGCCAACCCTTCGACAGGTGTGAGCCGGAAACTTTCTCGTCTTCAAGGTATTACCAAGCTTTCAGCAGGATTCGGGAGAGACGTTGTGACAGGAGCATACAAAGTGGTGGTTTTGAATAGCTTCGGTGATGATAACAGAGTTGAGTGCGTTGTTTTTGATCTTAGCGCTAGCGACTGGAGGTGGAGATACAAAACAGCTGGTCCGATGCCTCCTTCTTTCACTCTGATTAGCCCTGAAAGAAACCCCGTCTCTGTAAACGGCTCAGTCTTCTGGTTGTTGACATGTGACCATGGCCATCCCGAGATACTTGTCATGGATCTTCACACTGAAGAGTTCCGTACTGTGTCATTGTCACTACCCAAGGACGACAATCATGTGTTTGTGTCCCCCCCCTCGGGTTCCGTTTACATGTGGAGTCTCATGGGCCGTCTCTGTGTGTCTGACTTAGGACAAGGTTTAGCTTCGGACGTGTGGAGTTTTGTGCAGGACGAGCTTGGTGAGAGGTGGGAGATCACTAAATTTGCTCCCGGGACTGTCATTCCTCCTTTAAATTTGAGTTCCGCTTGGTTTTCACCAACCTTGGTTTCTCCTTACCAGTAGTAAGTAGTACATGCACCTCTCTCTCGCACACTATTTAGATTCCTTGTCATTCAAGTAATACACTTTTGTTCCAAGATATGGATTCATCATTCCATGTACTATTTTGTTTTTTTTTTTTCCTTCTTCACATCCGTCCTAGGAAATTGAGATATACGAGACTCACGTTACATTATTCCCTTACTTAAACAGATAAATGTGTCATCTTATTACTTAAATAGAGAAATGAGTCACCATATTTGTTTATTATCTTCCATCTAAAACTAAGCTCAAAGATTTATTATACATTCTTTTCATTTGGACCACAAGGTTATACAGATAGAATAGAACATATGAACTAGTGCAATACCATGCTCTTACAAATGGTACAGAGAAGCCAATCCTCCACTGTATATTGTCTGTTAACCAAATCCAAATCCAAATAAACCTGTAAACTGCTCCTGATCTGTAATTACATTTGCCTAACCTTCAAACGAGTTTCTGATTTGACATTTTCACTAGTTCGCACTCGACCAACTACGCATACAACTGATACAAGTACACATGCTCAGTAGCCAACTAATTCCCAAACTTTCCCCAACTTGAATTTGGAAGGCATAACGAAACAAAATTCAAGCTCATATTGTCTAAAAGCTTGCAATATGTACAAATGCAAAACTATTGGCCTATCCTCAAAAGCCTGCTCAACTCATACTTGCAAGGAAACTAAAAAGAAAATGTAAAATTATTGGCATTTGATTCATAATCATATATTAGAGATAACCAACTTATCCAAGAAGCAGATAGAAGAGAAGATAAATCCATCATGATTCAGTTTAAGAGCTTGCAAATTACATACACCAAACTATGAATCTATCCAAACTTGCAAAGTAACTGCAGTAGAAAATGAGGTAGTTGGCGATCCCTGAACTTCAGCAGCTTCAGTTCAACAGAGATTTCAGTATTCAATATCATCCATATCGCCCATGTACTCAGCAACTTGGTCAAGTCTAACATCAAGCATCTTGTGGTTGTCTAAATCACGAACCACACCAGTTTCCTTATCCAAATCTTTCTCAACCAGATTACCATAGACACCCTTATGCTTCCCCAGTAAAACCAAAACCGGACCTCCTCGTCTAGGCAATGCAGTCTCAAGCAACTCCTGATCCACCCCTTGAACCAACTCCTGCGTCTCATCCATCGTGATATCACATATCGTTGGTCCAACAACATCAACAATTTTTCCTTTCTTAAGATACAACCTCCCACCTTTCATATCCTTGCTAACTATTCGCACCTTTATATGACTCCTAAGCCATGATGGCTTCGCTTTCTTCTCTCTTGTTTCACTTCTATCCACCTTCTCACTCACTCTAACTTCAGTTCGACTCCCTCTCTCTGTTCCTCTACTTCGTTTACTAACTTTCTTATCTTTCTCCTTATCATTCAACTGTAAATCTTTCAACTTCTTCAAACACTTCTCTTCTTCCTTGGAACCCAAATCAGCAACCTCATCCACACCCACTTTCACTTCATCTTCACTTCCAGAGATCTTCATAACAAAAAAATCACTACCCAGCTTCTCCACAATCTTACCCTTCAATCCTATATCTCTTCCACCAACAATTCTCACTTCTTTCCCAACAAAAAACAAATCCCCACCATTCATATCTCTCGGCTTCTTATCAAGTTTCACACTTTCCTTAACTTTAGCCTTCACATCCACAACCTTAGATCTATCAGGATCAAAACCTAACCCTTCCTTAGCAGTCCATTTTTTATATTCCTTAATCTCAACATCCTCTTTAGCATTCTTACCTATTCCCTTACCTGGCTTCCACCCATATCCAGCCATCAACGCAGCTCCATAACCCTCCACAGGAACACTCTCAAAATCCTCCAAAGTCGGATCATCAGCGAGAGTCTGCAGATCTTTCCTCAATTTTTGTACCATAAGCTGTTCCCCAATAGATAACTTCCCATCTCCACTCGCATCACCACCAACAGATTCATCCTCCGTCACTTTCTGACGCAGATTCAAACCGTATGTGATGTTGTTATCAGGTCTCTCAGAACCTGGTAAAGGAACCTCAGGCTCGAATTCGAGACCTGAACCTGTATTACCTGATTGAAGAGGTAGATCGAGATTCTTCATCTTCTTGTGAGGTCTCCATGTGTTCTCAATCGGAGGGATAACGAATTTGGGGGTGGAATCAGCTAGGGTTTTCGACGGATCGAATTCTGTGACGAACTCTTTACTAGCTCCGTCATCGCCGGCGTTGTTACCGTCGGCGGTCGCTGTGACTTTGGGCTTAGACTTGGAAGGGAGAGAGAAAGAGAGCTTCATGATTTGATCCTTCTCTTCTCCTCTCTCTCTCTCTCACATGAAACAAAAATCGAAAAAAGTTTACGAAGTCGGTGACATTCGCAGGGTTAAACTTGTCGGAGACTCAGGTGCCCATAGATGGGCCTATTAAATCACTAGTGGCCCAATGGGCTATTTTCATCACTCTAATGAAATTTTTTAATGGGCCAATCCTGACTTAGTCCCCGCGTTTCTTAATACGATTTTTAAATTTTATGAAAACAATAGAGTTTGAAGACAAAAAAAAAAAAAAGAAGAAAACAATAGAGTTTTTATTTTATTTTTAACGGTAGATAATTCTTGTAAGATATGGATAGCGCCTAATAATTCTTGTAATAATTTAATATTGAAATTATCAACTATATAAGAGTATATTGATATATTCATATGTAGTTTAACTTAACCTAATCATTCTAGGAATGTGAAAATTTGAGAAGATAATTACCACTAACCAGGAAATTAAGAGAATATTAATTAGCTTTATCCTTTTGTTTTCCTATATATATGCGTGGAGGACTTGTATAAGTAAGAACACACAAAACAGTCTCGTATCTCGTATTAAGAAGATCTTAAGCTTCCGTAAATCTCAAGGCAGAAGAACAAAACCCTAAATCCTCAAAGAAAACGAAGCATGTATAGAGTCGCTAAAGCGTCGCAGTATCTGGCGATCACCGGTGGTGGGATCCAAGATATCAAGCTTGCTAAGAAATCTTGGGTGTTTCCATGGCAGTCTTGCACCGTCTTCGACGTTTCTCCGGTGAACTACACGTTCGATGTCAAGGCTATGAGTTCCGAGAAACTCCCTTTTGTTATCCCGGCTGTTTTCACGATTGGCCCGAGAGTTGATGATCCTCACGCTCTCTTGCTTTACGCCATGCTTATGTCTCAGCATGATAAGCACTCTAACCACGTCAACGAGCTTGTTCAGGGTGTTATTGAAGGAGAGACTCGTGTTCTTGCTGCTGCTATGACTATGGAAGAGGTCTTCAAAGGTAAACAAACATAGGACTTTATCATCATCTACATAGAAGTTTTGTTTTGTTCGTTTGATTTTGTTATTAGACTTTTGGCTTATGTTATAATCAAATTGTGGCATTGTAGGAACAAAGGAGTTCAAGAAGGAAGTGTTTGACAAGGTTCAACTAGAGCTAAACCAGTTCGGTCTTGTGATATACAATGCGAATGTGAAGCAGCTTGTTGATGTGCCTGGACATGAGTACTTCTCTTACTTGGGCCAGAAGACACAGATGGAAGCAGCAAACCAAGCCAAGATTGACGTAGCAGAGGCACAGATGAAGGGAGAGATAGGTGCCAAAGAAAGGAACGGGCTCACAATCCAGAACGCAGCAAAGATTGACGCTGATTCAAAGATCATATCCACTCAGAGACTAGGACAAGGGACAAAGGAAGAGATCAAGGTCAAGACTGAGGTTAAAGTTTTTGAGAATGAGAAAGCAGCTCTTGTGGCTAAAGCTGATGCAGAACTGGCGATTCAGAAAGCTACTTTCTCCAAGAACTCTCGTGTTGCTGAGGTTGAAGCAACCAAAGCAGTTGCTTTAAGAGAAGCTGAGCTTCAGACTAAAGTCGAGACAATGAATGCATTGACTCGGACAGAGAAGCTTAAAGCCGAGTTCCTCAGTAAAGCCAGTGTTGAGTATGAAACCAAGGTACAAGAAGCAAACTGGGAGCTATACAACAAGCAAAAGCAAGCTGAAGCGGTTCTTTACGAGAAGGAGAAGCAAGCAGAGGCTACTAAAGCTGCAGCTGATGCAGCCTTTTATTCAAAACAGAGAGATGCAGAGGGACTTGTCGCCACGGCCAAAGCTCAAGGGACTTATTTAAGAACCCTCTTGGACGCAGTTGACAATGATTACTCAGCCATGAGAGACTTCTTGATGATCAACAATGGAGTTTACCAAGATATCGCCAAGACTAACGCTGTTGCAATCAGAGACTTGCAGCCTAAAATCAGTGTCTGGAACCATGGTGATAAGGGAATGAGCGGTGGAGCCGGTGGTAATGGTAATGGTATGAGTGATATTGCTGGACTATACAAGATGTTGCCACCGGTTCTTGATACGGTTTATGATCAAACCGGGATGCAGCCACCGGCTTGGCTTGGTACACTACGTGGTACTGAGCCTAAACAATCACTTCCACAACACAGGGGTTGAGATCTCTCAATAGTCATTAGTGCTTTTTCCTATTACTTTTAGCAATTGCTGGATTTGTTTTTTTAATTTATGCTTTACAAATTTAACTTTATTATGAATTTCAATTGTTTTCAGGGATTATTGAGTTTAATAGTTTTAAATGACTATTATAAAAATACAAGGTTATTGAACAAGTACTAATTTTGAAAAACACATTCAAACCTAGTGATATGAAAGTAGTCTATAGTAAATAATTTTACTGAAATTATAAAAATATCCAAATTGTAAAAGATATTCAAATTTTACTTTTATTCATCCAAATTATTTTTAAAAATCATAAAAAACTCAATACAAATCAAATCATGTAGTTTTTAAAAAATGCAGTAGGAAATATCAATGTAGGTTCTTCCAAAGCCTATGTTCCAACTGAAGTACTTATAGAGGTTGGCCACTTATCCACTTTTGGAACATTATAAAGCTTTCCTCAGGTTTATACTCTGCAGTGTGTCCTCCTCCCTACAAAATACAATAGAGACAAAACATATTTTTCAAAATGTAACAACAATAGAGAGAGAACTCCAAAAGAGATATATAAGAGAGACTTGCCTTGATAGTGGCAAATGTCATATTGTTAGCGTACGTCCTTGTATATCCCATAACTTGATTATGAACAAGCCAAGGTCTCCAATCATCAGTTATAGAGTAGTTTAGAGATTTGATCCAAGCTTCAGTTCCAAGAAATGGCACCATCAGGTCATGATCACCGCTATAGACCAGTGACCTATACTCCCCTTTGATGCTAATGTTTCGATGGTACGGTACACTACTCTTTATGTCTTCCTCATAAGGTAAATCCCAATCGCATCTTACCCATTTCCCTACAGTTTCCTATAGAGTTTTGATTCTTAGTTTGCTTCATTAGCACGTAAGAGAAGATGGTACATGTTATGTAATATATTATGGCTTACTTTTACTACATGTAGTGCTCTGCGTACATCTTCATTATTAGCCCAATACGTAGCTAGTAAGTACCGGTACATCTGCATGTTATGATCTCTATCGTTTAATAACTAGATGGTTTCCATTTTTTTATGGTTAAAGCAAGATCAATGGACTTGGTTTGCTTACATAGCAATCTGGAGTGGGGAGAGAAAGATCAGACTGAACAAGTGTCTTAAGATAACTTCTTCTTCCATTATGTTCTGCTGAATAAGGATTTGGTGATATCAAATCACATAAGGCTATTGGAACGAATCCTTCATTTATCCTTGAAACACACTTTCATCATCATCATCAACCAAAACATCTCACAATTAGTACTCTTTTGTTATTCCCCCTTATAATATGTACTTAGCTATTCACAATGTTAAGAGTAGACTTGTGTTTACCTTGTTGTAGTCCTCCATCAACTTCAAGCATTGTGTATTAGTAGGATCCACTTTCGCATAATTTCCTTTGCAGGTACTCTTAAGTGACTAAAAATAAGAGTTTAAAATTTTGATCACTTCAATAACAAAAGATACTTCAGTAACATTAAAAATCTCTCTATATATATATACCTCATATAGTTCATCAGAGATAAATCCCATTCCATGAGCATATGGAATCTTGGAGTTAAAATCACTTTCATGATCTGTTACAGGGTTGCCAACGAGATAACCCTGTTGATAGAAATGATGGTTTTTAAACAAGATGTATTAAGTCATGAATTAACAACGTATGAGTGCATATATATTGATGAACCTTAAGATTTATATGAGGGTTGTCGCCATGTTCATTTCCTGCTTAAAGGTAAAGAGTGTAAGAATGAAATAAAGTGGCTATATAAGTAAAACCAAATCCGAAGAAAAATGGTTTTTGGACAATTGATTATAAGACAAAATAACAAACCTATTGAGATCTGTTGAACAATAGCTGGAACAACTATTCCGGCATAAGAATCTCCGCCGACATAGAAAGGATTTGAGGCAAACTCTGGATTCTCAACTAACCACTGCACCAGCAACAACACCATTTCAAAAACACTATAAGCTACATATACTTAGATTCTCACCAAATGCTTTCAAGAAAACAAAACCTTTTGAAGAAACTCATAGGCATGTTTTGTTTCTCCTGTGTCACTAGGCTTATGAGCAAGTGGATTAGTTGAGTATGAGAAACCAGCACCAGCAGGCTGATCCAAGAATATTATGCTAGCTACCTGAAAAACAAATCTTCAAATCTTGAAAAAACTGATAAAACAAAACAACACAAGCCTAATTAACTCTGTTTTTGTGATGGTTACAATGTCTTAAAGAAGTCATCACCTTTGTCCAAGAATATGAAGTTGAGAGAAGAGAAGGCAAACCTCCATTGTAACCCTCATTTTTAAAAGTCAACGGCCCTGTACATAAACACAAGAATCGATTTAGAGACATCAAAGCAAGAAACAAAGGTCATCAAATCATCTTTTCTTGAAAAAAAGTTCACCGATCTCGAAAGCAAGAGCAGACAGAACAGAGCAAGCTGGTCCTCCAGTTAACCAAAGAATAACAGGGTCTTCTTCAGGATTGTTCTCTGATTTGATGAAGTAGTAGAAAAGCTGAACTTGCTCTTCTTCACCAACACCAATATACCTAAATATACATTCAAAGATTTAAACTTACTAGGGTTGTTGTTGTTGTTGTTGTTGTTGTTACTAATAGAAGAGGAAAGAAAACAAACAAACCCAGTTTCAAGGTGGAACGGAAGAAGACCATTGAAACCAGGAAGATATCTAACAAGAGAGGCTGATGAATCAACTTCATGTTGAGTCAAGAGGAGCAGTTGAAGCAGAAGAAGCAACTTCAGTTTCGATGATGCTCTAGACATGTTCTTATTACCAACTGTTTTTTTTGTTTTGTTTTTCATTTTCAGGCAACAAAACATGACACTTTAAAGGATTGTTTTGAAGTTGACCAGATTTGAGTTTTTAAGTAAAATAATTAACACGTTGAAGGTTTATGATTCTTCATGTCTCAGTGTAGCATTTGTTTATTACTAGTCCTGTCTCAAGGACTTAATTACGCTAGCATCCAATCAGAACAATACTTAAAAAAGGTTAATATAGTATATGGGATGTAAAGTACTCTGCCAAAAATTTGCAAATTAAGGGTGTACAAACCGAAAGGTTTATATATATATAATTTATTCTGAAAATATCCAAGCGGTATATATAATTGAATAATTAAAGCAAATGTAAACCAATCGAACTCATGCCTTTAGAGTACTTAATTAGTGAAATATTCTTGAATGATTAACATGGTGCTATTTTACTATTTACATTTATGATATAGTTTTTTTCCGTAAGATTTAGGATATAGTTTGTTTAAAAGATAGAGTTTAGCGATTAAAGTCTATAATTTAATTTTAAAAGTTTGATTTTGAATATAGTGTTAATTCTGAACTTAGCAATGGTGTGCTTAATTTGGAAACAAAAATTGTTTTTGTGCTATTTGTGAAAATTTCCCTAAAACATATCCTACAAACGATCAAATCATATTATCACTAATTATCATATTTTTGTTTTCCAAATAATAATTATTGTTACAATGAGAAGGACAAGTGGGCTAGTGGTTCTCACCTCTGTTGCCTTTTCACCAGATCCGGGTTTGAGTCTGGTCCCTCTCAAAGAGAGATATATAATTTGTAACGATGACAAAAAAAAAAAAAAAATTATTGTTACAATATTTGTATTTTGTAGTATAACTTTAAATCATTTGTAGAAAAATGTAAAAGAATATCCAAAACGCCTAGAAAGAATATAAATGGAAACGGTGATGATTAGATCATACTACAAAATCAACGTCAGAAAGCAAAAAAATAAAACAAAGAAGATAATGCTACAATACAAATAAAGCATTAGAAAAACAAAGGTTGCATGTGGGATTATTTTTCTTTTCCCACTTGTTATATTAGATTAGAGATAGATAATTATTTTTCTTTTCCCACTTTTCCCATTAAATTAGTCACATATGTTACATACAATGAATTAAACCAAAGTTAAAACACACACACAAAAATAAACATCTTCGAAGGTAAGCTATATTATTGTCCGAACGAGCACGGGTGATGTGAAAAAGTGAGTTGCTACGAAACTTCTTCGTCTTCTTCCTTTTCTACTTTAAAAGTTAGTGACAATCTCTAAGTACCACTCACTTTCTTTCTTTATTTCTCCTTCTCTCGCACTCACAGTCACAGATCAGTCTCCATGACATCGTTCATAGATCTTTTCGCCGGCGACATAACGACACATCTCATAAAGCTTCTCGTTATGGTAGCTAACACAGTCTACAGTTGCAAAGGAATAGCAGAACGACTTGTCACGATGATCAAAGATGTTCAACCAACCATCAGGGAGATCCAATACAGTGGCGTGGAGCTAAGTAACCATCGCCAGACTCAGTTACGAGTCTTCTTTGAGATCTTGGAGAAATCAAGAAAGCTGTGCGAAAAGGTTTTAAGATGTCATAGATGGAATCCTAAACACGTATACCACGCTAACAAGATGAAGGATCTAGAGAAAAAGATATCTCGTTTTCTCCACAGCCAGATTCTTCTCTCTGTTTTTGCTGAGGTATGTCAGCTAAGAGTCAATGGTGACAGGATTGAGAGACTGTTGAGTGAAAAGAACGGTTCTTTATTGTTACCGGAGGCTACAATGGAGATTGAGACGGTAAGTGATCAGGCGGTTCAAGTGGTGGGATTGGATTTGGGGAAGAGAAAGGTTAAAGAGATGTTGTTCAAGTTTACTGATACTAATCTGTTTGGGATCTCTGGAATGAGCGGTTCTGGGAAGACCACTCTTGCGATAGAGCTTTCAAGAGACGATGATGTTAGAGGTATGTGTGAAGTTTTATTGAGTTTACTGTTGTGTTTGTTGATGAATATCATGAATCTTGATTTGGTCAAGAATTTTTGTGCAGGGCTATTTAAGAACAAGGTTTTGTTTCTGACTGTGTCACGGTCTCCGAATATTGAGAATCTGGAGTCTCGTATACGAGAGTTTGTTAATGATGGAGTTCAACAACGGAAGCTAGTGATCCTTGATGATGTTTGGACAAGAGAGTCCTTGGATAAGCTGTTGTCTAGAATCCGTGGAAGCACAACTTTGGTAGTCTCACAGTCCAAGCTTGCAGATCCTAGAATCACCTATAATGTGGAAATGTTGAAGGAAGATGAAGCCATGACCCTTTTGTGTCTATGTGCTTTCGAGCAAGAGTCCCCGCCTTCTCCGTTCAACAAAGATTTAGTGAAAAAGGTAATGCTTCTTTTATCTGCATTTGATAATACACTTGCTTCTAGATACTTAGATCACTAGCTCCTCTGTTTGGTAGGTTGTTGATGAGTGTAAAGGTCTACCTTTGTCTTTGAAAGTTCTTGGTGCTTCGTTAAAATACAAACCTGAAAGATATTGGGAAGGCGTAGTTAAGAGGTTATCAAGAGGTGAAGCTATTGATGAAACTCATGAGAGCAGAGTCTTTACTCATATCCAAGAAAGTCTAGAAAACCTCGAGCCGAGAATCAAAAACTGTTTCTTGGATATGGGTGTTTTCTCTGAAGATAAGAAGATCCCTCTTGATCTTCTCACCAACGTGTGGGTCGAGAGGCATGACATCGACGAGGAAACTGCTTTTTCCTTTGTTCTTCGTTTAGCTGACAAGAATCTCCTTACTATAGTAAACAATCCGAGGTACTTGTTCTTTCATGATTTTCATGTCTTGTAGCCACTGTCCACATTTGAAATATATATCATAATTTTGTAGGTTTGGCGATGTGCACATTGGCTACTATGATGTGTTTGTTACGCAACACGATGTTCTGCGAGACCTAGCCCTTCATCTTTCGAGCAATCGCGTGGAAGTAAATAGGAGAGAGCGATTGTTAATGCCAAAAACAGAACCAGTGCTTCCAAGAGAATGGGAAAGGAATAAAGATGAGCCATTTGATGCCAAGATAGTTTCCCTTCATACAGGCAAGAATTCTCTTACTTCTAATGACTTTGGTTGGAGAGTGAAGTTGTCTTCAAGGATTTGACATGGATTGGTTTGTGTCTTTAGGTGATATGGATGAAATGGATTGGTTTGACATGGACCTCCCTAAGGTTGAAGTTTTGATACTTAACTTCTCTTCAGACAAGTATGTCTTGCCACCATTTATTAGTAAGATGGTTAACCTCAGGGTGCTCGTGATTATAAACAATGGCATGACTCCGGCACATCTACAATATGGCTTCTCCATCTTTGCCAATTTGACCAACCTGAGGAGTCTCTGGCTCAAGAGAGTTCACGTCCCTGAACTCTCCAGCAACACCATTCCTTTGAAAAACCTACACAAGATTCATTTGATCCTTTGTAAGGTTAACAACAGTTTTGGTCAGACAACATTTGACATCTCCCACATCTTCCCAAGCTTGTCTGATCTCACTATTGATCATTGTGATGATCTTGTGGAACTAAACTCCACCATCTCTGGGATGACCTCTCTCAAGTCTCTGAACATAACCAACTGTTCCCGCATTACTCAATTACCTAAGGATCTGAGTAATCTACAGTCCCTTGAACGTCTAAGGTTATATGCTTGCCCCGAGCTGACATCCCTCCCGGACAACATTTGTGAGCTGCCATGTCTAAGGTACGTTGACATTTCACAGTGTATCAGCTTGATTTCTCTTCCGGGAAAGATAGGAAAGCTAAGGACACTTGAGAAAATAGACATGAGAGGTTGCAGCTTATTTGATCTACCAAGTTCTTTAGCTGGCCTCGAGTCTCTACGCCATGTCATTTGCGACGAGAACGTTTCATCTATGTGGGAAAATATTAGAAAAGTGGTTCCGGAACTTTGCATTGAAATCCCTGAGAAAAATTTCACTGTGGATTGGCTTGACGATTAGATACCTTTAAATCCATCAAACTCTTGATAACTTTTTTGTATAAAATCATTGCTCATCGGAGCTAGTGAAGTGTACTTTTAAATGTCTTTATATATATAATATCGTGTTTAGTTATCAAATCTTATTCTCTTGTCATACAGAATAAGCTTTGTACTTAATGCTTACGAGACTGCTTTAGGAACATAATAAATCTATCGGCCCATCTGAAGGCCCAATTAGTCCACCGTCTACACTCTAGATCGTTGCACGATAGACAGACTGCTCTCAAAATCTAAACAGTCTACTTTGACTTTCATTTTCTTGGTCAATATCAACTGCTAACAAAAATTAGCGTACTTTACACAAAAAGTTGTGTTACGTAACTAATTATCAAAAATAAGATTAAAACATTACTTCACAAAATAAAAGACGAACCAACAATATGAAAGAAAGAACATTATAGAAAGATATAATGGAAAATAAGAAGTATGAGCCTTGTTTTAAAAATCATTAGGAGTTAGTCGGGCGGCTGAGGTAGGCCTTGTGTCTAGCCGAAAAATCGGGGATTAAATGAGAATTAACCGGAAACTAGTTTTAGGGTTATTTTATTAAATAAATAAAAAATAATAAATAAATAATGTTAATTATATGTATAGTTTGATTTCTGATAATAAAAAAACAAAGTATAACATACAAGATTATAATATTGGTTTCAAAATTGTAGAAAATATATCAAAATCATAATTTTAGAGCCAAATTTATGTTTTTCATTAAAATTTTGAACATAAATTATTGTAAAACATCACAAATTCTCATTATATATTTAATAATCGACAAAAAAATAGGCGGAGATTAGTCATTAATCGAGGCGGATATGGTGGGCCTAGTAATTACACGGGGTGTAATCGGACCAAAACGGAGATTTTTTAAACAGGGAGTATGGGAAAACAAGAAAATAAGAAAAATAATACCAAAAGTAGATATTTGTTTTTCAGGAAGTGTTAAACCTAAACAGATAAATTAATCAGGACAAAAACAAGAAATTAAATGAATCTGTCTTTTTCAAGTTTGTCGGGGGGAAATGATAAATTCGACCACGATAACGGAGACCACTAGTTACTGCCACATGCAAATGGATTAGTCAAAATCGTCAACTTTGACTCCGCACCTCACGACTCTATCACCCTTTATTAATAGCTTTCAGCTACTTCTCTCAATCAAAACACAACACAACACCATGAACTCTTCTTCCTTTACTCTCTTTATCTTCACCGTCGTTATCTTTCTCCGATGTCTAAACCCCACCGGAGCCGCCACGTGTCATCCCGATGACGAAGCGGGTCTTCTAGCTTTCAAAGCCGGTATAACCCGAGACCCTTCGGGTATTCTCACCTCATGGAAGAAAGGTACTCCTTGCTGTTCTTGGAACGGTGTCACTTGTCTCACCACCGACCGTGTCTCCGCACTCTCTGTCAACGGACAAGAGGATGTCGCCGGAAGCTTTCTTTCCGGTACTATCTCGCCGTCACTAGCCAAACTTAAGTTCCTTGATGGACTCTACTTCATGAATCTCAAGAACATCACCGGTTCATTCCCTCAGTTCCTTTTCCAATTACCAAATCTTAAATACGTATACATTGAAAACAACCGTCTCTCCGGTCCTCTCCCGGTTAACATTGGTTCTCTAAGCCAGCTCGAAGCGTTTAGTCTTGCAGGAAACCGGTTCACCGGTCCGATTCCAAGTTCGATATCTAAGTTAACTCGGTTAAGTCAGCTCAATCTCGGTAATAATCTCTTAACCGGAACTATACCTTTAGGTGTAGCTAATTTCAAGTCCATTGGGTATCTCAACCTCGGAGGCAACCGTCTCTCTGGAGCCATACCGGATATTTTCAAATCCATGCCGGAGCTCCGATCTCTCGTCCTCTCACGCAACGGTTTCTCCGGGACTCTTCCTCCGTCCATTGCATCACTTGCACCAATCCTTAGGTTCCTTGAGTTAGGCCACAACAAACTCTCCGGGAAGATACCAAACTTTTTATCAAACTTCAAGGCTCTCGATACATTAGATCTCTCCAAGAACCAGTTCTCTGGTGTTGTACCAAAGACTTTTGCCAACCTAACCAAGATTTTCAATCTTGATCTCTCCCATAATCTTCTAACCGATCCATTCCCTGTCTTGAACGTTAAAGGCATTGAGTCTCTAGATCTTTCTTACAACCAGTTTCACCTAAACACCATACCTAAATGGGTTACTTCGTCGCCGATCATCTTCTCGTTGAAGCTAGCGAAATGCGGGATCAAGATGAGCTTAGACGACTGGAAGCCAGCTCAAACATACTACTACGATTTCATCGATCTTTCGGAGAACGAGATCTCGGGGAGTCCCGCAAGGTTCTTGAACCAAACAGAGTATCTAATAGAGTTCAAGGCATCAGGAAACAAACTCCGATTCGATATGGGGAAGTTGACGTTCGCCAAGACTTTGACAACCTTGGATATATCAAGAAACTTGATATTTGGAAAAGTGCCAGCGACCGTGGCGGGATTAAAGACATTGAATGTGAGTCACAACCATCTTTGCGGAAAGCTTCCCGTGACTAAGTTTCCGGCTAGCGCGTTTGCCGGTAACGACTGTCTTTGCGGTTCTCCACTTTCTCCTTGTAAAGCTTAAGCGGCACGGGAACTAGAACTGGTGACACAGTTAAAGTTTTAGCTCCAAATAAGATTTGTATTAAATAATCAATAAAGTAGTTTTTCTATGATAAGAAGAAGCTTCATTGTAACGATATGTATTATTAATACTGAACGTACTCAAAGTAGTATTTAAGTTTTAAACACTTTTACATTATTTTGAATGAGGAATTGAATGAATTGTAGAGTCATTAAGAAAGAATTCGATTTTAATAAAGTAATTATTGATATCCGATTGTTTTTTTGCCACTAAATTAATGTGATTATATAATCATTATAACCTCTAAGAGTGTGATTTTGTAGGGAAAAAAATATTACTTCAACTTTTGCTTATATTAGACTCTGTGCAGTATGCAATTCTTGGCCGATGTGTTCCGATTCAAAATAATATATAGCAACATATATATGATGCGTAAATACTAGACATTATAAAAGATAAGGTTGATGGATCAACTCATACCAATGTAATCTTTGGATCTAATGAGTGAAATTTTTTGATTTCAATGGACTAATGAGCTTAATGAGTTAGATATAAATTATTTGATTAGAATGGATTAGTGAGTTACCTATAAGCAAACTGCTGACAGAAATTAAACAATCTGATTCAAATATGTAAACGAAATATAAATGAATCAAATGTCTAAACCGTTTTAGTAAACGAAAACTAATTTGATTTTCTAAGATCTCTCACCATTGATCTTTTTTCGCTCAATTTTTTTACCAATAACATATCATAAATTCACAATATTTCCTCAAAATCACGCTTTTATAAATTTTTTTATAAATTTTCTGTCTCAATGCCTACACTATATAAATTATGCTATATAGCGTATGCATCGAGACGTGAAACCATCTTTGAACTAGCTCTCTTCTTAGTATTTTTTTTTTTCTAGAACAAAAGTTCTACTAGAATAATCCATCGTATATTCAACTTAACAAGAACATAGTAAACCAACCTAGAAAAATTATTCAAAAATCTAAATAACAAAGGAATTCATACAAGAGAGGTAGCATCTTAAACTTCACCACCATAAAACGAAAACTGACTAATTGGTTCTTCCAAAACGATCTAAACTTCCACTTTCTCACGATAACAGAATAGATAAAGCTACTAATGTTAGATTAGAGAATGAACATGAATCTTCATCTTCATCCCATCTTGAGGCCAACCTTTGTCCACAATCTCGATCGATCATTCTACTTAGATAACTTTGACTTTTTAATTTCTGGTCAATATAACACACATATTTGACAAAATAACGTGTTGAAAATTTTTTAATGCAAATTTTCTGTACAAAAGTAACGTACATTTTGTGAAACAAATATGAAAATTGCTATTTTTTCGTTTCATAATAAATTAGAATATTAATTGAACTTGATATAAAACAAACAAAAATACACAAAAATTGACTTATGACCTTCCAATACCATTTACAACAAAATTATAGAAAATATAAAAAAAGACACGTCAAAATTTTTTATAATCAAAGGGTCAAAGCTATTAGAAAATTCTGATGAAAGAAAACGTCTCTTTCAAAGAAACGAGAGATGATAATTTCGACAACGCCTTAAGGGATATACCAAAAGCATATTGCCACCACATGCATATGATGACTTTGTCAAAATCGTCACCTCTTGAGTCGACACTATCTTTCTATTAATAGCTACCAATTACTTCTCTCAATCAATACAACACAACACAACACAACACAACACAACAAAACCCAACACAACAATGAACTCTCGTTCCTTCTGTCTCTACATCTTCACCGCCTTTATCTTTCTCCGGTGTTTAAGCTCCACAGAAGCAGCCACGTGTCATCCTGATGACGAAGCGGGTCTTTTAGCTTTCAAAGCCGGTATAACCCGAGACCCTTCCGGCATCCTCAGCACATGGAAGAAAGGTACTGCCTGCTGTTCATGGTCTGGTGTCGGTTGTCTCACCAACCGCGTCACGGGACTCCAAATCACTGGAGATCCTGATGTTGCCGGAAGCTATCTTTCCGGCACTATCTCCCCGTCATTGGCCAAACTCCAACACCTTGAAGGGTTTTACTTCACCAATCTTCGAAACATCACTGGTCCTTTCCCTCAATTCCTTTACCTATTACCAAAGCTAAACACTGTCTACATTACAGACACCGGTCTCTCCGGTCCTCTTCCCGCTAACATTGGTGCGCTAAGCCAGTTGGGGCAATTAGGTCTCAACGGAAACCGGTTCACCGGTCCAATCCCGAGTTCCATCTCCGATTTAACCCGGTTATTTCAGCTCAATCTTGGTAACAATCTCTTAACCGGAACTATACCCTTTGGAATTTCTAAGCTCAACCTCCTATTTTCACTCAACCTTGGCGGCAATCGTCTCTCTGGAACCATACCTGATATTTTCAAATCCATGACAAAGCTCCAATCTATATTACTCTCCCGCAACGGTTTCTCTGGAAACCTTCCTCCGTCCATTGCATCACTCAGACCGAATCTCTTGTCCATCGATCTAAGCCAGAATAAACTCTCTGGGACTATCCCAACATTTTTATCCAACTTCAAGATACTCGACAAGTTGGATCTTTCGAGGAATAGGTTCTCAGGAGTCGTGCCGACAAGTTTGGCCAATATGCCAAAGCTTTTCCATCTCAACCTTGCATACAATTTTTTAACCGGTCCAGTCCCTGCCGTGAAGAACGTTGAAGGCATCGCCTCTCTTGATCTCTCATACAACAAGTTTAACTTCAAAACGATACCCGAATGGGCGACCTCGTCGCGGTCTATCTACTCGTTGAAGCTTGCAAAATGCGGGATCAATATGAACTTCGAGGAGTGGAAGCCAGTGAACCCCCACATTTACTTTTATATCGATCTCTCAGAAAACGAGATCTCAGGGAGTCCAGTAAAGTTCTTGAGCCTAGCGCGTAACTTGTTTGAGTTTCAAGCGTCAAGGAACAAACTCCGATTCGACATTGGAAAGCTGACAAATTTAAGTCCGAGACTAGAAACCTTGGATCTGTCGAAGAATTTGGTGTTTGGAAAGGTACCAACGACATTGGCTACACTGAAGAAACTGAACTTGAGTCATAACCATCTTTGCGGAAAGCTTCCAGCAACTAAATTCCAGGCCAGAGCGTTCGTAGGTAACGACTGTCTTTGCGGCTCTCCACTTCCTCCTTGTAAAGCGTAAAGTGCAAGAAAACTATAGTTCTGTATTTGGATTTACTTTGACACGTAACTCCAAAAAATATTTGTAATAATATTAATAAGTTAGCCTACATGCGTGTGTATGAATACTTTCTCTGGAGTAAAAAATAAAGTTTATAAATTTTTAGTCAATTTGATAAATATATGAAAGATCTCCAAGAAAAAGGTAAAATAACATGTATGTAGGAGTTTCATCATCAGTTCAAGTTGGAAGCTATCAATGAAGCAAACATATGTGCAAAGAAAGAAACACAAAGCCATGCATGATGCATGTGCACCCATCTTATTTTCTTTTCTTCGGTACATATTGTTACAAGTAAAATTTGGAATAAGATATTACGTTAACAAGAAAAAAAAAATAATCATAAAATTTTAATATTATAAGTGAAAATTTTAGGTATACAAGTATAATGCTTACCATGACTTTTCCCTACTTATACAAAAAAAATCACTCGTTCAATTTACTTCCTCATCAAGGAACTGCGTAGGATTGTAATACATGATGAGTTGATGTGCCTTCAAGATCATGAAATAAACCTTTTCTATTAGATCAAGATAACGCGGCATGTGATAAAGATCTATCTGTATATCACTTATTGCTGCCACATGCAAATGGATTGGTCAAAGACTCAAAATCATTGACTTTGACTTAGCACTTTTCAAGTCGTCTCTCTCCTTCTATTGATAACTACCAATAGCTTCTCTCAGCCACACCACTCAACATCACCATGAACTCTTTCTCATTCACTCTCTACATCTTTGCCGTCCTTGTCCTCCTACAATGCTTAAGTTCGACCGGAGCTGCCACATGTCATCCTGATGACGAGGCGGGTCTTTTAGCTTTCAAAGCTGGTATAACTCAAGATCCTTCGGGCATGCTCAGCTCTTGGAACAAAAGTACTCCTTGCTGCTCCTGGAAGGGTGTCACATGCCTCAACAGCGACCGAGTCACCATACTCGAACTAGTCGGATATCTCAAGAAACCCGAACGCTCCCTCTCTGGCACTCTCTCACCGTCCCTGGCTAAACTCAAGCACCTCAATGTGATCAGTTTAGGAGATCATGGAAACATCACTGGACCTTTTCCCAAGTTCCTTCTCCAGTTACCAAAGCTAAGGTACGTTGACATCGGGAATAACCGTCTCTCCGGTCCACTTCCTTCCAACATAGGTGTACTAAGCATGTTGGAAGAGATCTTTCTTGAAGGAAACAAGTTCACCGGTCCAATCCCGAATTCGATATCAAATCTTACTAGATTATTTTATCTCTTTTTCGGCGGTAATCTCCTAACAGGAACTATACCCATAGGTATTGCTAATCTTACACTCTTGCAGAATCTAAACTTGGGTGGCAACCGCCTCTCTGGCACCATCCCAGATATTTTCGAATCCATGCCGTTACTCAAATTTATCGAACTCTCTCGCAATGAATTCTCCGGAAGACTTCCTCCGTCCATTGTGTCAGTCGCACCAACACTTCTCAGCCTCCATCTAAACCAGAACAATCTCTCGGGGACGATCCCCGACTATATATCAAGATTCAACAGGCTCGAAAAGTTGGATCTCTCCAAGAACCGGTTCTCTGGGGTTGTCCCAAAGGGTTTCATCAATCTGACCAATCTTAATAATCTTGATCTCTCCCACAATCTTCTAACTGGTCAATTCCCTGACTTGACCACTAACACCATCGAGTATCTTGATCTCTCATACAACCAATTTCAGCTAGAAACTATTCCAAAATGGGTAACGTCTTTGCCAAGCATCTTTTTGTTGAAGCTAGCGAAATGCGGGATCAAGATGAACTTAGATGATTGGAAGCCAGCGGAACCCTTGTACTTCCATTACATTGATCTGTCTAAAAATGAGATCTCAGGGAATCTAGAAAGGTTCTTGAACCAGACATGGTATCTCCTAGAGCTTCGGGTGGCAGGAAACAAACTCAGATTCGATATGGGAAACCTGACGTTTCCAAGAACGCTAAAAACTCTCGATCTGTCAAGGAACTTGGTGTATGGAAAGGTGCCTGCGACGGTGAATAGTCTACAGAGACTGAACTTGAGTCAAAACCATCTTTGCGGAGAACTTCCCGCGACAAAGTTTCCGGCTAGTGCATTCGCTGGTAATGATTGTCTTTGTGGCTCTCCACTTTCTCCTTGTAAAGCTTAGCGGTAAGAAAGCTACAGTTTTCAATTTGGACTTACTTTGATACGTAGTTCCAAATATGATTTGAAATAATAACAAATAAAGTTGTTTAAGATATGGAAAGGCTCAATTACGACGATATGTGTTAGTGAAAATAGTAGTATTGTACCAAAGTTTTAAAACACTTCTTGATTTTCTTTATTCGAGTTTTCATACAGTGGAATTGTTGGTTAAAAATTAGGAATTAAATGAAATTTTAGAATTACTAAGAAACAAATTTTAGTTGAAACAAAACAATTATAAAAGAACGGATTTTTTTTCAAAATTTGTTACTTGTGTTCTACGCATTCAACAATTATTGACGTATAAAATATTAACTCTTAATTAGCTTCAAGATTTACCAACGGTCATCAATATCTTTTACTTTGTTAAACTTTCATATCTAATGTGATATCATATATAAAGTTACCCACACAATAAGTCTATAAAAACTATATACGTACGTACAATGTTTAAGGCAGTCGTGGACTGATAAATTCGACCACGGTTATAATTCCACTAATTACGGATACTATTAATTTACAACCACATGGAAATGGATCGGTCAAATTTTTCAACTTTCTCTTATTAAACCAAAATAAGTGTTACTAGAAATCGAAAATGCAAAGCGAATGAATGAATAAATGATACCACCAATAAGTCTCTTAGAATAATTTTAGATAATAAAATAAATTAATTAAATGTTAAATAACGATTTCTCTTTTTATTTACTTACTTAGAGCTAAGAGATAATACACACAACAGACCATAGCTTTTTGAAAAATCTAAATATGATGTATCTTATATTGATATCTAATGTCTAATATTTTATATATATTTTGTGTTTTTTTGGGGCAAAATCTCTGTTCCTCTCTCCTTTTCTCTGCCAAACAAATGTCTCTTAAAAAAATTAGTGGAGTTGGAAAAAAAAAATATTAGTGGAAAAAGGAGAATGGTTAGTATGCCATCAACAATTGAAAAATACATAAGATCATACAGAGATCCCATGGGAATATTTGGTATGGTCACGAGAACAATATTAGTCTGCAGAATCTGAACTTAAGCAAAAATACTATTTGCGGAAATATTCCAACAAAGTTTCCAGCTAATATGTTTGCCAGTAACGAATATTACTTTGTGGCTTTCCATTTTTTCATTCTAAACTTTAGCGGCAAGAAAATGTTTCAAATAATATTTATATTAAAAGCTTCATTACAATTATATTTAAGTTTCCTACAATTTTGTATTATATTATTTAGTAATTCCATACCTTTGAAATTCAAATAATTGTTACTTAGTAAAAGGAAATGAATGAAACTGTAGAATGAACAAAATAAATTAATAAAACTTCTAAAAATTAATAATGTTAAAACTTGGGACCATAGTATTTTATTAATTTATAGTTATATTAATTTATCTATAAATTATTATTTATTAATTTAAAGTGTAAATTAATAATTATTAAATTATAGTGATATTTTTAATTATAAAAAATGTGAAAATATGAACTGGGATAATTTTACATACCTAAGATTAGTATTCTATATATTATAATTTTATAGTGTGAAATCGAATTTAATATTTAGAAGATAAAAATTAACATTAATTTGGAAATATTATAGATCAATTCATTCCCATAGACATATGATATACATAAATTCAATTTTATGAATACCTTCAGTTGATATATTTAACATCTTATAAAACTAAAATATGATGTACATTTAGAAATTAGAAACATAAAGAAAATTTTGGTTCTTTTGATGACATATTATCGAGTATATTACAAGATTATTCTTTACAAAAATAACATAAAATTGTTTTATAGAGATGAACTCTAGGAAAAAATAAATTTTCCAGAAATACTAAACATTAATATATCTATTTATACTCTACCAAAAAAACATATATATATATAATAATTATTATTATTAATTTATGATATTATTGAGATTGTATTTTACATGAAGATTTCAAGAAAAAATATTATTTTGTAATCTAATCAAATTTTATTAATTTTTACACCGGTCCGGACAAAAAAATTAATCTTTTATAGTATTTATTAAATTTATAGAATGTTAATTTATAGAGATTACCGTAATTAATGAGATTTTTAATAGTTTCATATTTAGTAAATAAAAAGAGATGTATCTTTAGTCAAGTGATTAAGTCTACTTATTTCTATTTTCTCTGCCGGAACTTGACTCCAAAAAATCGCTTTATCTTGCATAATACATATTAACTATGAAATATGGATCGGACCTAGTAGTAGAGATCAGCTTTTAGTCCATAGAATGTATTTCAATCGTAAAGAGAGCTCAAACTGGACGGTGAAAATAAATTAATTTGGAAGAAAGGTTTATATCAACTGGACAAATTATCCAAGATCTGATCTATGATCCGAATAATAGTGTGACCAACCGAAACCAGGTGTGTATAGTTGCGGTAAATCCACTAATCGAGGATTCGTGAACAATACAATATTGTCCCTTATCAAGTTTGTCTCATGCGGGCAGAATAGTAATTAACCAACCACCGATGATATCCACTTAGAGAAAACCAATGGGAGAAAGCATCTGGTTTTGAGTGTAACCAGCAGCTACACTTCTCTTATTATATAACCAAACTCTTCAAGTTCTCAATCTTCAAACTTCACAAACACACAACTCACAAAAGAAGCAAAGAGTTTATAACTTCTCCAATCAAGAAAAAGAAAAAGATGAGTGCAACGAGCAAAGCATGGTTAGTAGCTGCAAGCATTGGAGCCTTGGAAGCGTCCAAGGATCAATTAGGCATGTGCCGGTGGAACTACTTGATCAGGTCTGTGAATCAACGTATCAAGAACAACGTCAGATCCGCTTCTCAGGCTAACAGATTCTCTTCTTCATCGACTACTACCACCACCGCTGTTGTAGCTTCCGTTAAGGATAATGGTGGTGATAAGGCCAAGCAAGCTGAGGAGTCTCTTAGGACAGTTATGTACTTGAGCTGTTGGGGTCCTAACTAAATACAGACATGACCTTTGTTTTGTACGTAGATTAACTAGATATGGAAATTGCAAACTGATCATTCATTGTAGATAAATGTTTATGATTTTAATAGAAGATGAATTTTATATATATAATTCATTTCAAGTGATATTTTGTGCAATGGGAGTTGATCCCTTGTTTGTAAGTTACAAAGCAATCTAAGCACTTTCAACGTACGTAGTATCCAAATATGATTTGTAATGATAGCAAATATAAAGTTGTTTAAGAGCAAGGGCATTGGTTATACCCAAATGTTGGTCCCAAAATTTGTTTATTAATTTTTTTTTGTAAGGGACAAATACTAAATATTTTGGTACGAGCATTGGTGTCATACGTTTTTTGTCCCACGGTAAAATTAACAATAATTTTTTTTTTGTTTAATTTGATATTAATTTAGAAATAAAAACATTTATAACATATTAGATTACTTTATACATTACATCTTATTATAAAATATTTGATTAATTTATAACACACAAAAGTAGACCAAATAACATAAAAAGAAATATTTGAAAATTACAAAAACATGAAAAAGATAAAACATAAAAAGACACATAAAACAGAGAAATATTAAAACATTTTATTGAATTTATAGAAATTTGAAACTTAATCTTCAATCTTCATTATATGGAAGATGTCCAAAAGTAGACCAAATATGCTCAATCAAATCTCCTTTTAATTGTTCATGGGCTTGTTTATCCCGAACTCTTGTTCTACGAGTAATTGTGGTGCCAATATTTGATCCCACCCCGGCGGTACCAACGGTATAGGTTTGATCGACATCTTCTCCATGTTGAAATTCAGAAGCGTTACGAAGATTGTATGTATGTCTTTCATCCTCCACAATCATATTATGGAGTATTATGCATGCTTTCATAACATTAGCCATTTTGTTTTTATCCCATAGAGAAGATGGATTTTTAATAACAGCAAATCTAGCTTGCAATACTCCAAATGCACGCTCAACATCTTTCCGCACAGCTTCTTGTTTTTTTGAAAAGAGAGAATTTTTCATACCTTGTGGTAGTCGGATAGATTGAATGAAAGTGGCCCATTTCGGATAAATCCCATCAGTGAGATAGTACGCCAAATTGTGTTGATTTCCGTTGACAAAGAAGTTGACTTCCGGAGCTTGACCGTTTATAATGTAATCAAAAACATTAGATCGATCTAGAATATTAAGATCGTTCATAGTACCTGGAGCTCCAAAAAATGCATGCCAAATCCATAGGTCATAAGATGCAACCGCCTCCAAAACGATAGTAGGTTTTCCGGTGGATCGAGAGTACATGCCTTTCCAAGCTGTGGGACAATTCTTCCACCCCCAATGCATACAGTCAATGCTGCCAATCATCCCCGGAAATCCACGTTGTTCATTTTGTTGGAGTAATCTTTGTAGGTCTTCTTCAGTTGGACGTCTTAAATATTCGTCGCCAAACAATTGAATTATTGCAGTGGTAAACTCGTGTAAACATTTCCGAGCGGTTGAAGCACCTATCCGTATATACTCGTCCACTGAGTCACACGCACCACCGTATGCTAATTGACGAATTGCTGCAGTACATTTTTGTATTGGTGAAAGACTAGCTCGTCCGGCTGCATCCTCCGTTTGTTGAAAATATTGGACTTCGGTAGATAGACGATGCACAATACGCATAAACAACGGTTTGTTCATTCGAAATCGTCTCCGGAATAAATTGGGCGGGTATGTCGGAGTATCACTAAAATAATCATTCCAAAGATTATTGTGGCCTTCTTCACGGTTTCTATGAATATACGCTCGTTTTTTTGGCATTTCTGGTTCTTGCAAGAGATTAAAATTTTCTTGAAAATCAGTAATGAAGATCAGTAATGAAGATGTTCTGAGGCATACTTATCCTGGTTCTGAGGCATAGTACATAATGTAAACAAACTAATAAACCAACATGATGTTCTGAGAAATGCAATACTTTATATAATCCGAGTACAGAAAATGGATACAAACTGACCAAGCAAGATACTGAAAAACAGAAAGACCAAGACCAAACAGAAATCAGAATACAAACTCAAATACCAAACCAAAAGAGAAATCAGAATACAAACTCAAATACCAAACCAAACAGAAATCAGAATACAACCTAGTTGTCTCAGAAATACTGAGCAACTATCCTACTTTTTATAAGTTCATCTGCTGAACTTAAAGGGTCCTTCTTTGCCAGAATTGTGTCAAGTATGGCAAGCTTTTGAAGCTTCTCTGTCTCAGCCATTTCTTCCTTTTTTATGTCCCACATACTCTTATACTCTATAAGAGCCTTCCCTTGACCATTAGTTCTTTTTGCTTTTGCAGCTTTTACACCTTCAGGCCTCACCTCACATTCTTCTTCAATGCTCGTTGCAGTTTGTGATCCCTCTTCTGTTGGTTTCCTTTTTGATCTGCCTGTAGGTGTACCGGAGTTGATTGTGTTAAGAGTTATCCACTTCTGTTCATACCTTAGTAGACACCAGCAATGTTCTAAATTAAATCTGGTTTTGTAGTCTGAATAGTAAATGGCATGGGCAACTTTGAGGACATCATTGTCTGAATGACCAGAGGTGTTTTGCCTTTCTGCAGTAGCAAATGAGCCACAAAACTTGTTTGTGAACTCATTTATTTTGTGCCAACGTTGCTTACAATTCACCTTCAGGCCTTGTTCACCACTTTCTGTTGAACTTGGAGAAGAAGCATAATACTCGGCTACCCTATGCCAAAAACTTCCTCCCTTCTGTTGATTCCCGACAATGGTATCTTTGGAAGTATTGAGCCATGCGCTAATCAAGACTTCATCATCACAAGGGTTCCATTTCTTTCTGTCTTTCACAGTAACTGGTGTTTGTGAGCTCATAGCCGGTGTGCCATCAGATGGTGTGCCTATTGATGGTTGTGAGCTCCAAGCAGGTCCTTCAGATGCAAGATTGTAGGCTTCTGGAGGAAAACTCTCATTAGAGTTTTGTTGGTTTTGGTTATCAAGCTGACTGTTTAGAAGTTCTAAATAAGAAGATGAGTGAGGATATGGATTATATGAATCCATATCAAAGGGTTTTAAGAATGGAATAAGAAGATAGGGTTTTAAGATTGGAATACAGAAGTGTTAGAAAGGCTGGTTTGAATAATGTAGTGGAGATTTGTTACAAAGGCTGGTTTTATAATAGACTCGAGAAGGACATAAAGGGTTTAAGAAGGGATCTATATTCAAATTTAGGACAGCTAGGACATAAATGCTCGTTTCCTACTTCACCATACAGGTGAGATAAGATAGTCGAGAATAGAAGGTGGTGTGTAAGAAAGTTGCTATTATGTTTATTAAGTATGAAAGCAATCAACAATAACTGACATGCTACTAAACAACAAATGTCTTATCAGAACAGATGAGAATTTAACTCAAACAGTTTTATAAAAGTTTCATCTTTATCAACTCATTTACATTGTTATAATCGGACCAGAACTAATTTGATTTCAACTAAACATCATAACATTCAAGAATCCTAACAGCCAAAAACAAAGGTCAACCAAAACATGAAACTGAACCAAAGTCATAACTACCTAGTACACATGTAACTTACTGATACAGTGACCTAAAAATAGCTACTATACATGCCATTTATTCCACTACAAAAGCTAACAAGGGTGTATAGCATCCGAACAGTGAGTCAACTAACACATGTACTTATACTCAATCAATCCTAAGTATCTCTATTTCACCTACCATTCGAACAAAAACCATCTTTATCAACTAATTAACAACAATCATCTAAACTGCTGCAAAGGAATCAAGAATTACCTTGGATATTTAATTGAAATTGCTGCTTCTTCCACTCCTTATTTTAGCTTTTCAGTCCTCACCTATATGCAATGCATACAGACAACAATAACATATTATAAATCGTGGGACAATTATCAAACTAAATCAAATCAATGAAATTTATAACTTGGTGAGTTAAAGGAACCATAGAAAGATCAATCACAGCCGAATAATATGTGAAACTCTCTCATACTATTAACAACAATCAAACTCTGTCGTGTAATTAACAACAATTAACAACAATCATCATGTAAGTAAGTAAATCCAAATTTAGGAAACAAACCGATATCAATAACACTGATCTAGATCCAAAATCGATTCGTATCTACTAACCATACAAACTACTTCCTTATACAAACCAAATCCCTTTCAAAATCCATGCTTATATTATGCAAATCCCCAAAAAAATTCGATGTTTAAAGAAGATCGAAAACCTAGAACACAGAAACTTTAGGGAAATCGAAAACTTACCGATTAGGGTTTCATAAATCCTTTCCGATTGGGGGCTTCGTCCGCCGGAAGAAATCTAACCGGGTGAGGAACACGATTTCGACTCAAAACCCACGGAAGCTCACTATCGACAGAGATCGCCCTTCCACTCGCCTTCTCTCCACAACCGAGACGCCACAGACAAAGAAGAATAGAAAGAAGAAATCGAAAAGACCCCCGAAACATTTCTTCCTTCGACTTATCCAACCTCGAATCAAAACGTGACACGTGGCAAGAGGGACGGGAGATATTCGTCGCGTTTGGACGGACGTTTCTTCGTATTTCGGTGATTATGCATTTTTATTAATTCAGCCAAATACAGGGGACGGTCGATTAACACGCCGTTGCCCTTGCTCTAAGATATGGAAAGGCTCAGTTACAACTTACAGTGAAAATAGTTTTAAACACTTCTGGATATTCTTCAATCGACGTTCATACAATGGTTAAAAATGAGGAATTAAATGAATTGTAGAATTGTTAAGAATAAAAATTAAGTTGAAACGAATTATAATTATAAAAAATGGTTTTTTTTTTTGTTTTTGTTTTGGTAACGGGTTAATTTAAGAGAAATATGTATTCATAGAGATTTCTGCGATTCTCACTTAACAAAACCATGTCTTGAACATCTAAATTTCCACAATATATAACAACAAGACAACCTCTCCAAGACTGGTAACAACATCATCTCTAGTCTTGTTACTTGTGTCCTAGGCAACAAGCAATAACCATTATGGAAATGTCTTAAATCGTTCAAATTCCACAAGAATGAAAATCAAAGGTTAATCGTTCAACTTTATTTCTAATCTTGTTTACTTTGTTAAAAATTCCATATTTAATGTGTTCTTCTGTATAATATAGAAAAATATTGCACTCTATAGAAACTTATATATAGTATTCAAGCCCGTCGTAGGAATTTTAAATTCGACCACGATTATAGTGTCCACTAATTACTTCCACATGCAAATGGATCGGTCAAATGCTTCAACTTTCTCTTATTAAACCAAAAAATAAGTGTTACTAGAAATAGAAAATGCAAAAGAGAATGAAGTTAGTTAAGAAGCTTGACTTTTCTGCTCAAGTCGTTTCCCTTTCTCTATTAATAGCTACCAAATGCTTCTCTCCCTCTCACAATACATCACACAATACCACCATGAACTCTAACTCCCTCACTTTTTTCCTCTTATGTGCTATTATATTTCTCCAGTGTTTAAGTTCCACCAGAGCTGCCAAGTGCCATCCTGATGACGAAGCGGGTCTTTTAGCTTTCAAATCAAGTATAATCCGAGATCCTTCAGGCACTCTAAGCTCTTGGAAGAAAGGTACTTTTTGCTGCTCTTGGTATGGTGTCATTTGCATCAGTGACGACCGCGTCACCGAACTATATGTAGACGGAGATTCATATCTTGGCCAAGGTTTCCTCTTTGGCACTATCTCACCGATGCTAGCCAAACTTCAACACCTCGAGGGGATTTACCTCACCTCTCTGCGAAAGATCACTGGAACTTTTCCTCAATTTCTTTTCCAATTACCAAAGCTAAAGTACGTTAGCATCCAAGGTAGCCTTCTCTCTGGTTCCCTACCAGCCAACATCGGCGAGCTAAGTCAGTTGGAAAAGTTAATAATTGACGGAAACCGGTTCACCGGTCAAATTCCAAGTTCAATATCCAATTTGACTCGGCTATCTTGGCTTAATCTCGGCAACAACCGCCTCTCTGGAGCCATCCCAAATATTTTTAAATCCATGAGAAAGCTCCAGTCTCTTGACCTCTCCCAAAACAACTTCTCCGGGAAACTTCCTCCATCTATTGCATCCCTCGCACTTACCCTCACAATCCTTAACCTAGGCCAGAACAATCTCTCGGGGACGATCCCAAACTATTTATCAAGATTTGAGGCTCTCTCCACGTTGGTTCTTTCTAGGAATCGATACTCCGGGGTTGTGCCGATGAGTTTTGTCAATTTGACCAACATTACCAATCTTGATCTTTCCCACAATCTTTTAACTGGTCCATTCCCTTCCTTAAAGAGCATTGACGGCATTGAAACTCTAGATTTGTCATACAACCAGTTTCACCTAAAAACGATTCCAAAATGGGTGACATCTTCACCATTCATCTACTCGTTGAAGTTGGCAAAATGTGGGATAAAGATGAGTTTAGACGATTGGAAGCTAGCAGGAGCGTACTACTTTGTTTCCATCGATCTATCTGAAAACGAGATGATAGGGAGTCCGGTTAGATTCCTTAACCAGATGAAGGATTTGATGGAGTTCCGAGTAAGAGGGAACAAACTCCAATTTGATTTGGGGAAGCTGAAGTTTGGACATACACTTAAAATCTTGGATTTGTCAAGGAACTTGATATTCGGAAAGGTGCCAGCGACGGTAGTTGAACTGAAGACTTTGAACGTGAGTCAAAACCATCTTTGCGGAAAACTTCCGGCGACAAAGTTCCCTGCCAGTGCGTTTACCGGTAACTACTGTCTCTGTGGCTCTCCACTTTCTCCTTGTAAAGTTTAGCGGCAAAAGAACAGTAACTGGTATTTGTATTTTATGTGACACTTATATCCAAATAAGATTTGTATCAATAACACATATCCAAATATTGTGCACTCATCACGAAAGAATTTTATTTAACAAAATAACTATAGAATAACATAATATTTCTCATTAAATAAATGCTGTCTATGTAATTCTTTCACTTGATTTGTTTGTCTTTTTAAAGTTGTAAGCTTCATGTATGCTATGTTGATCATACAATTGATCAAATAAATTTTATAAGTTACATGTGAACTGATCATTACTAGTTTTTGTTGACAAATACCAAGAACAGTCCAGAATAAAGATACATTTAGTTATGCATCATTACAATGGCATACCCTGTCTTTACACATCGCAGTGCTCACAACATTTAAAACCTTTCTTTTTTTTTTTCATTTTTTTTTTTTTTTCATTTAAAACCTTTCTATTCTCCTTACATACCCATCTCACAAGGTGCATGCATATAAATTAAAAACCCACTTTTTTGAAATGATTTGCGTGAGCTTGGATATACTAATATACTATCCGTTCCCGAAACATATAGCTAGGGTCTTTGTCGCGATCTAAGACCATCTCTGATTAAGTAACTGTGGATGATTGATATATATTCAGTGCTGTAGCCTGTAGTATCATGAAATCAACGTAGAGATAACGAGACATGCATGAGATACGCATATATATACCACTGACATTGCCACATGCAAAAGGATACGTGTAAACAAAATCAACTTTGACTTACCAGCTCTCGATCAAGTCGTCTTCTATTGATCATAACCGATATGCTTCCCTCCATCCCACGACACACAACACCACCATGAATAATATAAACTGTTTATTGCCACTTGTTACATTAGATACCACTGTGGTATTACCACCACATGCAAATGATTCGGTCAAAGTCGTCTAATTATTAAGTTTTTTCGTAAAAGTTTAGTAAACAAGAAATTGAGAGAATGAAATGAGATCTTAAACTTTTTGACTCCGCAGCTCTCAAGTCTCAAGTAGCCACCCTCCCTCTATTAATACCTACCTATGGCTTCTCTCAGTCTCACCACACTACACCACACCATGAACTCTTGCTCCTTCATTCTCTTCATCTTTGCCACCATAATATTCCTCCCGTGTTTACGTACCACCGAAGCTGCCTCATGCCATCCTGATGATGAGGCGGGTCTTCTAGCTTTCAAATCGGGTATAACCCGAGACCCTTCGGGTATTCTCAGCTCATGGAAGAAAGGAACTTATTGCTGTTCTTGGAAGGGTGTCACTTGCGAAACCGGCAATCGCGTCACCTTACTGTCAGTAGAGGGATATTCGGATGCTGACGAAACATTTCTCTCCGGCACTATCTCCCCGTCCCTGGCCAAACTCGAGCACCTCAATGAGATTTACTTTAGCAATATCAAAAACATCAAGGGATCTTTTCCCCAATATCTCTTCAAATTACCAATGTTAAAGTATGTTTACATTCAAAACATCCGTCTCTCCGGCCCCCTTCCAACAAACATCGGCGCGTTAAGCCAACTAGAACATCTCGATCTTCAAGGAAACCATTTCACCGGTCCAATCCCGATTTCTATATCCAATTTGACACAGTTAACTCGACTCAACCTTGGTGGAAACCGCTTCTCCAGCACCATCCCAAATATTTTCAAATCTATAAAAGAGCTTGGATATCTCAATCTTTCCGGGAACAGATTCTCCGGGGAACTTCCTCCGTCGATTGCGTCACTCGCACGGAATCTGTGGGCCCTTAGTGTGAGCCAAAACAATCTATCTGGAACCATCCCGAACTATTTATCAAGATTCAAGCTTCTCTCCGTATTGGATCTCTCCAAGAACCGGTACTCAGGTGTTGTGCCGACGAGTTTCACCAATCTAACTAGACTTTATGATCTCAATCTTTCCCAGAATCGTCTTACCAATCCATTCCCTCCATTGGACGTGAGTAGCATGAGATATCTCGATCTCTCGTACAACAAATTTAGCATGACAACAATTCCGCAATGGGTGACAATGTTGCCGATCATCAACTCGTTGAAACTAGCTAAATGTGGGATCAAGATGAGTTTAGACGATTGGAAACCAGCCGCACCTTCATCCTATGACGTAATCGATCTGTCCGAAAACGAGATCTCAGGGAGTCCAGCATGGTTCCTAAACCACACCATCTTTCTGCGAGAGTTTTGGGCGTCAAGGAACAAACTTCGATTTGACATGGGGAAATTGACGTTGGAAAATATAAGAACCTTGGATTTATCAAGGAACTTGGTATTTGGTATGGTGCCGGCAACAATAGCTGGATTGCAGAATCTGAACTTGAGCTACAACCATCTTTGCGGAAAGCTTCCAACAACAAAGTTTCCAGCTAGTGCGTTTGCCGGCAACGACTGTCTCTGCGGCTCTCCACTGTCTCCTTGTAAACCTTTGCGGCAAAAAAAACGTTCTCCAAAATAAGATTTGTACAGTAAAACCTCTATAAATTAATAATGTTGGGACTTGGGACCATGAAAATCTATTAATTTATCGATAAATTAATAATTATTATTTTATAGAGAGATTTTACTAATTTGAAATTTTTTTAAAAATGAGATTTAATCATGATAATTAGTATTTTACATAATCAATTACAAAAAAAATAATTATTATTATGTCTTGAAAGAGAATGCTAACAATTTTTGATATAGTAAAATATTAGAAATAAACTCTAACAAAAACTAATGTGTCTATTTATACATATATTTTAAAAATTTACCTAATTATTAATTTATAATATTATTGGGACTTTATATTTACAAAGGATTTTCAAAAAAAAATATTATCTTATTATTTCATCGAAATATGTCTAAAATTACACTAGTCCCAATTTGGAACCGAAAAAATTTATTAATTTATAGAGATTATTAATTTATCGAATATTAATTTATAGAGGATTTACTGTATTAAAGTGATATAAGCATATGAAGAAGCTTCATTACAATTATTAGTGACTGTACGTAGTATATATTTAAGTTTCCAATAATTCTGTATTACAGTACTTTATTTGGTGACTCCATAAATGAATGAAAAGAAATAATTATTTGTCGATGTAAAACACATTATAATTTCGGGTAGGATTTTTAAGCCATATAATTCTTTTTTTGTTTAAAGTTGTTGACTAATTATCCAAGATCTGATCTATATGATCCCAAGAATAGTGTGACTGATCGAAACCAGGTGCGTATAGTTGCGGTAAAGCCTCTATTCCAGGATTCTTGCAAAAGACAATATTGTCCTTTATCAAGTTTGTTCTTGTATGGGCACAATGGTAATTAACTCACCCCCAGACAATAAAAACTTTGAGAAAACCAATGGGAGAGAGCATCTGGTTTTGAGTCTAACCAGCAGCTACACTTCTCTTATTATATAAACAAACTCCTTCGTTCTCATCTTCTTCATCTTCAAACTTCACAATTCACAATTCACAATTCATAAAAGAAGCAAAGAGTTTATAACTTCTCCAATCAAGAAAAAAGAAAAAAAGGATGGGTTCAAGGAGCAAAGCATGGTTAGTAGCTGCAAGCATTGGAGCCTTGGAAGCATCCAAGGATCAGTTAGGCATGTGTCGGTGGAACTACTTGATCAGGTCTGTGAACCAACGTATCAAGAACAACGTCAGATCCGCTTCTCAGGCTAACAGATTCTCCTCTTCGTCGACTACCACCGCCGCCGCTGTAGCTTCCGTTAAGGATGATAATAATAAGGCGAAGCAAGCTGAGGAGTCTCTTAGGACAGTTATGTACTTGAGCTGTTGGTGTCCTAACTAAAATTCAGACCGGGGCTCTTGTTGTGTAGTAGATTAATTAGATGGGTATTGCAAAATGATAATTAATTGTAGATATATGTTTATGATTAATCTAATAGAAGATGAATTTTATACAACTCAAACGAGGTTTACTATTTGTTTCAAACTACTTATGTTATTTGAAGTGATATTTTGTGCATGTAAATTGGGAGTTGATCCCTTGTTTGTAAGTTACAAAGCAATCTAAGCACTTTCAACGTAGCATCCGCAAATGGCGAAAAAAGTGTCAAGGCAAATAAGAATTGGTCTAGTTTATGACAATTTTCTAGACATTTTTGTACATATCATCTTAATTGATTTTTAATTGGATTATACAAAATATTTCTAGTCTACTAATAATTTAAACATGAGAAATGAAACTTCTAAGCAATCTTCTTCGTCTTCTTTTATTTTATTTGTATGTTAGCTATCGTATGAACCAATGTGGGGTAAGTTTTGGGCAAATATGACCAGAACATTTGTTATCTAGGAATCGAACTAATCAAACTACCCATATCTAACTGAAATAACCAAAATAACCAAAAAACCGGATTGAAAATAAAACAAAAGTTTGGTTAGTTTTGCCTAAACCAAACTAACCGAATCCAGTTTATTTCAGTTAATTTTGACAAGATTTTCAAAACTCAGAAAGCCAAGATTTTCAAAACTCAGAAAGTTTGGTCACGTATAAATCAATTTATTTTTATTTTATTTTTTTCTAAATAAGAAAAACAGCGTGACTGACCCAAACCAGGTGCGTAAAATCCCACTAATCTAGGATCCATAAAAGACAACAATGTCCCTTATCTAGTTCGTCTCATGCGGGTACAATGGTAATTAACTAACCCTAGACGACATAAAACTTGGAGAGAACCTATGGGAGAAGCATCTGGTTTTTAACTCTAAACAGCCAGCAGCTAGTAGCTACATTTATTATATAAACAAACTCCTCCAATTCTCATCTTCATTCATTTGTCTTCAAACTTCACAAACACACAAATTCAAAAATCATTAAAGAAGCAAAGAGTTTATAACTTCTCCAATCAAGAAAAAGATGAGTTCAAGGAGCAAAGCATGGTTAGTAGCAGCAAGCATTGGAGCGTTAGAAGCGTCCAAGGATCAATTAGGCATGTGCCGGTGGAACTACTTGATCAGGTCTGTGAATCAACGTATCAAAAATAATGTGAGATCCGCTTCTCAGGCTAACAGATTCTCTTCTTCGTCCACTACCACCACCGTCGCTGTAGCTTCCGTTAATGGTGATAATAAGGCGAAGCAAGCTGAGGAGTCTCTTAGGACAGTTATGTACTTGAGCTGTTGGGGTCCTAACTAAATTCAGACCGGATCTCTTGTTGTGTAGTAGATTAACTAGATATATGGATATTGCAAAGAAAAGATAATTAATCGTAGTTAAACGTTGATGATTCTAATAGAAAATAAACTTTATATATACAACTCAAAGACTTTTGCTATTTGTTTCAAACTACTCAATTACTAATTTCGTGCATATAAAATGGAGTTGATCACTCACTCGCTGCAAGTAACAAAAAAAATCTAAGCATTTTCAACATACCAAAAATTGTTCTAGACTTCTAGTCTATGACCATGTTTACGCAAAGAAGAATTTGTTATCTTCTTGTCGCTATGGAGAGATAACCTCACCTCTGCTTCTCAGCTCATCAAATGTCTCGACAAACATATTGAAACTGTATCTCGACCATGAGTGTTCTTCATGGTCACACATACGAGGGAACTCTTCAATTATGGTTTGCGACTCATGGCACATAAGTTCATTATTTTTTATTTTTAGGTTCTAAATTTTTCAAATAGAATCATTTGATATAAAAAATAGTTTTTTGGTTGAATAAATTTTACATTCAATTCAAAAAAGTAAAAATAGAATGAATCTAAACTTTTATTATGGTAGGAATTAGGAAAGGAAAGCAAGACATGTTTCAATTCTCACAAATTCTCCAGAAGCGATGTTGTCAAACCACACGATCAAAAAACGTTTCGTTGGTTATAAGTTTATTAAGTATTGGATAATAAACCAACCCAACCAAATCAAGATTTTTGGTTGTTTGGTTTGGTTTTGGTTATTGGTCATTAACCGATCAACAACCTGTGTAATTTCGTTTGTTCAACCAAAAAATGGTTAGTTCGGTTTGGTTTTCGTTTAACATTTTTATAATAAATAGATTATACCAGTTAGACTGATTTTTTTAATAACAAAATTAACCGAGAAACCGAACTGACTAAACTTCTCAAAAAAGTTAATCAAAATTATCCTAAAATAACCGAAAATTGGATTTAAGAAAAATAAAAATTTGGTTAGTTTTGGTTTTGAGATTTCAAAACCAAATAACCGAATCAAAATTTGTTTTCGTTAATCTTAGTAAGATTTTTAAAACCGAAAATATCCAATGCGGCATAGGACTAGTTAGACCATCCTCAATGCTGATCCTTAAGCTTGGTTAAAATTTGATACATAATTCAACAAAAGAAATAATGTACGTGCTTTATATAAAGTAATACAGAAATCATAAGATCCACTTTTTCAATTAAATTATTAAAGAAATTATAAGATTCACTTTTAAGGATTATGCATTGATGATGCTTTTAGACCATCCTCAATATAAGCATCTTAAGGGGTACCTTACCCTAAAATTTGCAAAGAGAGAATCTTATATAAGATATTCTCTTTGCAAATCTTAGGGTAAGGTACTCCCTAAGATGCTTGCATTGAGGATGCCCTTAGAAGTTATGATCGACCATGTCTATAGAGACAAAGAACGAAACAAACCTTGAACCGGATAACACCATACTCAAAAGTAAAACAAGACATGTCACATGATCAAACAAGAGACTACGTCTAGTTCTAGTTCTAAGAAAAACCATTCTTGGTTGAAAATATATACCACACGGAGTCACGGACACACACGTACGTAGATAAATGAATTACGATCAACAACCAACCACTCGACTATATTTTTGTTATATCGATTTATTTTGTTATACAAAAATAATCAAAACGTGAGGGGCAGAACAGAACAGTGTGACCGACCGAAACAAGGTGCGTAAAATCCACTAATTCAGGATTCGTTGAAAGACGATACTATCCCTTATCAAGTTCGTCTCATGCGGACACAATGGTAATTAACATTAGAGAGAACCAGTGGGAAAGAGCATCTAGTTTTGACTCTAAACCAGCTGCTACGTTTCTCTTATTATATAAACAAGAGACTCTTCCGATAATATTCTTCAAACTTCACAAACACACAAATTCATAAAAGAAGCAAAGAGTTTAACTTCTCTAATCAAGAAAAAAGAATAAAAAGATGAGTGCAACGAGCAAAGCATGGTTAGTAGCTGCAAGCATTGGAGCCTTGGAAGCCTCCAAGGATCAATTAGGCATGTGTCGGTGGAACTACTTGATCAGGTCTGTGAATCAACGTATCAAGAACAACGTGAGATCCACTTCTCAGGCTAACAGATTCTCTTCTTCGTCGACTACTACCACCACCGCTGTTGTAGCTTCTGTTAAGGGTAATGATAATAAGGCGAAGCACGCTGAGGAGTCTCTTAGGACAGTTATGTACTTGAGCTGTTGGGGTCCTAACTAAATTCAGACATGATCTCTTTGTTGTGTAGTTGATTAATTAGATGGAAATTGCAAAAATGGTAATTAATTGTAGATAAATGTTTAAGATTCTCATTTCTAATAGAAGATGAATTTTTGGGATATTTCTATTTTCTCAATTATAAAAGAAATAAAAAAATAAAATAAAAACATTAGAAGAAAACACCATAATTTGTCTTTAAATCATAAAACCAATATGTTAATATTTAATAAAATGAAAAGAACATATAAAAGTAAAATAAAACTCTCTCTAAAGTTCATTAGTCTCTTAAGCATATTCTTTTGAGACTTCAAGTGGAGCAGCTTGCTCTGGAGCTAGTTGTTTCTCTAGCTTCATTTCTGATTCTTTAATTCGCTTCTGAGCCAAGTAATATTCAAACCTTCTTAGCGAAGTAAAATTTCTGATTCTGATGATTCTGATCTAATCTCCACCACCTAAGCCAAGTAATATTCACTCCATGTTACTATACTCACTTATAAAAATTTATATCTCCAACCAATGATCATATATAAAGATTATAATATATAGTCATGAAGAATATATATTATATCTTGAATCAAATAGGAAAGCCATGATCATGATATTACCTGTGGCTCTTCCGTATAGGGTTTACCATTGTTCTGCTTTGTAACCAACTCAACAAGTGCGAGAAGCTTCTGAACTTGTTCAACTCTCTTGAGCTGATCCTTGGTCTTGTTATCAAACAATACCAATCTGTTGTCACATAGCTCAAGTAGTTCCTACATAACCATACTATTCATTTAATTTCAAATCAGATATAAATAAGACTATGCAATCTTCATTATAAAAAGTTAACTCACTTTTATGAATTCTGGAGGCTCTTGTGTCAAATATTCCTCTAACGTCATTTCGTTCTCTTCCAATTCATCGCCACCCGTAAAGACAATGATCATATAGTTAGCGATTTTACTGCCGAAAAGGGTTTGCAAGTGACTAAGAACTTTGGCATCTCCTCTAAGACAATCCCTCACAGAGAGCACCAATAGGATAGCATGGATTCCGTTTTTGGCTATCTTTATGCACCTCGAAATTTCGTCGTCGATTGAATCAGCTGGCCTTACTATTTGAAACAAACCTGTAAAATTCACCAGATTCGACAACGTCATACATAATTACAAACAAGTAAACTGTTCTCAATCTGACTTTGTAATTGTATTTTGGCTTGGGACAAAACCATATAACATGCTTTGGTTTTGGTTTCGGATCTGAGGGATGTGACAAAAAAAAAAAAAAAGATCTGAGGGGATGTATTGACTTGGGCCCAAAACCTCTTTGATTATTAAAAAAAAAATTAGGCTAACACACATATATCCACATATCAAACATCATATCAATGATCTGTCGATGCAATAATAACTACATAGCAACGTAAAACAATTGGTCAGAAGCACTCACCAGGAGTATCAATCACATTGATAATTTGGCTATCATCTTGCACAACTCTTGCTGACTGACATGTGTGAGTGACTCCAACGAAACTTGGTTTGGAGATAAACTCTTTTCTTCCAAGGATACTGTTCCCTACAGCACTCTTCCCGTTTCCAGTACGACCGACCAGAACTAGGGTTTGGCTAAGGTTTGATGCGGATTCTAAATCATCGTACGTCAGATCAGTGCTCATCCTTCATGCAACGAAAACGATACCAATTTTTTTGAATCTTTGACATAAAAACATTAACTCAAAAGAATGAAAAAATATCTTACTAACCCACATTACCCTACTCACTAAAGCTTAGTCATCAAGCAACGACAGAATCAGAGATTTTTAATCATTAAAAATTGTGATACATTAACCAGAGAAAAAGAGTTCTAATTAAGAACTTTATACGCTAGTATATCTAATCGAAAAATTAAACAAAACAGTACAAGCAAATTTGAAGAATATAAGAATATTACTTGCTTGAGAAGAGGAATCTGCAGCGATGCTTAATACTATGATTAATGTGAGAACGTAAAAGTATGATATGCTTTCAAATTGGTTAATTCGAGATAGAATGTTGTTTAGGTCTGAAGACTCATCAAATTTTATTTTATATTAAGAGGATAACACAAATCCAACTAGGAAGAGGAAAAGTCTAATCATAATCTACTAACCTAACAAACAAAAATAAAAAAAAATCAGTACATTAATGCACTAGTTTTTCAATTAAAGAATTAAAACATATATCTTAAGAGTTTTTAATATCGACAAAGTGATATATAAACTTAGCTCAAGATAATCATATCTCTGACAAAAACACTGATCCTTAAAGAAATATTGCAAGTTAAAAGTTATCAAGTTATACAATGTTTCAATGCTATCTTACATTAGGATCTTTGGAATCAAGATAACTTATACAGGATCTTTAACAAATCCAAGACTCTCGACGTGTTGATGTGCGATCAAAGCAAAACAATCATCGGTGTATCTACCATTGAATCCATAAGAGCGCCTAAACTCTTCACTGTCTCCAATTCCTAGGAGCCTAACTCTTCTTACGTTTTGTGTTTCAACATTGTAGTAGAAAATGTAGAAAGGTCGAACATTGCGTGACAACTTCTTTGGAGCCATAATGATCTCACCAGCCTTGTTAGTGCCTGGAAAAGATATTTCACCACACTCAACATCATCCCACACTGAGGAAGGAAACACACATGTTTGCTTTGACCATTCAGCTTTCTCGGCGTCTTCTAGTATCCACAAATCAAAACTAGAGATACGACTATAAGGGTTTCTCACAATGGAAGCTAGCTTCCCTTTGTATTCTAAGTATACTGATTCCTTACCCCATTGCACAACAGCTTTAGGTGTACTTATGAAACTTAGCTTCTCAGATCTAACATCGAACCGCGCAAAAGCTGTATCTTTAGTTTGGGTAAAGAAAGCAGCATAGTATAGAAACCCGTTGATGCATATATTAGGTGAAGTCGGCCTATAAGGTAAAGGTGTATCTTCAATGGCTCTCCATTCTTGACCACATCCTAGGGTTAATACCTTGTGCTCCAAGTAACCGATCCTTAATGCTTTGTATTGATCATCAATGGGATCGTATCCCACGAAGTTAATGAGACCTCCAGGTATCTTAACGACTTGCTCCATGCTAGGGTTACACATCATCGTACATGAGTCTGATTTGACAACGAGAATGCCATGGAAAGAAGACAAAGAGTGTGAGTAGTCAGAAAAGGTGGTGGGAATTGCCATCTCGAAACTAGGGACTAAAGAAGAAGAAGACTGTTCCTTCTCTCCCTCGTCGTGAGAAAACGTGAAGAAGAAGGTAAGCTTCTCCTCAGGCTCGGTGAATGCACCGTTACTTAAAGCTACTAGAAACCGCGATTGCTTCGAGGAATTGGAGAAGAAGGTATCAATGAATCCTCTGCTTCGGATGATGGAAGACCATGTCTTTGACACACATCGCAACTTCATAAGAGACTTTGCTGGTAATCTAGTAAGTATAGCCATCTTTAGGTCAAGAGGTAGCGAATCCAACTCTAACTTACTTGAGTTTGTGTCTTTCTCATTATTGTCGTCCTCGTTGTCTCGTCCCTTGCGTTTCATGGAGGCTACTGAGTACTGACGGAACCCTAAATTCGACTAGGAGAAGATAGACTGAGCCTTTGGGAAATTAGCGAGACCTGCAACACAAGGTGGAATTTGAGATGATGAGGTGAATTTTTGTTTTCAGTTTTTTTTTTTTTTCCTCCTCACATTTTCTTTTATAGTTAAATTTTAACGAGTAAATAAGGAAAAATACTCTGTTTTTGTTTTCAATTTTGAAAAATTTTCCTTTTTTTTCTTTTTCTTTTAACAACTATTTTTAAATATCTTAATAATATTACTTAAATGTAATAATAATTAAAAGAAAGATCTATAGTTTATAAATAAGACCAATTTATTGATAGCTAGTAATCAAATATTAATTTTTCCTACCAAAAATCTTAAATATTACTTTTTACAAAGTTGATAGTATCTAATTAATAATTGCAAAGTTTTAGTATTCTAAACATTTATAAAAACAATAATGAATAAAATTTAGTCATGATTTATGTTAAGATGATGATTCTTTGGTACTGAAAACACATAAAATAATTTACTTCGCAATTTTTTTTTTTCAAAAAATTGGTAGTTCCTCAGGTCTTTGATATGTCTTCTTATAATCGTTGAATCTTAATATGTATAACTCGTTCTCCCTTAGATTGTACACTGTGGTTTGAGTAAATCCTAATTCACTCATCTTCTGCATCTATACTGTTACTATTGCTTAATGTGTTTCTAAGAAGTTGTGATCATTATTACTGATTCTTGGTTGGAAAGTTTTGACTTTTAAAAATGAAATAGACTAGATTTTAACCCGCGGTGTACATTTCTAAAATGTATTCTTTTTACTAATTTTGTTTGGTATATAAAAGTGTACAACTATATTTTGATTGTTAATTCTATGATTTAACCCGTAGAATATTATATGATAATTTTTTTTTATAATCGTAATCTGATCAAATTAATTAAATAAGTATAATATTTAAAATAATGGAATGATATTGACAGAATATTCGTTTACATAGTATAATTTCATATTAAAATATTTTGTGAGTTATACTATAGAAAACAACCCGTAAAAATATCTATAATCATAATTATGTAAATTATAACCCGTTCCATCACATGACCCGTGCTACACAATTATCAATAATACTTTAGTACATCCATTTTTGTATCGTTAGAGTAATATACATCCGTTTCTAAAAATTCAAATTGCAACATATGCAAAAAAAAAAAAAAATTTATCATACACATGTTTATGTAATAATATAAATTTAAAAACAAATAAGATCACTTAAAGATGTTGGAGAAATATTTGATTTATTAGGGAGAAATTTTACGAAATTTGTTAAATGTAATAAATATTGATTTCTTATTTTGCAATTTTAGTATGATTTAATCACAAGATTTATTTTAAACTTTTTCTATTTAATCAAATGGCAATGAATTAATTATAAAAATATCATAAAATAAAAGGATAAAACACAAAAGGTACTTCAAAAATGTTAAGATAGATTAAGTATCCAAAGCATTTGCTGAACATCCAAGACAGTGTAGAAAGTTTATTAACACTTGCTTTCGTTTATAATCTTAAAGTCATATCTAACAATTGAAATAAACGCATGGAACAAGACTAGCAAGAGCTGTAAAAGAAACCAAAGATAATAAGCTTTACATATTTGAACAGAACTTGGACATCATGCAACTCATAATTAGGGTTGTGACTTGGCCTATAGGCGAATTAATCTGAGGAAGGTCTCATAAGTAGTCTGGAGACGGTTTCTATGGTCCTTTCCCTTGGTGTTTTTCAGATAGTGAGCCACTTTGATAAACCCAGCATGTTGTTGAAACAACACAGACGTTTCCTCTTCCTCTTGTGGCCTTAATGATTGTTCTTGTTCTCTCTTAGGTTGTGGCATTGTGTGTGCCCATTGTATCCCCCATATAGCTAAAGGCCTCATGTAACAAAGTGACCTATACTCATCATTTGTTGTCCATGCTTCTGGTGTTTGAAATGAGCAGCTGTGTAACCAAACAAAAACTATTAAGCCAACACTAACATTGATGAATTTGACAATGAAAAAGGCCAATTCAGAGAAGGGTTACCCGAGACCGCGGTCAGACCACGCGGCTTCGTATATTCCACTTGCTGTTTTAAACCCTTTATCTGAAAGTCCTTCTTGAATCATACAAGCAGCGACCGAGTAAGTAGTCCCTGCCCAAACCTCCCTTGACACCATCGTGCTTGTGTCTACTCGTCCATCAGGTAACATCCCGTTCACAGCTCCACGTGTTCCTTCTTTCACTTTCATCACATTAAAGTCGTAAACTGTCTCCAACGCTTTCTTGATCCACTCTTCTTTTGCTATTGGCTTCAGACCACAAGCTCTCGCATACCTATACAAAACACACACAAATCAATACTAATTATTAAACTTCTATATGCAAAAGTACTCGTGTTCTTTAAAACTTACCATTGTCCAGCCATTTGATCAGCCAAGATCGAAGAGCTTGAGCCGCTTTTGCTGTTATCGTAATTAAAATAAGAACCGTTCCAAAGCTTCTCATAAACGCTTCTCGCTTTCTCATACTTGGCATTGAAGTAAACCGCAGCCCCGTTGTCCCCAATTTCACGGGCCAATGCAGATCCGGCCTGAAGAGCCGCGACCCAGAGACCGCCACAGTAAGCACTAACACCCGAACAAGACCACGCGTCGTAAGTCTGATCTGGAAACCCTTCGTTCTCAATCATGCCGTCTCCATCTTTATCAAACTGGTCCAAGTAAGCGATCGCAGTGTAAACCGATGGCCAAACCGCTTTCGCAAAGTTTAGATCACCAGTGGCAACCACGTCTCTGTAAACTTGAAGAACAAACTTGGAGTTCAAGTCTTTCCACCTATTCGTGTTGAACAAGTTATAAGCATTTACTTCAAACCATGGATCATTCAAACCAATATCATGAGGAACAGCTCCTAGAACTTTTCTAGTAACAAATTCCCCTGAGCTCATGACTTGTTTCCTACTCGAATCATGCATCAGAACCGCAGCCGCGAAATCTCTCTGAATGCTTAGCTCGAGTTTTGGAAAAAGCATAAGCAATGCGAAAGACGAGTAGAAATGAACGTCGTAAGTATTGTACATTAGGTATTGAGTTCCTTCTAGATAAAGAAACTGTCCAATGTTCTCCACGGAGTTCTGAATCATACTGGTTCCAAGGGCAGCGTTTGAGGAGAAAGGCGCGTGAATCTGTGAGCAGACCGCATCGATTCTTCCCAAGATGTCTAAGGCTATGTTGTTCTGGTCTGGATCAGTATTGTCTATAGTTGATATACTGAGAGAGATCTTTCTTCTTCCTATACTATCTAAGCTTTGCTTTGGAGGTAAACCATCTACATGAACCCAAAAAACTCAGGTTTAGTATATTGAAGTTACAAAATTGTAATAACTTGACGAAGAATCAAATGTATGTTACCAGTCCACATGGTTCCCCCTGAGTTAAAATAGTATAGTTCGTTGAATAGAGTTACTCGATACCTGAAAAAGATTTCTCATTACTCTCTTATGCTCAATTGAATTTGGCCAAAGAAGAAAAAGAGTTGAAGCAAAAATTTATTACCACTCAGGAAGTGTTGTGTCAGAAAGAATAGGAGCTTGCCACTCTTCAATTTGAGTCTCCCATTCAGAGAAGTCTAACAACAAGCAAGAAAGGAGAAAGCATCATAATGTGAATGATCACTTACATTAACTAGATTCAAGAAACAAGGTTTAAGGATTGTTTGCATACTTAGAAGAGCGTCGTGAGCCATTGCTACCGCTGCGTTTCCTAAACTGCCATAGAATCTTGTGTATCGTCTACAAATAATACAACTTGTTAAGTTATAAAGATATGTTGAGAATATGTATTGGATTCAAGTGTAATTGGGATCACACACATACCTATGGTAAGTCTTCTCGTCGAATCTAGCCTCCGGACAATCCCAAGAAAGAGAAAATGTGACTGTGCGGTCACATCCAGGTGGAACTTTCACCTTTGCTGCTATGGCTGCTCCAATGGAAGTTCCAGGTTTCGAAGGAAAACATGCATTGCTGGTTAACTTGTCGAATGATGCGTTCTAAAGAGCAGAATAAAGAAATGAGAAGGTTAAAGCTTTTGGTCTTTCTTGCAAAAGATGTAGCTAGGGAACACTTAGTATTTGAAACTTATATATTACCTTTTTAATCTCATCCCACATATCTCCTGCTGTGATTTTGTTTGGAGTAGTGCCTGAAACTATGAAACAAGGACACGAGGAGACACGAACATCCTCGGTTTCCTTTGCGGCAATTGCGTAGCTAACTGGTGGGTGTCCATTTGCTGTCCTGCAAGGTTAAGTTACATAACGATTAAAACAATTCATCAACACTATTCAAGTAACCAATCAAAAGAGTCAAAGAAAGTAGTTTTTACTTGTGCTGTAAAGCTACTGCATGAACACCATCTTTTGCCCTAGAAGATTCCATAAAAAGAAAGAACATGCATGTCAGAAGAAGAGACCCGTAGCAAAATCTATTATAGCATAAGATAACTTAGTCTTACTTCATTGTTGAGTTAAAGTGCTGTCCAGTTAATCCAGAAGCTCCTCCCACAGAATTCTAATTAACCAAAGAGACAAATGGGTCACTTTTGTATGGAAAATATCTTACAGAGTAAAACTATGAAGAAGAAACCAATCTCCTAAAGGTTCCTATGTATTGTGATTACGTACCTCCCAAGTAAAGAGCAAAGTAACAATTGCTTGTTCTGCTCCAGTATTAGTCACCTAAAACATGACAGAACTCAATGAACTCATCACAAGTTGTTTCTTAAGTTATAACGTCGAGGTAAAACATAGTAGAATATTCATACCGTGAAGTTGAAAACTGAAACCGGAAGACTGCTTTCTTCGTAATTATGGGGTATGAAAGGAGAGACTTGACGAGACACTATTCTGAGTTCAGGGTCAGGTTCACCTGTTCATCAAGTAAAAACATTAAACATAACATTTACAAAACAAGTATTTTGCAATAGATTAATCTATAATATAGACATGGTTACAACTATTATACCATCATAAACGGTCCAAGACCTCGGATAAAGAGCATGGTAAGTAGATTTTTCCCCTGTCATGTTCCAATCCCAAGACTCAATTCCAATATTTGGAGCTTGGCCTTTGCATAAATAACCTCCATTGTCTCTGCGCAGCCATATACAATATCATTTTCACATCACTCTGATTCTTTAACTAGGGATCTGAGGAAGAAACAAGAAATTAAAGGATTTGGCTTTACTTAATAACTTGTGGCTTTGTTGGGCATAGAACAGTCGAGTGTTTCACACCGCCAGGGCGAGAAACAAAAGCCTATAATAATTAAAAAAATCAAGAAGCATGAGAGGGATACTTCACAAAGCCACCAATACATACAAGAACTGGTTTCCAAAAGAAGAAAGTAACCAAGCAAGCAATGTTCATGATTGTTTACTAACAGAGAATTGGTTTGTGAGGATTGGAGCTTCCTCGCAAACTTTTGGGAATAACTTGAACTGCTGAAACTCACCCTTGTAACTCCTCCCAATGCTTCCTGCACTGAACCACGGGTTTTTTATCCGCGGTTTTGTACATTAGAACTTTGGAACAGAGGATCTGAAAACCCTAGAGCATTGTTACATTTGTGTTCTATGCAATATGTGAAGAATACAAGGATACCATACCCAATTCCTCCTAAAGGGACACCATGATCTCCAGTTATATGATGTTTTCTAAAGATGTCGAAGATCGAAGCCTGCATGTTTTTAAGAACTTTTCAGCATTGTGAAGAAGACAAAAGGTGATCAAATGTTTGTGAGCATTAGAAAAAAAACTATGAGAATATCTCTTACTCTTCCTTTCGCGGCTTCTTCTTTGGTGTGACGCCACAATCTGTAGCCTAATGGGAACTTTGGAAAAAGCAAAAACAGAGAGAGGTTCAATATTTGTTATACTTTGCAAAAAAACAGAGCATCTGACCTAAAGTATTACTTTTACAGCAAGAAAGAGGATTTTGAGAATCTGTTTTCTTTGATTGAAGAATCTTTAATAATAAAGAATGGTGAAGGGAGAGAAATATGAAATTACCAGATGAAGATGATCTCGTTTACTCAATTTGAACTCAGAAGGTGTTTTTGCTTGACTGTTCAACTTCCTTTCCCATGAAAATGGTGGAAGTTTATCATTTGTGACCTATAATGAGTTTTGAACCATGATCAAAATCAAAGATGAAGAAAGATAAGTTTGCGTCATTGTTGTGCGTAATCACGTTTATTATTTGGGATTATTTATACAATCAGCACAAACATTTCGAAGTCATAGAAGTTAGTCTAATTTAATGGACTTTTGTTTTTTTTTTTATGTTTAATCACAATTAGTTATGATAATTAAAAATAAAACATACCATTTGGTTTTGGTCTTCAGAAACGTTTTGCATCTTTGGTATTATAAACCTGAAACTGTAAGACTAAAGGCATTAGAGATTTCAGATATAATCATAAAAGACAAAAGTTGGTGTTTTTTCTGGATTTATCTCAGGTGCAAAAGTAGTCTTTTGTCTGAAAATCTAGACTAGTGTCCAACAAAAAGAAAACAAATAACAAAAGCAACAAAACAAAACTCAAGAAACAGTCTTCTTGCATGAAAGAACTGAAATCTGTAATGGGTTTTGCAAGAAACAATACTGATGATTTTTTACTAACAAAGATATAAGCAATTAGGGAAGATCAAGAGTTCAAGACCCACTAGGGCTTAAAAAGCTTTTACTCAAAATTATGAACATGCACAAAAGCTAAACGGAAGAAATAATCCAGAAAAAAGAAGAGAAACAGCTTTAAACCTATAGACTTATATGAGATGATAATGATTACCAAGATGATTACATTCCAACAACAAACAGAAATGTGAATCTTACCAAAATGGTTTCTCAATTCAAGTCTCCTGAGCAGAGAGAGAGAGAGAGAAGAGAGATGTGTATGAGCTTGGGAAATGAAGGACAAGGAGACAAGTGTCTATAGAAGTTTTCTAGGTGGGCAAAGAGAAGTAAGCAACATATATAGAAGAAGAAAGAAAGAAGAGAATTAAGACAACAACATGCCGGCCACACAATATACCTTTGGTTTGTGATTACTAAAAACTGCTAACCTTACCAAAGAGTATGTTAAGCCTACTTGAATTTTTTTAATAATCTTTTCGTTGAAAGCCATATGAACGTTTATATAACAAAATAATACTTTTTGGTCAATTAAATTACTTGTGAATTTTGTAGACGAATTCCACACTGAATCCACATTTTTATTTATTGTTTATTCATTATATAAAATAAGGATTCTAGTAGCCAAATCTCATATAATCACCAAATAGTGCACCCACCCACTAAATTTTTACTTTTGCATATTCATATTTCACTCATACCAAGAAAGAAAGTTATAACCGAAGTGGGAATGATCATCATCATGCCTTTCGGTAATATAAAGTAGTAAGTGCTCACTGCTCAGTTAATAGCTGACCCCGTAAAGGAGTTGGTAAAAAGGATAAGGAACGAGAGAGCACTATCACTTTGTTTGGTTTTTGTTCGGTTTTATCCAAAAGTAAACAAAGATGTTACAGTCCAACTGTTTTTATTATACATACCTAACTTATGTTTATATATTATGTACAAGTGAAAATTTAGTGATATGACCAATACTATAAGATAAGGAAATTGAAATAGACAGAATGTCAAATGACAAGCATATTCTAACCAACTCATGTGTGTGTAATTTAAACACTCACGCAATCTACTGATTGCTCAAAAAAAAAAAAAAAAACACATCATCTTTTTTTCCCTATTCGAGATAATGTACAAGATTACAAACTTTATAAAATAAAAAAGATTTTGATTTTGATTAAATTTTACGTAAAGGTTTAGAAATAATACTAATTTCTTATATCAAGAAAATCTTCATTTTAATTGATTGGAGTTCTCTGTTTTATGATATGTTTTGAAATTACTCCTATATTACCATAGAAATACATTGACCCTAACCATTTGTAATATATATACAGTTCTATTTGTATTTCTTTGAAACTTTGATAGTTTAAAACTTGCTTATTAATGGGTTTCTCTTTGTCAAAAGAAAACTGTCTTTAAAAAATACTTTTTATAGACTACTTAATTTTGACCAATAACACTTGTTAATCCACTAAAAATAAGTATTATACGACTTGGTATTCAATTCTCCGGGAAAAATATATTGAAGAAATATAATAGTTTTATATTTTTAAAAATTTTATGCTAGTGTTACTATAAAAATGCAAGCATATATTATCTATCTATTTATGTAACTATATATATGTGAGAACAAATATTAAATATTTGATTTCAAGAAATCTACTCGTACATTCGAAGTGTTTTGATGTTGGCATGTTGCCAGCTCAAGGTTCATTCTTTGTATACGAATATAATTTTTTTTTTTTTAATTTTAAATCCAAGTTTCCTAAGAAAGAAAAAGTCATGATCAGATTCTGGTTGGTGAATTTTAATAAATAAAAAATTTGAGAGAAAAAAATGAAGAAGAAATAAAAAGAAAATGAGCTGTTTACGTTGAAGGGTATTAGTATTAGTCTAAGCAAGAAGAGAAATCATCAACAGAGATTAAAAATGTGAACGTGCTTTCTACAACGTCACTCCTATCTTCTCTAGCTAAAGTTCGTATAAACCGCGTTATTACTATGTATTTGAATTCGAGTTATTTAATCTAATGTTCTTGAGTTAAGCTATGGTTCTACAATTTGAAAAAATAAAAAAAATTGTATAGTTGAAGAATGATATATATACTTGGTCAAACATTTAAGCTGAAACAAATGTACCACTTGATTTTCTAGACGTTGATATTTTTAGTTTACAATTATGTAAAGGTTTAAGATTTTAATTTAATCTCAAAATAGTGATGTTTTTCCGTATTTTTAATGCGAATTTTTGTTTTATTGTTCGTTAAATAAAACTCTTTAATTAGAGGTATAGGCTGTTAATTATAGTATATGGATGTATAACAAAGTAGTTTACAAGCTGTCTTCATTTGTGTGTATAGTATATAGTTTACTTACATGTTGAGAATACAGTAAAACCTCTATAAATTAATACTCGATAAATTAATAATCTCTATAAATTAATAAATTTCTCTGGTCCCAACTTGAGACCAGTGTAATTTTAGACACGTTTCGATAAAATAATAAGATAATAAATTTTTTGAAAATCCTTTGTAAATATATGGTCCCATCAATATTATAAATTAATAATTAGGTAAAATTTTCAAAATATATGTATATATAGACACATTAGTTTTTGTTAGATTTTATTTCTAATATTTTACTATATGAAAAATAGTTAGCATTCTCTTTTAATACATAATAATTATTGTTTTATTTGTAACTGATTATATAAAATACTAATTATCATGATTAAATCTTATTTTTAAATATTCTTTTGAAAATATTTTCCAAATTAGGAATATCTCTCTATAAATTAATAATTATTAATTTATCGATAAATTAATACCTCTATAAATTAATAAATTTTCATGGTCCCAACATTATTAATTTATAGAGGTTTTACTGTACTTAAAAAAGAAATGGTAGAAACAACTTTATTATGATTTCGAATTTTTGTATCTCCTAAGTTTAACATAGAAATTTACCAGATGGTTTAAGTTGTTCGTAAACTTAGCCACAATGCTTTATCTCTATCTATATCTACAATATAGAACAAGATCATTTAGTTATATCAAATGAACATATTAGATTAGTGAATTATGGGCTACTAGCTATATATGTTTGGTGAATGTCGAAGTCATTTGGCAAAAGCTTAATGTGAAGAAGATTAGAAGATTGACTAAATGACAATTAGCTGGTGTAGAGGTGGTGGCTCTTGGATGAAAATATGTTAGGAAGAAATATGATGTATTCTTTATTGACGAGGTCAACGAGATATATACATAAAACACTATTGCATTATTGTTTGTTGTAACATACACACTTATAGTATACCATAGGAATTTATATAGTCAACACAATAAGATTTTTTTTTTTCTTTTGGAAAAGAAGTTACACCATATGAATCTATTTCAAAATCAAAATATAAAACAGAAGTGAACTTCTTCGATATAATTTTCTTATATGAACACACTTATATACCATAAGAATTTATATAGTCAAACACCATAAGTTTTTTTTTTTTTTTTGAAAAAAATCTACCATTAGAATTTATTATAAAATTAAACTATATAATATAAGTGAACTTCTTCGATATATATAATTTTTGTTTTTTGATAAAGAATATTTTTTTGTTATAATATTTAATTTTATATTTATCATCACCACATTTCCTATTGCTTAGGTAGGTTCCTCGCCGCTGATCTTATTACCTAACAGAAACATTAACAATTCGACATGTATAAAATCCATGTCAAACATGCGGCATGCACCGACTTGTTTGTTTTGCATGTGGCTATCTCACAGAACCAGTTTCGTTGACATTCATATGAACTAGAAGTCAAAAGAGATAATCTTCGTTGCTTGTTTTTCCAAGTTAGGAACATTTGTTCTGTATGCATGTTGACCACCATGATTCCCTATATACCCGATCCAGTTGCAACGTAAGAGATAGTTTCATAATGCTCAAGTTCCAACACTTAACCCGTTCAAGATGAAAATATGATGAAGGTTCTTAGATTTGTAAGGGTCATGACTCATGACAAAAACAAGGACTTTAAAACACCAAAGAATATTGTAGGAGAGGTACTGCATCTGCGGGGTTGAAAATGTTATTTATCATCTTTCCATGTAGATATACAGACCAGTATCCTCGGATATATATTACATCCAGTGCACCAACTTAAGAGGTTAAGCTACTGCAATAACAATTCATATTGGAGACTTGTCTTTCAAGCAACTGTCCACACTCTTTGGCTTGAATATAATGGATCAATCGACACAGGCATGGAGATCTTCCAAGCTCTCCGGATCAACACATTCAGTTTCTCGACCGGCTAAGTTCTTTAACAAGATCTCCTCCATTCAGCCTCCAAAGTTTTTTTTTTTTTTCAATTTTTTTTTTGAATTAAGGATGCATATAATTAAGTAATTAGCGTAACAGATACGATCTAATGTAACAACATTTAGGGTTTTTTCATAAAATTGAAAAAGTAAAATTTCCTACTTCTGTAAAATTGTAAAAGTAAGTCTATTTCTATAAATTTCGCAAAATTAAACCCTTATATAATTACCAACCCCTGGTTTTTCTACCAAATTTTTTAGGGTTATTGTTTGCTTTCTTCTCCATGGCTGCGCATCAGAATATATTAGTGAAAGGAGGTAAACAATTTTGAAAGTTCTATTAGTAGTATGGTAATTGATTAATCATCATCAAACAAATATATAAACGATTTGGCCCAAATAGTTGAGTTTTGTATATTTCATTCGTTAGGTATATAGAAATTTCATTACTAGGCTGTTTTTAACTCTGTTTTTTCTCCATGTATGTTACTCAATTGACTCCTGATGAAAAAAAAAACGTATATCAACCAAATATAGTGTTTGGCCTAATTAGTATGTTTTGTTTATTTTGTTTACTTCCACATTTTTCATTCATTCCTCTCTGTCTATCTCTTTTAGGTGAATTCCAAGTCCCTCTATGTACTCGATTCACTCCTAAAGGCAGAGAAGTAATTGAGTTGTTTTTGCTACCAACACTCTCACAAACAGGACCATTACGTGGTAGGGGTTTGATAGAGTTTGGTGAGTTCGAGCCGTTCATTTCGGGCCAACGTCCATGGGATTCAACGACATATCCATATTTTCATGTGAACCACTTTTGGTTGTTTGTGAGAAGATTCTCTTATGAGTCTAGCAGAGTTGTTGGTTCGTTTGGGAAGTGGAAAGTTTCAGGAAAGGCTACAAATATTTACAGTCAAGATGGCCGAATCATCATAGGCTATGTGCAAAAATTCGATTTGGTGAAAGACCAACTCAAAACTGGATGGTATCAACATGAGTATAGACGTTACTCCAATGCCACTTTTGAAGAAGTGGTTATAAGTCATTTGATATATGATCCGTCAAAACGTGAGCGGGAGCCTAATCCTATTGACCATTAAAATGTTCAAGAGCTGGATGAAAAGATTAAGATATGAATCTTCTTGAAGCGTAGGCCGGTTAATTCGGTGGTGAGGGTCATGGTATGGTTTTGACTGCATTTGAGTCTTGAGTTGTTCTCAATTGATTATAATTTGGTATGTTTTATGCTTGCATTGAATCTGTTCTATTAACATTTGAATCTGAGTTGTTTCAAATATTGATTATAAGATTATTGAATCGGTACACGAAATTTAGGAAAAGTTAATAACAAATTAGACCCTTATACATGTTATGTTACATCTATGCGATCTCTGTTAGAGTGTCATGAATGATGAAACATATATTCGTTTTTCTCCTCTGCCTATATTAAACATTGACATCATTACTTTATGCGAATAAGGTACAACATGTTCCACACTCATTCCATATCCATCTATAAAAACATCTTCAATACAGATTCATGAACATAGGTGATTATTCATATGTTTGTGAATTTATTGTATTCAAATTTAACAAAACACTAAGTATACCCTTAATTTATGGGGAGTTTCTTCAGAGGCACGGCAAGTAAAGGGTTGGTCTTGTGCACTGTGATACCAAAGCTCTCTTCCATGTCCAAATCCTCAGAACCACTACCGTTTGGAAGCTTCCACTCAAAAGCACAAAGCAGAGAACCAAGCATGAGAGGCACTATTTTCGAAGCCAAAGATAGTCCCGGACAAATCCTACGCCCTGCCCCAAACGGTGTAAGCTCATAATCAGTACCTTTTACATCAATCTCTTTCCCTATAAACCTCTCCGGCTCAAACTGAGTCGGATTTTCCCACAGATTCGGGTCTCTTCCTATGGCCCAAACGTTCACAAAAACCTGAGAGTCTTTAAGGATAGATAATCCAAGAATCTCTACATTGGTATCGGCTTTTCTTGGGAGGAGAAATGGAGCAGCCGGGTGTAATCGGAATGTTTCTTTAATGACCGCTTGTAAATATGGCATTTTTGAGATATTAGACTCTTGAAACTCTCCGTTTTCCCCTATCACATGATTGATCTCGTCTTGAACTTTTGTCATCGTTTTCGGGTTTCGAAGTATCTCTGCCATTGCCCATTCCACGGTACTAGAGTTTGTATCTGTCCCCGCTACAAACAGATCCTGATCAACACATACAAGTACATATATTATATACCAGTGAACTAATCTAGATCATATCATGTTGTTGGAATATTGAGAGAATGAAAAAAACATAGTAAGAGACCTTTTGTCTCTTCTCTTGTAAAGAAGACAAGAACAAAACTTTTTTATGAAACTAACACTGTAATGTGTTACAGCCACACGAATATACTTATATACATGTCCTACGGTCGTAAGTGTAATTAACTGTTATTAATGGTTGTGTCTTAGTTGACAAGTCATTCACTACCCTTACATACATACCTCTTGACTTAGTATATACACTAATTTATACTAAATAATATGACCAAACTCAATTATAAAACTAACATATGTTTTCGAATAAGCTAAGACTTACAAGAAGTAGGTGTTGGATCTCGTCAATGTTGATTTCAGGTTCGTCTCCTTGTTGTAGATCGATAAGCTCATCCAAGAAGTCTCTGCTCTCAACATCTTTCTCGTCTGTACGCGATGAGTTTTCCACAATCCTAGCATCGTAAAGCCCTCTAAAAACCTTAAACAAGCTCTCTGAGTAGCCCTTCATCTTCTTACTGTTACCTTGCAAGTCAAGAAACCTCATAAATGGGAAGAAGTCAGCAAGGTCTGGGTTTCCGTTAGCTACCATGTAACCAAACACCATCTCCTGAAACGAACTGGGATTTCTCGGATCGTAACTACCGAGATTGACTGAAAACAAAATATTCGAAATGATATTGAGAGATGTGATGAAGGATGCACGAGAAATATCAACAGCTTCTTCTCGCTCGCAACTTATACTCACGAAGTTGATAAGTTCTTGCACCTTCTTCATCCTCAGAGCTTTGGTAGCCTCGATTCGCTGCGGTGAGAACAGATGTGTAGCCAATAATCTCCTCAACATTCTGAAAACATTACATAAGTAGAAACATTGCATAAGTAACCACTAGAAACAACTCAAGTGTGTTTAGCTCAGACTAGTCAAAAAGATGTTCTTTAAAAAAAAAAAAAAAAAAAAAAAAGCAGTTACCTGAAACGAGGAGACGACGAATGAAGCCAGCCAACGGAAAATTCATGATGGTTGAAGGATCGTATCGCTTGATTTACGTACCGTCCAGACAAGACTAGGTCGTGTGTTCTTAGGACTTCTCTCGCAGCATCTCGTGAAGCTATGACCACAGTGTTTAAAGAACCAAACTTAAGACTCATGACTGGTCCATATGTTTTTGAGAGGTTCGTGAACGAGTGGTGAGGGTTCTTTCCGACTAGATGAATGTTTCCGATTATGGGTAACCGTGGAGGTCCGGGAGGTGATTTGGATACTTGACTAGGGCTCCGTCGGGATCTTGCGGTGGTGAAGAAAAGAAAACATGATATGATAAAACAGAAGAGGAGAAACATGGATTGTCCTAAGATGATGTCCATTGGTGTTTCGTAAGTGATAGAATACTACATTACATTGTCTATAAATAGCATATATATAGAGGATAAAACAGAAGTTGACAAGAAAAGGAAACTCAGTCTATTAGGATACTTGGTTCCGGTTATTGAGATTGAATACCGGTTTAATGTTGGTTTAATATTGTAAAGATAATTAGCATATATAAGCTAGTTAATCTGAAATGTTATGGTTAAGCATTTGTAACAAACTTTTAACACATTAATAAAAAGGTGTTTTTCTCTCTTCTTCTCCGATCTTGATTCTCCGGTGATCGACTTTAACATGGTATCAGAGCACATCTAAAGCTCTTTCTTCCGCTTTCTTGTTCGTCGGAGGTTATTTTCTTTTGAATCGGAGATGAGATGAGTTGTTCGATTGCTTCATCGATTTCGCTTTTGTATTTCATTGTTCTTGTGATTTCTGAGCTTCTGGCTGGAATCTATTTGGGTTTTCTCATTCTTTACTCTTTTCTTTCATTCGATTGATCTTTCGTCTTTGGATCTTCGTTTTCTTCTCTTCGTTTCTCAATTTCGTTTCGGTGGTATTCGTTTTTCTGCGATTTCTTGGTTTTTTGATTTCATCGCTCATGGCAAATATTCAGATACGACCACCGCCGCCGCCGTCGTCGGATACGAGCTCACAGCGATTTCAGAATGATCAAACTGATAATCCATATTATGTGAGTAATAACGATCATGCTGGTTTGATTTTAGTTTCTGACAGATTGACGAATGCTTCGGATTTTCATTCATGGAAACGTTCTGTAATGATGGCATTGAATGTTAGAAATAAGCTAGGTTTTGTTGATGGCACGATAACTAAGCCTTTAGAGAATCATCGTGATTATGGGGCTTGGACTCGATGCAATGATATTGTTTCTACCTGGTTAATGAATTCTGTGTCCAAGAAGATTGGCCAGAGCTTGCTATTCATACCAACTGCTGAGGGTATTTGGAAGAACATCTTAGCTCGTTATAAGCAAGATGATGCACCACGAGTGTTTGCTATTGAACAGAGGTTAAGTAAGATAGAGCAGGGATCAATGGATATATCTACTTACTACACTGAATTGCTCACTTTGTGGGAGGAGCTTCGGAATTATGTGGAGATTCCGGTTTGCACTTGTGGACGTTGTGAGTGTGATGCTGCTGTTAAGTGGGAGTCGCTACAGCAGAGAGGACGTGTTACCAAATTTTTGATGGGTTTGAATGAGGGTTATGATCAGACAAGACGACATATTCTCATGCTCAAGCCAATACCAACAATGGAAGAGGCATTTAATATGCTTACACAAGATGAACGACAGGTTGTTATCAAGCCTGCAACTCGTGTTGATAATGTTGCTTTTCAGGCTTCAGCACCAGTGGATACTGATATGGAGAATGCTTATATCGCAGCATATAACACAGTTAGACCATCACAAAAACCAATATGCACTCATTGTGGGAAGATGGGGCATACTATTCAGAAGTGCTACAAGTTACATGGTTATCCACCGGGTTACAAGACTAATGGCAATACTCCTAGGCCTCAGATGGTTCCAAATCAACAATTTCAGCCTCGAATGCCTATGTCTCAGTTTCAACCCCGGATGTATGCACAACAAAGACCACCAATGGGAAATTATGAGTCAATGCAAAAGGCTAATGCCATTGCTCAAGTTTATTCTGAGAATCAGTTACCTGCTCCTGATTATAGTTCTTATGGATATATCCCACAATATAATACAGCTCAGTCAATGCCTTATGTGACTAATGAAGGCTCTATTCAGAATATTCAGAATCTCACACCTCAGCAGATTCAACAGTTGGTTCAACAATTCAATTCTCATGTTCAGTCTACTTCTCAAGACTCAGATGTACCAATTGCAGCTGTTACAAGTACTCATGGAACTGCAACTATTTCTGAGAATGGCATAATGGCAAAAACTTCTACTTCTGGTAATGTTTCTTTTCCTTCTACTAGTTTAAAATATGAGAATAGTAATCTCACTTTTCAGAATCATACTCTTTCTTCTTTACAAAAATTTTTGCCTCATGATGCTTGGATAATAGATAGTGGAGCTTCTAGTCATGTTTGTTCAGATTTGGCTATGTTTAGGGACTTAAGGCCAGTATCAAATGTAACTGTAACTCTTCCAAATGGTACTAGGGTTCCTATAACACACACTGGCACTGTTTGCATTTCTACAGTTTTAATATTGCATAATGTTTTACATGTACCTGATTTCAAATTTAATCTCATTAGTATAAGCTGTTTAGTAAAAACTTTGAATTGCTCTGCTCATTTCTATGTTACTTGTTGTTTGATACAGGAACTTTCTCAGGGCTTGATGATTGGGAAGGGTAAAATCTACAACAACTTATACATTCTTGATACTGAGAATCAATCCCTTCCTTCATCGCCTGTGATCTGTTCCTACTCTGCTTCAAAATTGTCTGATGGTGTTTTATGGCATCAACGGCTGGGTCATCCTTCACCTAATGCTTTGAATAAACTTGTTAGTGTGATTCCTTCTTTAAAACATATATCATCTAGTATATCAGAATGTAAGATTTGTCCTTTAGCAAAACAAAAACGATTAGCATATCTTTCAAATAATAATCTGTCTTTACAAGCTTTTGATTTGATTCATATGGATGTATGGGGTCCTTTTAGTACTGAATCTATAGAGGGTTATAAATACTTTTTCACATTAGTTGATGATTGTACTAGAGTAACATGGGTGTATATGATGAGAAATAAAAAAGATGTTTTGACTATTTTTCCAAGTTTTCTGCAAATGGTTTTTACTCAGTATAATGCAAAAGTAAAGGCAATAAGGACAGACAATGCTCCTGAGCTTGCTTTTAATGAATTAGTTAAGGAAAATGGAATGATACACTACTTTTCATGTGTTTACACACCACAACAAAACTCTGTTGTGGAACGTAAACATCAACATTTACTGAATGTTGCTAGATCTTTGCTTTTTCAATCAAATATTCCTCTACAGTATTGGAGTGATTGTGTTAATACTGCTGTATTCTTGATAAATAGATTGCCTTCTGTTCTTTTAAATGATAAATCACCTTATGAATTACTTCTAGGCAAGTTACCAGATTACACTCTTTTGAAAAATTTTGGCTGTCTGTGTTTTGCTTCTACTTATGCTCAAGATAGAAACAAATTCTCACCTAGAGCAAAACCTGGAATATTCTTAGGCTATCCATCTGGATACAAAGGTTATAAAATTCTAGACTTAGAATCGCATTCTATTTTGATTTCCAGAAATGTAACTTTTCATGAAGAGACTTTTCCTTTTAAGACTAGTGAATTGCTAAATCGATCTGTTGATATTTTTCCAAATACAATCTTGCCTTTACCTGTTCCTCTGCATTTTGTTGAAACTTTTCCTGTTGATGATCTTAGAAATGCTAGGACTGTGCATACATCTTCTTCTGCATCTGCATCACTTAGAACTGTTACACATAGCAATCCTAGTACCGTTTCAAATGAACCTCTAACAGAACCATTAGATACTGGAATTAATACTGAGACTATTGCTAGGCCTAGACGACAGATTAAAGCACCTAGCTATCTGACTGAGTATCATTGTTCTCTGGTTCCTTTTACTTCTTCACTTCCACCTACAGATCATCCTTCTTCTTTACTATCACCTACAAATATAACTATCCCAGATACTAAACCTCATACTACTCCATATCCTATCTCTTCTTATATATCCTTTGATAAACTTTCCCCTTTATATACTTCCTATATATGCTCTTATAATACAGAAACAGAACCAAAAACATTTAGCCAAGCTATGAAATCAGAAAAATGGATAGGTGCAGCTAATGAGGAATTGACTGCACTAGAACAGAATCAAACTTGGGAAATTGAATCTTTACCACCAGGGAAGAATGTGGTGGGTTGCAAGTGGGTATTTACCATTAAGTACAATCCTGATGGCACAGTGGAAAGATATAAAGCTAGGCTTGTTGCTCAGGGTTTTACACAACAGGAAGGACTTGACTATATTGACACTTTCTCACCTGTTGCAAAGTTAACCAGTGTCAGGTATATACTTGCTCTTGCTGCTGCAAAAGGATGGAGTCTCACTCAAATGGATGTTTCAAATGCCTTTCTACATGGAGAGCTTGATGAGGAGATATACATGAGTTTGCCTCAAGGTTACACTCCACCAAAAGATTATGTCTTGCCTTCTAATCCGGTATGTCGACTCAGAAAATCCCTATATGGTCTAAAACAAGCATCACGACAATGGTATAAACGATTCTCATCAGTCTTGTTAGGAGCTAACTATATACAGTCACATGCTGACAACACTCTCTTTGTCAAAGTTAGCTCTGTAGCTTTCATTGCAGTCCTAGTGTATGTGGATGATATAATGATAGCTAGTAATAATGATAAGGCAGTAGAGGAATTGAAAGAATTACTGAGATCTGAGTTCAAAATAAAGGATCTAGGACCAGCCAGATTTTTCTTAGGCTTAGAAATAGCTAGATCATCTGCGGGTATCTCTGTTTGTCAGAGAAAGTATACTCAGAACTTGCTGGAGGATGCAGGTTTATTGGGATGCAAACCAAGCTCAATTCCCATGGATCCTAATCTACATTTGACTAAAGATCTTGGTACTCTGTTACAGAATCCAACAGCCTACAGAGAACTGATTGGTCGGATGTTATATCTTACAAATACAAGGCCAGATATCACTTTTGCAGTTCATCAGTTGAGTCAATTCATTTCTGCTCCTACTGATGTTCATCTTCAAGCAGCTCACAAGGTTCTCAGATATCTAAAAGGAAATCCGGGTTTAGGTCTTATGTACTCTGCAACTTCAGAGATTTGTCTCAATGGTTTTGCTGATGCAGATTGGGCAAATTGCAAGGATTCACGGCGATCAATAACAGGGTATTGCATGTATCTTGGTACTTCACTCATTTCATGGAAGTCTAAGAAGCAGAATGTAGCAAGCAGAAGTAGTACAGAGTCAGAATATAGAAGTTTGGCAAATGCTACTTGTGAGCTTATCTGGTTACAACAGCTTCTCAAGGATCTACATGTGACAGTCACTTGTTCTGCCAAATTGTTTTGTGATAACAAGTCAGCTTTACACATTGCAATGAATCCAGTTTTTCATGAGAGGACTAAACACATTGAGATTGATTGTCACATTGTTAGAGATCAGATAAAGTCTGGCAAGCTCAAGACTCTACATGTTACTTCTGAGAATCAACATGCAGATATTCTAACAAAACCACTTCATCCAGGTCCATTCTACAATCTTCTTCAACAGATGTCATTGTCAAGTCTTTATCTTCACAATTCAGACTTATTGAAGCTAAAGACTTGAGGGGAGGATATTAGGATACTTGGTTCCGGTTATTGAGATTGAATACCGGTTTAATGTTGGTTTAATATTGTAAAGATAATTAGCATATATAAGCTAGTTAATCTGAAATGTTATGGTTAAGCATTTGTAACAAACTTTTAACACATTAATAAAAAGGTGTTTTTCTCTCTTCTTCTCCGATCTTGATTCTCCGGTGATCGACTTTAACACAGTCGAAAAGTATACGTAGGGCAAGGGCGTAAAAAAGTCGTCGTGAAAGTATTAAGTCATGAACTAAATTACAAAACTCCAAATTATATTATTTCTAAGAACACAAGACAACTGTTTACTTTACATAAACATAACTATATTTTGACACTGAATTTAAAAAGAACATTATTAATTTAGTAGATAAAATTTTTTTGTGTCACATAAGTTTTTTTTCTTTAGCTACCACAAAACATTGTAAATTCCCAACGATTGAAAAATGTAATCGGAAGTCACTGAAGTTAAAAAACTTATAGGAAAAGATAGTCGAATATTACTTAATTGGCACTTTCGAAAAAATTCTTAACTATGTTACAAGGTAGTACTTGTAGACTTGTAGTCTTGTATTGCTTTTAGGACTACGATGTTATTATCTTCGTTGGTGCTAATAATGTCCCATTATATATCAGACGACCAATAAACTAATCAAGTCAAGCTCAATTAAAAAAAAAAAAAAAAAAAAAGTCAAGCTCAATTACTTGTTGTGTACGTAATAGTTAAGCGATCACATCTTCCTGGAACTTTTGCTACAACGCTCCTCAATCATCGTATTGTTATTTTCTACTTTTAAATTTTTAATCCAAACTGATTTTTTTTATTTTTTCACACGTCTATGTTTTTTTATAGAAATGGGAACTAGTTAGTTAATTAAACCCAAACTGAAAAGGATATTTCTGAATGTAAACATGATTTAATCAAAGATTAGTTTAAATAGCAAGAAGAAGAAGATATTGTGTATTCCTAATTATCAGCGCTTGGGACGAAACCATATAACATGCTTTGGTTTCGGGTCTGAGGGGATGTATGGGTTTTGGTCCAGAACCTCTTTGATTATCAGTAAACATGATTTTCATTCCTTATTATTACATTGATCTGTGAGCAATTTGGGTGTGTATATGTATGTGCATTAAAAAAACAAACCATAAGTTGAAGATGAAAAGTCATAAATAGAGCTTAGATATAAAAGTCATAGCCAAAGTCAATATGGTCCAGCTAGCTCATGGGATAACAATTCTAAAACCGAGAATTAAAATCGAAGTTTTTTTTAGCCAAACCGGCATTTTGATCGGGACAACGTTTTAGTGATCGTTCTCCTTCCTAGTCTTGAATAATTTTTAATATATATGGTAGATTTGATCTCTTTTTTTAGTATTGAGCTCAAGATTTTATTGTGGGAAATACAAAATTGATTAGGAAAATATGAATAATTTACGTATTGCTTGGTTCTTTTAAGAACATTCTTTGAAAATAACGTTTGTAGGGTATTTATATACCAAGAAGTTAAACTCTATTATTAAAGCTCGACATCGGAGATTTAGATCGGAGAAGAAAGAGAGAAAAACACCTTTATTCAATGTATAAAAGAGTTTGTTACAAATGCTTAACGTTCACATTAACGACTAATCAGCTTATATATGCTAATCAATCTTACAACATTAAACCAAACATTAAACCAATACATCAAATGTCAATAACCGGATTGAACCAGTATAAGTATTCTAATATCCTCCCCTCAAGTCTTTATCTTCATTATGTCTGGTTAGGAAGATAAAGACTTGAAAGTGACATTTGCTTCAGAAGATTGTAGAATGGACCTGGATGCAAAGGTTTGGTTAAGATGTCAGCATGTTGATTCTCTGATGTAACATGTAGAGTCTTGAGTTTCCCTGACTTGATCTGGTCTCGAATTATGTGACAGTCTATCTCGATGTGCTTGGTCCTCTCATGGAAGACCGGATTCATAGCAATGTGCAGAGCAGACTTATTATCACAAAACAATTTTGCAGGACAAGTGACAGTAACATGTAGATCCCTTAGCAATTGTTGTAACCAGATAAGTTCACAGGTTGCATTAGCTAGACTCCTATATTCAGATTCTGTACTACTTCTGCTAGCCACATTCTGTTTCTTGGACTTCCATGAGATAAGAGAAGTACCAAGATACATGCAATAGCCTGAGATTGATCGTCTTGAGTCTTTACAATTAGCCCAGTCTGCATCAGCAAAACCATTGAGACAAATCTCTGAATCAGCAGAGTACATAAGACCCAATCCTGGATTACCTTTTAGATACCTTAAGATCTTATGAGCTGCTTGCAGATGAATATCAGTTGGTGCAGAAATGAATTGACTGAGTTGATGAACTGCAAAGGTGATATCAGGTCTAGTATTTGTAAGATACAGCATCCGACCAATGAGTTCTCTATAAGAAGTAGGATTTGGTAGCAGTATCCCCATATCTTTTGTTAAATGCAGATTAGGATCCATTGGTATAGAACTTGGTTTACATCCAAGTAAACCTGCATCTTCAAGTAGATTCTGAGTATATTTTCTCTGACAAACAGATATTCCAGCAGATGATCTAGCAATCTCCAAGCCTAAGAAAAATCTTGCTGGTCCTAAGTCTTTAATCTTGAATTCTGATCTCAGTAAAGTCTTCAATTCCTCTACAGCCGTATTACTGTTACTAGCTATCAGAATGTCATCCACATACACTAGAACTGCTATAAAGGCAACAGAACTAATCTTGACAAATAGGGTATTGTCAGCATGCGATTGAACATAGTTAGCTCCAAGCAAAACAGAGGAAAATCTCTTATACCACTGTCTAGATGCCTGTTTAAGGCCATAGAGAGATTTCTTGAGAAGACATACCGGATTAGGAGGTAATTTTGTTTCTTTAGGTGGAGTGTAGCCCTGAGGAAGACTCATGTAGATTTCTTCATCAAGTTCACCATGCAGAAATGCATTGGAAACATCCATTTGAGTCAAGGTCCACCCTTTTGCAGCAGCAAGAGCAAGAATATACCTGACACTAGTTAATTTGGCAACTGGTGAGAAAGTGTCAATATAATCAAGTCCTTCCTGTTGAGTAAAACCCTGTGCAACAAGTCTAGCTTTGTATCTTTCAACTGTGCCATCAGGATTATACTTGATTGTAAATACCCATTTACAACCCACCACATTCTTCCCTGGTGGTAGAGATTCAATTTGCCAAGTATGGTTCTGTTCTAATGCAGCTAATTCCTCATTTGCTGCAGTTGTCCACTTCTCTGATTTCATAGCTTGGCTAAATGTTTTTGGTTCTGTTTCAGTACTATAAGAACAGATATATGAATGATAAGAAGGGGAAAAGTTATTAAAAGAAACATAAGAAGATATAGGATAGGGTGTAGTATGTTTAGAAATATCAGAAATAGTATTTGAGGAAGGTGTAAGAGTAGTTGGTATAGTATCAGTAGGAGGAAGTAATGAAATAGAAGGAATTAGGGAACAATGATACTCAGTCAGATAGCTAGGAGCTTTAGTAGTTCGTTTAGGCCTAGCATTATTCTCAGAATTTACACGAGTATCAATTGTTTCTGTTATTGATTCAGTAGGAATGGTACTAGAATTTCTATGTGTACTAGATGCAAGAGATGCAGGTACAGGAATAGATGCAGAGGAAGAATCACAAGACATTCTAGCATTCCTAAGATCATCAACAGGAAAGGTTTCAACAAAATGCAATGGAACGGGTAAAGGTAATATGGTGTTTGGGAAAATATCAACAGAAGTAGACAACATATCACTGGTTTTAAAAGGAAAATTTTGTTCATGAAAAGTTACATTTCTAGAAATCAATATAGAATGGGATTCTAAATCTAAAACCTTATAGCCTTTATATCCAGAAGGATAGCCTAGGAAAACTGCAGGTTTAGCTCTAGGTGTAAACTTATTTCTATCTTGAGCATATGTTGAAGCATAACATAACATAAATTAAATTAATATGTAATAAGTTTTTACGGTTACGTTGGATTTTGAATTATTTATACAAAGCTTACGATGCTTTGTGTCTAAAATATCAAATACAAACTATTCTTCATTACATTCTTTTCGTAAAAGTAGTATAAGTCAATAAATATAAAAATAAGCAGTTATGGCTAAATTTAACTCCAAGATTACAATGATATTTATTATTGTAGCTCTGGGTTGTGCCTTTGTTCCTGCGTTTTCAGTCGAAGACTCTGAAGCAAAATCGTTATGGGATACTTGTCTTGTTAAAATCACTCCAAAGTGTGCTTTGGATATAGTCGCAGTTGTTTTTGGAAATGCAACCTTCCCTGACTCTTGTTGCCACGATCTTGTCCAAGAAGGAAAAGTGTGTCACGATACTCTAATTAAATATATTGCTGACAGACCAGCTTTAATTGCCCGTGAATCACAATATTTGAAGAAAAGCAACGATTTGTGGAGTCATTGTGTCGCAATCTCTAAAACTGCCTAAATTATAGACAGCTTAAATTATTTTGACAATTTCATGTTGTAACATTGACATGATCCCAAATATACAATCTTTTACCTTAACAAAAAAATAAATGAAAGAGAAAATCTTTAAAAATAATAATTTAATTTTATATCTCATAAGCATAGAAAAAGGAAAACAATGCCATTACAGAGTTGTCTATGCTCTCTTACATTACAGAGTTGTTTATATTATAGGATCCTTAAAAAAGGAAATACTCTCTACGTGTTGATGTGCGATATTGACAAAACAATCGGTGTTTTTCCCGAGTCCGTAACAACGCCTAAACTCTTTATCATCTCCAATTCCTAGGAGCCTAACTCTTCTTATGTTTCTAGTTTCAACATTGTAGTAGAAAATATAGAAAGGTCGAACAATGCATGACAACAAACTAGGAGCCATAATGATCTCACCAGCCTTGTTTGTACCGGGGAAAGACATCCGACCAGGCTCAACATCATCCCACACAGAGATGGGAATCACACATGTTCGTTTTGACCATTCATGTCTCTGGACATCTTCAAGTATCCATAAATCAAAACTACGGAAAGCTCCATGAGGGAATCTCACAATGGAAGCTAGCTTCCCTTTGTATTCTATGAATATTGATTGCTTTCCCCATTGCAAAACATCTTTAGGTGTAGTGATAAAACTTAGCTTCTCAGATCTAACATCGAAACACACCATAACTTGATCATACATTTGGGTTAAGCAATAAGTACCATAGTAAAGAAACCCATTGATGCATACACTCGATAGTATCTCCCTATAAAAAGGGGTATCGTCAATGGTTCTCCATCCTTGACCACCTCCCAATGTTAACACTTTGTGCTCTAGATAACCACTAGGATCATCCCTAGTTCTAGTATCCATAGATAACGCTTTGTATTGATCATCAATGGGATCGTATCCCACAAAAGTACTGGCCTTGGGCAACTTTATGGCTTGCTCGGTGCTAGGGTTACAAATCGTCAACCTATAGTCAGCTTCAACCGCGAGAATGCCATGTAAAGAAGTGCAAGAACCTGAGTGATAACTAAAGCTCAAAGAAGGAAGAACCATCTCAAGATTTGGTACCAAAGAAGAAGACTGATCCTCTCCCTCGTCGTGTGAAAACGAGAAGAAGAAGATAAGCCTCTCCTCAGGGTTGCCGTATACACCGTTACACAAAGCGACTATAAACCGCGATTGCTTCGAGGACATAGAGAAGAAGGAATCAATGAGTCCTCTGCTTCGGACGATGGAAGACCAAGTCTTTGACACGCAACGCAGCTTTATAAGAGACTTGGCAGGTATTCTAGTAAGTATAGCTGACTTTAGATCAAGAGGGAGCGAATCTAACTTACTTAGGTTTGTGTCTTTCTTATCATTGTCCTCATCGTTATCTAGCTCCTTGCGTTTGGTAGCCTTCTTTAGATCAAGAGGGGTCGGATCTAACTTACTTCGGCTGCTACAGAATCTATCCTTCTCATTCTCATTGTCCTTGTATTTCATGGCAGCTTCTGATCAAACCTGCTGAGATTGAACCGTTCGTTTAAGGTTTCTTTAATCTTGTTTTTAGGTTTCTTTTTTATTTTTTTTCATCCTCGCTCTTATGCTTAAAACAATTCTATATATATGGCACTTTTATAAGGAAAAATATCTCCGTAAGAAAAACAAAAACGGAAGAATTTTTGGGAAATTTGCAAATATAACAAAACAAAAACTAATAATTAAGAAACTAATCTAAAAACAAAAAGAAATAAAATATTCGTGATATCATGTGTAATGTGTGTAATCTTTTTTTTTTTCTTTTTAATTAACAACTAAAACTTTTATTAGAATGTAAACAGATAGATAATACAAGTAGTTGTTAATAATAATTTTACTTAGGGGGGAAAAAACAAAGATCATAAAATAGTAAGAGAACATAAAATAACTAGGTTTTATCCCGTGATAAACCACGGTCCATTATTTAATTTATTTTTTATGTTGTGAAATTTGTTTATTTGGATTTTATAGGTTTTTTTTTTTTTTTGTTTTACTTATAATTTTAATAATGAAATGAGTTTGTATTTGTAGACGGTTGAAGGTCTTTCTATATTACTATTTGAATCTTATTTAATTTTGGTACCATTTCATGGTTAAATCAACAATTGTTTTACTTAGCAGAGAAAAAACAAAGATCATAAAATAAGATTGTACTACACGCTGGAAAAAAACAAAGATCATAAAATAGTAAGAAAATATAAATAATTAGAATTCAATGTAACAGATATACAGTATACTTTTATTTTATTTATTTATATATTTATTTGTAATTAGTTTAATTTAACTCGTGCTTTTTGATAAATGATATTTAGTGGTATGGTCCCATGATAGAGTAAACTTTGAGCTTCCCACAAATGAAGAGATTATTGACACTGCTATACCCCAAAGGAGATGTTTGACCCAGAAGATCTTGGTTAAGGGAATCCGGCAAATTCTCCCCATCCTTGAAAGTGTAGAATCAAAAAACATACACATTCTCCTTTAAATAATGAACATTTTTTTTTGGTATGATTAAATAATGAACAATTGTTGTCCGTAAAACTTGGTGGTATGCTTGTATTCTCTTATTATTCTAGACTTTACTTGTTTTTATCTGGAAACATTATATTTGACCAATGTCTAAAAGTGGTAAAGGAGAAGATTGACTATGTCTTTTATTAATATGTGCATTATATTGAAGAACATTGAATTTGTAGTTAAATATTTTTGCTTGTTAGTGCAAACAATTTACGTTTGGAATTGATTATGTTCTAAGTGATACTGAATAATAGTCTTATACTGTAAAATCATGTTATAAAATACAAATATTGATATAAAGATCTTTTTATAACACAACTCTAAGGCTTAAAGTGACATTTAAAGTGAAAAACAAGGACACAAGTTTAATAGTATTTATTTGTATTATAAACTAGTTAAAGTCTCATGCGTTGCGTGAGTTTAATATAATATAGTAAATTATGCAATATTATATAACTAACATATAACAAATTGAGTGAATTCATTTTTCCATAATTTTTTATTCATTAATTTAATTTTAAAAATCCAATAAAAGCTCTATGAAGTTGACATTCGCGTATTACACTCAGATCATATGATCTTTTAATTAATAATATATAAAAACTCATCCACCACAAAAATTTAGAAATGTTTATAATCCGTGCAATAAAATTTCTTATTTTACTAGACCAACTTTATAATCCGTCCACTTCCATATTCTTCATTCCATTTAGATGATTTTTAATATTATATACCCTGTTAATTTAAGATAAAAAATTAAACATATAGATAATGTATTTTTGGTAGCTAGAAATTTATGTCCACAAAATCAAATAATTCATAATTATCAAACATATTTTACATTTTTCTTCAAAACTAATTTAAGAAAACAAAATCTGAAGAGATTATTATGAATCTTTGTGAATAAATGGAAACTAAGTTAATTAAAATAAAAAATGTACCTGATAACTTAAATAGGTTCAACAAAAGAATGTAAATACGAATATCTAAACTAAAGTCCACAAAAATTAGGATATACAGAATAAAACTTACATGAATGTAATTCAAATATGAAATTTAAATAAACAAAAATTAATGTAATTAAAAACAGATTCTCTTACTGTTAATTCTGAATGTATAAACTACAAAAATCTGGATTTTGTGTGACTACAACAATCTTAGAACACGCTTTTTAATGACGAGGCAGAGTTAATCAAGTGTTTTTGACATTTTCATCTATATATTGTTTCATAGATTGGGAATGATTTGTTCACATTTTTTCAACTATATTAAGCGTTTTAAATGTTGTTGGTAAGGCTTGTAACACCTAAGGTTCAGAGTACACCGAATATGCTTGATTTAATTATTTTTCTGTATACATACATTTACAGAGCTTGCGATGATGAGCAGATCAACGAGGAACCAAATGCAACACTCAGATTACAATTTTTAGAAGGGAAGTCATTTGACTAGGACACTCTCGGGAATCGTTTGCCGGTTGATTTTATACATTTTTAAAAAGTAATTTAAAAAAAAAAACTATATCTATTTTAAGACAACATGAATCCCATTATGACTACATTGAAAACTGAGCTAAAACTCGCTCTCGAAACTATAGTTAGAAAATAATTTAAGACTAACAAGTGTATGAGTTATATTGAGTCAAATATTAGCGACATAAGTTATCGAAATTTTCCCAATAAAATCCCCAAAATTATATATAAATATCGAAAGATGATGTAGCTATTATAGAAGATTATATATTCAACATTACAATAGTTGGAGACAGAGACAAACCTTTCCCGCACGTGCCTCCCATAAATCAGAATTGATGGATAATAATTCATTGTACAAATACGATATTAGCGATAAGAGTGTACTAGAAACAATGTGTTTTTAGATAACTCAAAAACTGTTTCATAATCATAGAGATCAACAATTTAATATCATTGTCGGCAGGCATATACGATTATAAAGATTTATTGTCTTATAAAAGACAATGTGAGCTAATATACTGTGTTTTGTTGGAATTAAGTAGTAAGAAGAAATGAAAATAAAAGTTCAGTCCTTATGAGCTTAGGCACAGTACTAAAGCCTTTATATGTGTTGCTTAGTATTTTAGGCTCTCAAATCTAGATGATAACATGAATTTGACTATTATTGAACCAAAGTCCATATATGCCCATATATCTCAAGAGTCACAATGTAAGGAAAAAAAAACTCTAGTCTTGACAGCATATGTAAATAAAGAGTACTTTGACCAGATTAAAATTACATTGTTCATAACGAATGTACAGAGAAAACCATATATAGACACACTAAAATACTATTTAACCAGAGAAGATGCTCTATCATTCCAATAAACTTATTGAATTATAGTATGTCGAGTTCCCTCAAAAAGAAGAAGTAACAAATGGTTGCGTGACGTGGCTGCATAATGGTCACCACCACCACTAAGTCTAACACAACCGTATCGCAATCCGTACGTACCATCACGGTGGTCAAAAAGGTCTTCGGTCGTAGTCTAGCCTAGCCGCCCATGATATCGGTATATTTTGCTTCTCGACGGACCCTCTACGTACGTGTGAACTCGACAAGCTTTATAAAATATTGCTTTCTTTCATGTATATGTCATTGGTCTCTTGTTAAGACTAAAGCTCACGGACACTTACACGTGACAAACTATTAAAGTTTAAATTAGACAATTATAACATAAATTAATATAATTGATGTAAATTTATATTTATTTTTTCACTTATAACAAATTAACTTAAATCACTATGGTTTAACTTTGTTTTGTAGTGTACACACACACTCATGAGTTCTTGAACAAAGGAACATGTGAGTTCAAAAGAATAGAATGGAAAGGAAGATTTTGTTATACATGGTTGAAGTCACATGTAGGGTCTTGTAGAGAATAGCAACTTGTGGAGAACCAATAATACTGAAAGGGTGGTTAGATTGAGACCGGTCATGACTTTTATATTTAGGATTTTGTGCAAATAAACCAAGTTGCCAATTTTGCAAATTTACCTTTTATACCCAAAAATACAAAATAATCATTTTTTTTTTGAATAATCAAAGAGGTTCTATGCCGAAGCCCATACATCCCATAGGCCCGAAATCAAAGCATGTTATATGGTCTCGTCCCAAGCGCTACTCGAACCGGCGACCTCTAAACTTTTGCTAGAGATCTTTACCAATTGAGATATTAGCATTTGGTAAAATAATCATATTAAGTCAAGAATAATCGCAATATAGACTGTATTCTAGATAAATTTATTTTTCTAAACAACTATACGGCTACGTACATTTATTTTTGAAAATTCTAAAAATATATTTGAATTTCTAATTACGATGGTTTCGATTTGATATATTATTTCTAAAAATTTTACTAATATAATAATAGCAGGAAAAGGTTATACTGCGTATTTATTTTAACTTTGTATGATTGACTTGCATTTTTTAAAATTTAGATGGTAAAATTGTAAAAAATGACTAGAGAATTTATTCGCACAAAACTCTTATATTTACCGTCGGATGGTCCATACGGACTGCGATACAGTGTAGTGATTAGTAGCGGTGGTGACCATTTTGTAACCACGTCACACACACGGCCATATCTTCTCTTTTTATTAAAGTTTTTTTTCTTTTTTCACATTAGGTTTTTCTAAAAAGATGACATATAGTCATCGATCTGTCTTTAGTAGTTCTATTTTATTGAATCATATTTTGGTTTATTTATATAGTTCTCCGTACCTTCGTTATTAACATCACTCTCTATTTTTTGTTTGGTCAATTTTATAGTCTATCGGTAGTTACATATTTAATATTCTTTAAAATAAATGTTATTATCACATTTGCTGTCACTCGAGCTATTTTCTACATTTTGACTCTTGAGTTATGACATATATGGATTTTGGTACAAAAGTCTTTCAATGCTATTTCATGGGATATCAACTAAATTCGCGAGAGCCTAAAGTTCTAACCAATACATATATAATTAAGTAAATTTTTCATTTCATTTGGTCATACAAGTTCACACAACGAAACACAATATATTAGATTAACTTAAATAGACAATTAATCCATAATCATATCTGCCAGCAACGATATTTAATTATTATTAATCGTCGATTAAGAAACATTAATGTTTATTTCTCTCAAATATATATATATTAGTAATTATCATGGCAACTCATCAAGTGGAAAAAGAAATAAGAAGCCCAATCGATTACTCGAAAATTTCTTTTGGAAAATAAAAAGTTTAAAAATCAGGATTTACTTCAAATACACACTATTTGTACACAAAGACAGCCTTGCTAGCTTTTATACAGTATCCATCAAATTAAGTCCATGTTGAAATAGAAAGACCCATGCATGCATGCCAGCATATTTCCACTTCACACGTAACCTACGTGGGAAGCTCTCTTCACCTATAACTATATATATATATACAGTTTCACTTAACTCAAACTTCTAAACTCATTAGCACATTTCAATATATCACTACCAAACACACACACACACACACATTACTAAACAACCTTGCATTATTATATGGAAAACAGTTACGTTAGTCAACGAGAGAACAGTGACCAAGTGTCTTATAGAGGCGTTCGTCGGAGGAAATGGGGCAAATGGGTGTCGGAGATCCGGGAACCCGGTAAGAAAACTAGGATTTGGCTCGGGAGCTACGAGACAGCTGAGATGGCCGCAGCGGCCTATGATTCTGCAGCTCTTTATCTCCGAGGAAGTGAGACTCATCTCAACTTCCCTGAGCTGGCCGACAGTTTTCCTCAACCGGCTAGCTCTAGTTCCAAGCATGTTCAAGCTGCTGCTCAGGAGGCAGCACTAATGTTTAAATTACCGGGTGGGTCGTCTAATGAACCAACTCAAGAGTCGGGTCAAGGACTTTCTCGTGTTGGATTGTCTCCGGATGAGATTCAAGCTATTAATGAGTTTCCATTGGACTCGCCGAGGTTGGGATGGATGCAGGATTTGGAAGTTAATGATTATGAAGAGTTGTACGGACAGTACTTTGGTCAATACGATAGGGATGACTTTTATGAAATCCAGCAGCAACAGTCCATATGGGATTTTATGTAATCGAATCTTTATTACTTATAAGATTCGATTCTTTTTGTGTCACCAACCATTTTTGGTATTCGAGTCTTCATTAATTTGGGGAAACAACTATCAAAATGAGTCATATAGTCATTTTTTCATCTAACTCATTTAGCTTCACCACTTTGATTGAGTGGATGAACTAAAATATAGTTATAGATTATGCTTCTATCTATGTTTTTTTTTTGGTCATAACACCAATTCTGTAGGTTTATAATAAGAGATGATCATATTATCGATTGTAAACCTTTTTCTCACTTTTAATGAAATATTTACAATTTTGGGGGGGAAACAAAACAAAGAAGGAAACGAATCGCATTATGACAACATGAAAACTGAGCTAAAACTCTCTCTCGAAATTATAGTTACAAAATAATTTAAGACTAACGAGTGTACGAGTTATATTGGGTTAAATATTTGCGACGTAAGTTTCCAAATTTTTCCGAATACACATAGACATATATTGTATTTTTTTTTTTCAAAAGGACATATATTGTATAAATTCCCCAAATCATATATAATATCAAATGATTATGTAACTATGTGATAAACGATTGTATATATATTTTTATCAGAAATGTTTTTCTAGTCGACATGGCAATGTAACTTTGATAGAGATTATATATTTTGATTAGAATTATTTTTTTTTGTTCAAGATTTTGATTAGAATAAGTATTCGTCGACATGGCAAAAGAGGTCGAATTAATTATCGTCGACATCTCAAGAGACAGACAATATCACAATACAAAGTATACCGTGTCTCCTACCTTGCCTGTCAAAGGGTTTGGACCGATTGGTCCCTTTCACGCACGTGTCTTCCATAAACCATAATTAATGAATAATACGATGTTAGATATAAGTGATTAATCATGTGAAGAATTCTTAAACACTAGCACAAATTGTGTCACCTTATTTGTATTTTGATGTTACTCTCATATCATCTAGCTTGACTTATATTTTTATAGGTTAATTCTACTAATAACTTTAATCTTAATTCTCTTTTTCAAATAGTGTCGAAGTACACTCATGAGTTCTTGAACAAAAAGAAAATGTGAAGAGTTCAAAAGAATAGAATGTAAAGCAATAATTTGTTAACACTTTGTTGAAGTCACATGTAGGGTCTATCGAGATTATGATGATGTTGTGGAGAGATTTCAATAGTACAAATCCAAAAAGGTGGTTTAGACTGAGACCTTAAACCTTTTTGACCACCGGCTCTGGTCCGTACGGATTACGATACGGTGTAGGTGGTTCGTGACGGTGGTGACCATTATGCAGCCACGTCACCCAACCATATATGTTTTCGACGCACGAGGTTTTACTATAAATTATTTGGATGCAGAGTATTTGTGATAATTGTCTGGCTTTATTATTTTAGTTGATTTATTTTAATGGCCTTCTCCGCACCTTCGTTATGAAAAAATACACTCTCTTAATTTCTTTTGTCTGGTCAATGAGTAGTTTATAATATGTCATAATTCTTTAATATGTGATTAGTGTACATATGAGTAGTTTACATTTGCTGTCAAGACTCGTTCGTGGTTTTATTTTTCTACATTTTGACTTTTTATATTTATAGCATCAAACTAAATTTCATTTGGTCTTAGAAGTTCACACATCAAAACTCAATATATTACCTGAAACAAAAGTAATTAATCATATCGTTGACAAAAAAAATAATAATAATTATATCTGCCGGCAAAAATATCAGATTATTCATCCTTATGAGTTTTTTTTCTTTCTCAATATGAAATTTACCTTTTTCGTCGAAATATCTATAATATAATTATACTAAGCAAGTTAAACTATCTACAACATTATTATACTAATCAATATTCAATTTTATTTTTGTAATATTTTTATATTCGGTTTAGTTAAATAAAAACCGGATTATATTGAATATGGAATTTATTTATAAAGGCCATATAAATTTATTTCGAAGCCATGTACACATTAAAAAAAAAAAACTGATGTGTTAAATAAAGCCCAAATCATATAAAATTTTTCAAAATTTTCTTCTACGATAAATAATTTAAAAAATCAGATTTATTTTATAATACACACTATTTGTACACGCTTAAAGACAGCCTTGCTAATTTATACAATATCCATCAAAATCAAAAGTCCATGTAAAAATAGAGACCCATGCATGCATGACAGCATTTTCCCACTTCACACGTAACTACGTGGGAAGCTCACTTCACCTGAAACCAAACAAGCTTCCCACAAATTATATTCTATCATTTATTGTCTCTCTTTTTTTTCTTCTATATATACAATTTCACTTAACCACAGAATCTATAACTCAACCTTCTAAACTAATTAGCACATTTCAATATACACTCTCAAACACACACATTACTAAACAACCTTTGATTACTATATGGAAAACAACTATATTGGTCAACAAGAGCACATCTTCTCTGTTGACCAAGTGTCTTACCGAGGCGTCCGTCGGAGGAAATGGGGCAAATGGGTGTCGGAGATCCGGGAACCCGGTACGAAAACCCGAATTTGGCTCGGGAGCTACGAGACAGCCGAAATGGCCGCAGCGGCCTACGACGTTGCGGCTCTTCACCTCAAAGGTCATGGAACCAATCTCAACTTCCCGGAGCTGGCCTACAGTTTCCCTCAGCCGGAGAGCTCAAGTCCCGAGCATGTTCAAGCGGCTGCTCAAGAGGCAGCACTTATGTTTAAACCACCTGGTAGGTCTAGTACTGAACCATCTCTCGAGTCGGGTCATGGACTTCCTCGGGTCGGATTGTCTCCGGATCAGATTCAAGCTATTAACGAGTTCCCATTAGACTCGCCGAGGATGGGATGGATGCAAGACGTCTTGGAAGTGACTGATTACGAAGAGTTGTACGGACGTTTTTTTGGTCAGTACGACAAGGATGAGTATTTTGAAATGCAGCAACTTCAGTCTATATGGAACTCTAGTTGATATTGCATCTGCTTAAACATTTCATTTTATTTATGTTGTTACAATGTTACCAACCATTTAAGATTTTTTACTGATTAACCATATTTAATTAATGAGATATAATAAAATTTCTACCAGAATGTTTTTATTGTATTCATTTGTTAATCTTTTGTCGACGAAGAGATATGATTGATTTTTCATATCAATTAAGAAAAGAAGTATAAAATAATTGTTATCTTTTATAATATTAATAAGAAAAACCACTAGATAACATATAATCCATAAAATATTACAAACCACCTAAAAAATACTTTTTTCTCAACTCATATTCTCTCAACTTAGTATGAGTTCTTGTTTAGCAACAACTGTTTCAGTCAAAAGTACTATAAAAGTTTTAAATTAGCACATATGATCAGTTTTTTTTGTTTGTTGGTAAATTAATTTTTGGATAGATCCTAATTGAAAAGCTTTGAATTGACTGTATTGCACACATTTTGGAAAACCAAAAATTTGGAGAATCCAGTAAGTAGTGATGACTAGGAAAAAAAAACTCGTTTTTGATAAAAAAAAAAAAAAAAAAAAAGTCGTAATTGCGTTGGTATCATAGTACACTCCGTGTGGGGGCAGAAGAGACGATTCCAATATTGCCACCCAGAATCTTTTTTGGACCTCACAATGGTATTGACATTTCAGCTTCAGCTAACACTTTTCTTATCCTTAATTTTATCTTCAAAGCTTTTGTATATTTTTATTAACCGACTTTTTATTTTATTAAAGGTTCTAGGTAAATCATTGATAACGACAAATATTAAGTGTCTTGTCTCAATGATATCAATTTATACGATATCGATTCTTAGATGGTGATACAAAAAGAATGTGTATTGTATTTAATACTTAATATACTCACTCATCTTTAGCAAAATTAGTTTTTTCAATTGATTTCGTAAAACTTAAAATAATATAATATCTTAACTTCACATTTATCTTTCTTATATAAATATTATTCTTCTCTACAATTCGTATAGAAAATAAAATTTGAAAACTAATGAACTATTAAAAAATTCTTGTCAATAATTAATAACCAATTACAACATTGATTTCTGAATCCTTTAAGTCGGTGGTGGCGTGTAACACCTTGCCCCGTGGGAACACTCCGCCATGTGACACACCCCATCACATGGCATCCTTACAGCGCTGCAGCGCATCGACCCTAACCTCTCTCCTATGGGCCCAAACTGCGCAGCCCACTTGCTCGCAGCCTCCTGGCCCACTAGGTAGGTTATTGGTGCGCCTGGCGTTCCTCGAACCCAGGTCCTCACCCTTTAACAACCTTCCCACAGGACAAGCTGTTACCAACTGATCTGCAGGTCAATTGGTAACAACTTGTCAGGTGGGAAGGTTGTTAAAGGGTGAGGACCTGGGTTCGAGGAACGCCAGGCGCACCAATAACCTACCTGGTGGGCCAGGAGGCTGCGAGCAGTGGGCTGCGCAGTTTGGGGGCCCACAGGAAAGAGGTTAGGGTCGATGCGCTGCAGCGCTTGTAGCTACCATATGGCGGGGTGTGCCATATGGTAGGGGTTCCCACCGGGATGGGTTGTTACATGGCGATTTCTGGGTTTAAGAGAACCTAAACGGTCGAAAGATCTCTCTGTTTCGAAATTGGATACTCTTTTGATTTAAATAACGTTTCACGTCCACAATTTATGATCGTTTTTAATAGTGAACGATGACGTGTCGTTAATTACACTAAACCAAAAACAAATCATACCTGTTAAACCAAACCAATCGTCGATTAAATCTTATAATTTTGATCCAACGGCTGTCATTATAGACAAGAATTCTCAACATCTTCTATACCTTGTTTGTTGCCTCCCAATATCTCTTTTCATTATAATAGTTTATCATTTGCTCTATGCGATTTTAATATTTTCCATAAAATTTTTATTTTCTTCAGTTACTTTGTACTATTTAATGTTAACATGTGTATTTGACCCCAAAAAAAAAAAGGTTAACATATGTTAGAACTTAGTTGAATAGTATTATTATTGTTTTCCTGAACAAAAAATGTTAGATGATTATTATTAGTATTTTTTTCAAAGAATATTAGATGATTAATTGCTCTATACACACATGTCTCCGTAACATTTCAATAATTTTTTTTCACTTACTCGTACTATGAAATTTTATTCTTATATATATTAATATTGTACATACAGTAGATGAAATCGACAACCCATAATTTTAATTAAAAACAAGATCAAAATATCATAAAATTCCATAAAGTAAATTAACATAAATTAAAGGATTGTCCTCATTTGTTCACCCAATATTGTCTTCTTTTTTTTTTGGATATATGAGATTTTTATTCCTTGGCTCCAAACGTAGATGTCACCATGGTCGATGATCATCACTTAGATGAGGATAGGCGGATTTAGACTTGCGTAAGCAAGCAAACCTTGGTCATGCATGAACACGGCCATGTCTTGTTCGGGTAAGCCTATCCATGCTTCTACACTTTTCCCATCCTTTGCATCCATCAACAAGACACACAACTGATTCTCAGGGACACTAGTAGTACTAGGTCCAACCCAAACCGGACCACCCATTCCAAAGTCAACTTCATAAAAACGTTTATTACACCAACTAGTCACAGCTAATAAGTTTGTCTCTGGTCTTAACGCTAACATGAACTCAAAAGCCTTACTCATCAAGTTCTGGCCAAGTGCGGCTGAAGTTGCACTCGCTTTGACCATCTCATTAACTCCTTCTTTAGCCTTTCTGAACTGAGCCACGAGCTGATCCATCTCCATGTCGCTCTCTGGTTCTTTGCTGAGAAAGAAGAACGTTAGTAGGTTTCCTATAGCGTCTTCTGACAAAACAACATCAGAAGAGGTCCTAAGACGCAAGTCCATGGCTAGAGTTATCATCGATGACCCGTTTTTGCCTCTTGATGAAGCGGCTTTCGTGGCACATCTCCATATCAATGCCGTGATGGCTTCAACACGTGTAGGAACAGCCACAGTTTCGCTAGTGACCTTGCTTTTAAGCTCTGAGATCTTCGATGATTCGAAGACAAACCTCTTGATCACACACTTCTCATTGGCACCAGTAAGAGCGTCCATTTTTGGGACCTGAAATGTAGCATTCGCAGGAGGGTAGATAGTGGTCGAAGCAAAAACAGGACTGTTCACCGTAATATCATTAGAGTTCCCTTTTGTTGTAACGGACCAGTCCGAGACAAAAGTGAAAAGTGAAGACGCGTCGCATATGAGGTGAGAGACACCTACAGCGACCGCTACACCTGATCCAGACCCAAAGGAACTGACCCTGACGTTAAGCAACGGCCAAGCTGTGGGAGATTCTCCTTGAGCCGCTGTTGGAAGGAGTTTCTCGAAGGAGTCATTGTTTAACGTTTTGAGGAAGTCAGAGAGAAGTAGATCAGTACGTGCCTCTGTGAAGACGGCTCCTTCGTCGTTGCAGCTAATGGAGCCGTCATCTATGCGTCCAGCAAGAGGGTAGAAACGTGAAAGAGTTTGGGACAGAGATGTTTTCAGTTTCTGGGAGGTGAGATCATTGGTGGTGTTGTTGTAGAAGAAGACCGCAGAGACGTAAGATGGTGGACTTGAGAAGTCGACAAGGGAGAGTTGGATTTGGTCATTGCGAGGTGAACCAGAAACAGAAGCAGGCTTGATCACTTCTCTTTTGACTTCCTCTAGGTTAAGTTCCATCTTTGTTCTCTGATTTCTAGGAGGATGTGTGATAGCTTGTGTACTGATTCAAGAGGAGAAGGTCACATCTCTATATATACATCTACATAATCTTATTATTAAATAATTAGTATATACAATCTATAGACATTAAAACTAGATTTGGTGCTTTAATCTATAGATTGGGTAAAACATTAAATTCATTGGAATTTGATGACAAAAGATTTGGTGCTTTTCTTTTTTAAAACTAGATTTTAGTATAAATGTTTGTATAAGTTAGTAATGTTAGTATACTTTTAAGAAATAAATAATTTAAAGCCTTGATTATTTCCAGATTTTAGAACTAAATTTTGAATTTACTTTCTCAAAAACTAATATTTTACCCAATCAAGATTTTTGTGAAAGTATATTTCCTTAAAAATTGGGAATCTGATTTTATGAGTTTCTCACCTATTTTCACTAAGAATCCCAAAATCAACCCCAAATATTTGAGTTTTTTACTTTTTTCAAATGAGACTTTTTTCCCATTTATATATTTTCTCAGTTTTTTTATTATTTCAAGATTTTAGAACTAAATTTTGACTTTAGTTTCTCAAAAACTTATATTTTACCCAATCAAGATTTTTTGTGAAAGTATATTTCCTCAAAAATAGGGAATCTGTTTTTATGAGTTTCTTAAATATTTGAGTTTTTTTACAAAAACATAACCCCAAATATTTTTTCAAATGAGACATTTTTCCCCATTTAAATATTTTTTACTCTTTTTTAATACAAAATCTAAAATCTAAAAACCAAAATCCAAAATTTAAAAACCAGAAACTATAAACCTATGTTAACTTAAGCTATTTGCATAACAAAATTAATTTATGCAAAAAAATATGTTAGTTGTTGTTTTTGAAAGTCATTATAAGTTGATTTTAGAATTTGCTTTGATAATTATATTCTTAACTAAGACCATCTCCAAAGGGAGATGCCTATGGAAAAGTTTAGAGTTTTATGTAATTAACGTGATTAAAATTAAATGATAATGAGTTAATATGTTTAGCAGCGCCCCTAAACTAACGCCTTTTAGTATCGCTCTCTAAAGCCACGTGTCTGTTTATAATTGAATGAAAACTGTGAGAGAAGGGAAGAAAAAAATAGGGATCGAAACGTATCTCTCTCTGTCGAAAAAAAACATTTTCTTCTTCTTTTGTGAAGCCGGCGACAGAAAGGGTGATTTGATGTGTTGTTTGATTTCGTCGGCGTTATGGAGCTGAGAAGGGCGGATTCAAGGTCGCCGTTATCACCATCTTTTGTCTGAAGCTAAACATTGATTGTGTTAGGTACTCAAAATTAGGGTTTCGAGATTGAATGGTTTTGAGTTACTTGAATCTAGGGTTTTCTCTCAATTGCTTAAAGTATATCTCTTGAAATCTTAAGACTTTGTGGTTCGGATTTGTGAAACGGTGTAAAGTTATAATTTTTTTTTGTTTCACTTTGGTCGATGGTGTTTGCTATTAGCTTATGAATCGGGTTTGTTATACGTGAATGGGTTGGGATTATAACTTAAAGTTTTGTTGTGTTGTTGTAGCTAGGGAGAACTTAAGAGGAGCTAAGAAGGAATTCAACAAAACTGAGGATGATCTCAAGTCTCTTTAAAGTGTTGGTCAGATTATTGGAGAAGTTGTTCGACCACTGGATAATGAAAGATGTAATCTTTTCTCCTTCCCTTTTAAAATCCCTTTCTTGCTCATTGGACCCTTTTGGTTGTACTACAGTTGTTTTTTCTGATCTCTGAAGCTTTAATTTTTTGTTTGTTTTTTTTTGGTTTAGTGATTGTCAAAGCAAGCAGTGGTCCAAGTTATGTGGTGGGTTGCTAGAGCAAAGCTGATTCGTAGAACAATGTAGACGCAATTATAAATTTGTTTGGAGATGAGTACCTGAGAAGGCCAACAGCAGAAGATCTTCAACGACTACTCGATATTGGAGAGATACGTGGATTTCCTGGTATGATAGGAAGCATCGATTGTATGCATTGGGAGTGGAAGAATTGCCCTACCGCTTGGAAAGGACAATATACACGTGGATCAGGGAAACCGACAATCGTTTTAGAGGCTGTAGCGTCACAAGATCTTTGGATATGGCACGCCTTTTTTGGACCTCCAGGTACCTTAAACGATATAAATGTTCTTGATCGCTCACCAGTTTTTGATGATATATTATATGGTCGAGCTCCAAAAGTGAACTACATGGTCAACGGACGCGAGTATCATTTGGCGTACTATCTCACAGACGGTATATATCCAAAATGGGCAACTTTTATCCAGTCGATTCGTCTTCCTCAAGGTCTGAAACCATCATTATTTGCTACATATCAAGAAGGCGTTCGAAAAGATGTAGAACGTGCTTTTGGAGTCTTGCAAGCTCGATTTGCCATTGTGAAAAACCCAGCTCTTGTTTGGGATAAGGTAAAAATAGGAAAAATTATGAGAGCATGTATCATACTTCACAATATGATAGTAGAAAACGAACGCGATGGATACACTCAGTTTGATGTATCAATATTCCAGCAAGGAGAAGGAAGCAAAACTTCACAAGTGGATATGACGTATTCTACTGACATGCCTACAAATATAGGCAATATGATCGGCATTCGGAATCAAGTTCGTGATAAGAAAATACATGAACAATTAAAATCCGATTTGGTTGAACACATATGGCACAAATTTGGCAACTCTCAAAATTTCAACTAAACATTGTTGTTATTTCAATATCTTTATTTTATTTTGTATGTTTTGTATTTCAAGTAATGTAATATAATTTTGTTTTTTATATATTTTAAAATATAAATTATATTAATATTAAATTAAATATTTTGCTTTTTAGAACTTCTTATTGAGTTCACCATTGGAGCAACAAAAATTTTAGAGTTCAATAAATGTTTATTAATCATTAAAATTTTTAAAAATTTGTTTAACACCCCCAATTAAGCATCTCCCTTTGGAGATGCTCTAAGCCACTAATCTTTAGATGTGTACATTCACTTTTTTATATTGTTGTCTTATTAGAAGCTGATACCTCTTTTTTTTTTTTTTTTTGACATCTGCTGATGCCTCATTTAAAAAGTACATTCAATAATAAATAATACACATTAACTGATATGACATGGACTAAATTCTAGTTCTTACAATTCTTACAAATAGATAAACTTGTTTAAATTTATTTTGTAAAAAGAACACATAACATGTATTTATCAATGCATATAAACAACAGTAAAATAAAAACTACTAAAAAATTTTAGTAAAGACAAAATGCCAAATTCTATAAAATTTTTCAATTTTTACCAATCATACTTATATTAAAATAAATATAGTTTGCAAAGAATTTCCGTATAACGCGGGTTTTTTTAGTATATTAAAACTAGAACCACTTCTAAAATGACACATAATTTTTTTAAAAACCTCAATACTTACTCTAAAACTGATGGAGCCTACATTAAAAGGGGTTTGAGATTATTTTATTTTATTTTTCTGTTGTAGTTAAGTGTTGGATTGATATTATCTTGAATTTTAATTATAATTATGTTTGATTAATAAATGCTTTTTGGAAGATAAAATGAAGATTAAAATAGTATTTGGTATAGGTTTTTTCCAACATACAAGTAAATATATATATATATATATATATATATGTATATATATTATAAAATTTATGAATCTATACTATTAAAAGGGAAGCATTTTGTATAAAGTGATCATAGTATATACAATTAAAAGGATTATCAAAAAAGGAAAATTAAAAAAACAAACCTATCTATATTTATGGAAATAATATTGATTTGGTTACCATAAAAATAGTCAATTACATTCAAAATTAAACATATCTAAACATATTTAATCTAAATTATATTTTTTAAATATTTTCAAAAACTATAATTTATGTAAATAAAATCTAATAAAAATATATCATATATTTTAGAAAAAATGATATTTTAGGATAAATAAAACGAAAAACAATTATGTTAGATTAGGAAATAAGCGACTAATCAAATTCTACAAAGCATAACATGTGGAGAAATATACACCATAGTTAATAATATCATCATATTTTTCAAAATGATATAATCTTAAAAAATAATTACGT